TAAAAAAAAACTTTTTTGTTATTTCCGTGCTATTCAAACCGTCAAACAAAATGAAAATAACCAAATACATATCTAATATTACCATGAATGTATCTAATATTACATGTCTAATATTAACATGAATCTCAATCATACCTAATATCAGACAATTTTACGGATTGATACACAATTTTTAATTGAGGTTAATTAACTTTTTAAAATATAACAATATTGATTGTTAAATTAACTAATTTCTATTGAAACTGTTTGTAAAGATGGCTTTATGCCAGCATTTTATCGATTTTTTATGTAGGCCTATAAATCTTAGGCCTACCTTAGTGACAAAATCAAAAGACAATGCACAATTTAACACAGGATTATTAGGTCTACTAGCTCCTTTGTTGGTAAAAGAATTATTATTTGTGAATTTTCTTCTATTTTAGTCAGCAAGGTAATACTGTTGTTAAATTGATCATCCATTACAAAATATTTAATTTTGTTAATGTTTATCCATAGGTATTTGAAAAATTACCTCATTAGCAAATGTGTAGGCCTTAATCAATATTCAGCATTATACTCCAACATGTATGTATTTAAAAATATTACATTAGATCTTTGCACTTATAAATAATAATGAATTTTAAAGACATAAAGATTATCTAAAGACTGAGTCCATGAGCCATTTATGGGATGCAGTCTTCGTCCTCCTCAGTCGTTTCTCCCTCCTCAGTCGTTTCTCTCCTGAAAAAAAGTAACATTATATTATTAACATTGAATATATTCAACTGGTGTTGGATGTAAATTTTTAAGAGATGACTCATGAACAGATTTCTTATTCTAAAGCAGAATCAGAACACCTGGCTTCTTTCAATTTACTGAGCCCTTTTTTGCCATTAACTCCTTAAACATATCATTTTGCTTTGGTTGAGAAAATGTTGCAGTTTCCAATAAAAAAAGTGTTGGTTTGAATTTGTTTGTCTGTAGGCCTACCTATTACTTTTGATATCTTAGAGAGATAGGCTATGTGCAAATAAATCAAGCATCAACTCTGTATAAGGCAAATGAAACATTAGGCTAAGTTTTTACATTTTGCTTTGATGGTGACTGACATCATCTATTAATCAATCATTAGGTATCAAATTACCTTCCTTCCTACTTGCTAACAATTCGATTTCATGACGGTCTTAGCCAATCTTTTATCACCGTCTCGATGTTTCTTTTTCTTTGGCCTCTGGAAACTGGTTGAAAAACAGCTTCTGTAAGAAATAACAAGAAGTTTGCTATTATTAATAGTAAGTAGGCTATGTAGCACTAGTAACGTGTCAAAATCTAATCTCAAAACCACCAAAACTTTGAAAAAGGTTTCAGCTTGAAAAGGTTCCATCAGCGAGTTTCTAGATTCAAAACTTTAAATGGGGAAGACAGACAAAAAGAAATTAAACCTTTGACAAGAACTTCATGCACACTTTTTTAACTTTATTTTTTTGCAATCTCGAGTAACGGTGATTTGCCGTTGGGAATAAATAAATTTGATTGAATCAAAATCAGCTTAATATATTTCTCAATGCTGTAAAAGGGCCTAAAAATCAACCATAATAAAGTTTTCCCAGATCTACTCATGCTTAAATAGGGTACAGTTCACAAAACTCGGCATGGTGCAATAAGGTGCTTCGACAAGCATAACCCACGCACATAAAATGTGCCGCAGCCGATTCCCATTCAATTATCACAAATTTCAAAAGTATGGATACAATAACCAAGCTATGTAGGCTACATACATTTATTAACAACATAAAATTTGTTCTAGCCTAACTTACTTTCAGTTAAGAAGTAAACAGGCCTAGAAAAATCCATACCGCTTAAGAAACGTAACAGATTTTGACGCAAATTGGTTAGCTAGAACTTAACTTATATTTACTTATACTTAACTTAACCTAGGATATGTAAAATGTCGCAAAGTTCAGGTAAATTAGAACAAACTGGCTGTCACTGTCAATACCGTATGAATAAATTATTGGTAAGTTATCAGTCGAGAAATGTTACCAATAAGTTAACTTAATTATAACATAAAATAGGCCTCATCCATAGTGTGACAGTAAATAACAAATTAAGTTATTCTAGGAATTGGTCAAACAAATACGTTAGATAGGAGTACATTTTCGGTTTGTTGGAAGTTATTTTTGGTTAGCTAATGCTTTCTAGCCTAAGTTTAATTTACTGCGCTTGGTTCGATTTTATTTTCATCCTACCCTACCTAGCAGTACCGGTAGCCTATTTTTAACTTATGCCTAAGGAATTTATTTTATGAAATCAACTATCCTTTAAGGGTGTAAGAATTATTTAGGTGTAGGGCCTAACAATTGAATTTAAGATATTTAACTTGTAACCTAACTTTTAATCTAGGCTTTGACTAACTTAAGGCTGACTGCATAGGTTTAAGAAAATGATTGTAGTAGGCTAAGTTAGGTATATTCCTATATAGGTTATTAAAAGTTGCAGATTTGAAACTGTGGCCAATGATTCACCTAAGTAAGGTTAAAAAGTGATATCGCATTAGGACATGCAGTAAAACGTTAGGACTCCGTTCAAGTAAAAACCAAACTTTCAAAGAAAGCCCCATCAAGGCTATAGGCCTACTAACAAATGTACTAAGATTAAATCCAATGCAAATTTGTTAGGTAGTCTAAAAACTTATAACTGTAAGCCAAAGCCTGGCTAACTCATTTAGGTTAGTTTTCTATAAGTAACTTAACTTAACTACCGGTTTATAACTTAACCTAACTTTAATCAGTTTAAAGAAAGACTAGATGTTGCAGAATTTTTATCGAACCTAATTTTTGATGTGTAACTCACATTGAAACTTATTAACTAAAGTAGGCCTAATGTTATTTTGAATTCCTTACCTTGGTTTGGGAGACAGCCTCTTCAATAACGATATTCTTTGGTGAAAGAAAACTAAAAAACTGAAGGTAAACTACCTAACAACAAAAATCTTAGGCTACTAATATAATATGGATACGATTATACACTATTACATTTTAATTTTAAATTGAAAGGACTAAGTTATACTTTTGCAAAGTCAAGAGGTTAGGCACAACAGCCAAGGAGCCAAGCAAAGATGGCGACGCCGATCTTTTGACAGTTGGAGTTGGAACAGAAAAATCAGTCCCCTCCCCTCCTCTGCCACGGACTGCACTGGACCCTGTCATTAGCTCTCAGTCTGGCGTGAAAATTCTTTTAAATTTTAATCTTGCTCAATTTTTCAAAACAATACAGTAGTTATTTTAATCAATCTTTTATTTTGGTTGTAGAGATAATTATTCTAGGACACATACTTGTCCTATGTATGGGTATGTGGTAGTACTGTTAACTTTAATATTTTACAGGAAAAAATCACAAAAGTTGCAAAAAATATAAACCCTAATTTTCACAACACTGAGAGGTTGCACCATTTAAATTTAAATTATAAAGACCAAAATATACTAATTTTGATCAATATAGGTTAAAAAAACACAGTTTTCCTCTATTTATATAAAATAACATATAAGTTACAGTAGCTTTTAAACCGTAATTTTACAGTAATAGGCGTTGTACAATTTTTTCAGAATTTAAAGGGCTCTAACATACTTGTTATTTATAAAAAAATTTTGGCCAATTTAAAAAAATAAGATTTTGTTATTATTTCATGGGTTTTTATGGAAAAATCACCATTAAAAAACAAAATTTCAAAAAAGTTAAAACTTTGAAAACCCATGGTTTGGTACTTATTACTTGCTGAATTTCATCACAATCGGACAACACTTGTGGTCTGTAGCTCTGTACAGATTTGCTCATTATGATTATGTATAAATTAATCGTTATCAGTAATCTCCAATTTACCAAAGTGAATAACTTGTAAAAAAACAACAAACACATATAATTGAGTCTGAATTCTGGACCAGAGGCCATTATCAGCCAAGAACAATGCCAGTATCATCCAGTCCCAGCAAAAACCTGGCCAGTATAAGAATCAGAATATAGTTTTATTGCCATAATAATACAAAAATGTACTGGGCATAAGTCACTAAAACTATCAAGTAAAACCAGACCCATTAAAATAAAGATACAAACTTCAATATCAGCCCAGTACTCGCCAGAACCTGGCCAGTATCAGCCCAGTACTCGCCAGAACCTGGCCAGTATCAGCCCAGTACCATCCAGAACCTGTCCAGTATCATTCCAGAACCTGTCCAGTATCGCCCAGAACCTGGCCAGTATCGCCCAGAACCTGGCCAGTATCGCCCAGAACCTGGCCAGTCTCGCCCAGAACCTGGCCAGTACTTGTCAGTACTGTGGCAGAACTGGTCAGTTCTGTGACAGTACTGGCCAGAACCTGGACCAGAAAATTTTTTTCACTAGGGGTGTCACTTTTCATTTATCATATTTGATTTCTCCCTCAGTTAGTGGGAAATAAGCATGTTATTTGTTATAATCATAGCTATGCTTGTTTGAACTAAATACTCTGGTACAGTATCCTAACAAATGAAAACATAGTAGCCCATATAAACTTGAAAGTGTTGTAATTTGAGACTTTTTAAACAAAGAAATAATAGTCAGAAGAAGAAATAATGAAATTTAAAAATCCTTATTTCGTCAAGAATAACTTAAGGCCTAATAAAAAATTGACTAGGCCTGCCTATGTTTAAAAGTCTAATGACGGCAAACAATTGTCTCTTTTACAAATGAGCTGGTAATAGCTATTTCTAGGTTTGTAGTGTGGGGTTGTGCTTCAATTGCATTTGTGCACAATATTTTAACATACCGGGAGATAATAGGTAATACCAAAAGTGTGGTTAATAAGTTCATCCAATTACATAACAGACATATTGGACCATTATAGACTCAGAACAGTAATCTTTTAAACTATAGTAGATCCTATAGCTAAAGAAATTTATTGATTGATGTATTTAAAGTTGTGTTATTTGTCTATAATGTTATATTTATAGTTTTTTGGTGTTATAAAGAAATTTTTTTTATTTCAGAAAGAAGAATCGAGAAATGGTGATAGTGTTAAGGTAAGGGAGATTATGAAGAATATTAGGCCTAAGTCTCAGTTGGTGTTAGCCGGACTGGTTCATGGTGCCGAGCTTATAAATGTCCTTTGGACCTGGCCTGGGTACTCTGGCTACAAACAAACTTACCTTTAATTCGAAAATTTTAAGAACTCAATATTGAAAAATTTTCACATTTAGTGCATTTCCATACATTTTTTTTCTTTAAGCATTGTGTGTAAAATCAGTTGTCTTTATTAAAAGATTTATTACAATTTCCCTACATTCCACTAGTAATATTTTAACTCTTATATAAAGACAACTGTTTATGGTGCAGTTATCATGGCACCATAAAAAGTGCTTAAATACGCTTGTTATGGGGCCATGATTTACAAGCCCCATTACACAGAATAGCAGCTGATCTTACAATATTTCCACAAATTCCACATGGATATCTGGACATCGTCATCTTTTAGCTCAAATTAAAATCTATATTCAGCCCTAGCTTATACACAACAAGGGCTGTGTTGCATTAATTACATACGCCTTATTTAGGTATTTAATCATTTTACTCCAACAATATCCTAGAGCATTTTCCTCTTAGTAAAACATAAAGGATTCTTTTGTAAAAATTGGTTATTTTTAATGGTCTATGTTAATTCCAAGGTTTCCTTTCATTTCTCAGCATTGAAGCAATAATATTTTAATAATCAAATCAGAGTTGTAACAGTTGATGCTGTGTCCTTTTCTATGTAAGGCAAAGCGGGTTTTATGTAGAGAAAATCCCAACAATAACTTATCTTATAGTTGATAAGAGCAATATAAGCCTTTGACCTATGCTGTGACAGAATCAGTCAGTATTGAGGGTAGCCTTTGCACAGAAATGTTTATCTAAGCCAGTTAGTAGTTCTTATATTTCACTTAAATCAAATTAAACTCTTTTAATTTATGTTTAATGGTCCAAAGATAGTATACCGCTATGGTAAGTTCCTTCTATGAGAGCATATATTCAGAGGCTAGTCCTACTATTTTATTACTTACGGGTTTATATTTTCATTTAATAATTTTTTACCAGTTAAAACCTTTAAAATAGGTTTTATTTTTGTGCTTTAGTTGGTCTGATTTTCTATATTCGTTTCAACAAATTGCCCACATCATTGAGTGAAGGTTAACTTTAACCTGTATTTTAGTCAGTTATTTTAGATTATTCCAAACACAATAGCCTACTATTTAAAAGTTATTAATTCAAAATATTCAGTAGCCTTTAAAAACCAGTTCTACCACTTCAAAATAAGTTTAAAATATTCAAAAAAAACTATTAAAAACACTTAAAATGTGGGACTGAAAAAATATGCACTTTGCACCTGATACTTGTAAGGGATTCACAACATAATATTTTAATTCTTATTCACCATCTGAGCAACTGGATCCTTCTGCAGTGGAATTCTCCTCTCTCACCATTCGTCTCAAATATGATCATGGAACACTTTGAATTTGCTACATCGACAGCACATTTACAATAGATAATATCGATAGAAAAACCGTGCCAGAGTTTTCGGTACTTAGGTATTATCCGGAGGCCACCTTTATATAGCATGCTGCGGCGGTTATGTTAGGTTGGGTTATCATAAATGGAAAGAACACACTTTAATTGACTAACTGTCCATATTTTACATGATTACAATGTGTCGCTGCCACACCAGATTCAGGCGGTGACAGGTGATACGCGTGCTCCGGTCAACGACCTCACCTTGACATACTTGGAAGGGATTTGGTGAGCGAAAGTATGACTCATCTGTTATTGTTTGATTCATAATGAAACAAGGAAAGTCCTACAAACATATTTATAATAACCCAACCTAACATAACCGCCACAGCGCGATGTATAAGGGTGGCCTCCGGATAATACCAAAGTACCGAGTTTGCTTTTCCACCTGAACCACAGAAAACATACTACTATAACCCAGAATGCTAACCGCATGGTAAAAAGCGTTAAGTACTCGGAGAGAGATTTGCCTGTCAATTTGTAGGCAGCGCCACCAGCTTTGCTATGCTGAGTGCATTGCAACGCTGGTGGCGCTGCCTACGGATTGACAAGCAAAGCTCTCTCAAAACACTTAATGCTTTTTACTATGCATTCTGCATTATTATGCATTACAACATACTATGCATTATTATTGCATTCTGGGTTATAGTAGTATGTTTTCTGTGCCTGAACCCAGTGGCTGTTTTGAGGGGTTTTATAAATCCACCCAAAACTCTAACTCGAAAATCTTTACACAACAATACTTTCTCCTATGTACTTTCTCCTACTTTACTATGTATAAGGTAGGAAAGTAAAAATTGGTTTTACCTTTGAAATGCAACTTAAGCGGATACGCCTTCATCTATAGGCCTTTTTATAAAATATTTTGACATTTTTAAAAAGTGACAATTTTTTATTCCTTATACTGAACACGTATGCAAAGTTTTATTTGATTTGGAGAATTTTTTCAGTAATTTTTAAATAAAATTGAAAACATTGCGCCTAGCAACAATAAGTAAAATGAAAACTTTAATCTGCGTTTTCTCAAAACTATGTTTTTCATACTCCATTTACGTAAGTTTGAATAACTTTAAAACTACTTATTATTTTTAAATGAAATTTTAACCAGATGTTCTTAATAGTATTTGTTAGGTTGTGTGTCATCCTGCAATTATTTATTCCTATACAACTTATTTATTCCTATACAACTTAATGTTTTACATTAAAAATCTGATTTTTGTGTGTGACATTTTTCATATTATTGTAAAAAGGTCTACTAAAGCTGTATTTGATGAGTTACCATAGTTTCAATACACAGAAATGTTCATTGTTATGTGGGAAAGTAAAATATATTTACTTTTTTACATTATGTTGATAAACAAAAAAGTAATTCAAAATTGAAATTGTTTAAACAAATTCTTAAAATTTTTAAAGTTACTCCGAAAATTGACTTGGATAATAACATTTTTTTTATATAGCCTATAAATCCTCTAATTTGGTGAAGTAGAAACAGAATAAACACTATTTAAAATAAATAATTTTAAAAAAAGTCTTAGAAGGAGGCATATCCTCAAAGTTGTAATTACAGAAAATTATATTTTCTGGTTAGTAATTAGTATTACGGTACTTAACATTTTTTTTAACCGTATTTCTTTTCCAATTCATGCACATATAATTTATTAAGCTTATCACCTTATGTAGGCCTGTGCAAATGTTGTAATATTTTATTAAACACGTTATCTACCAGCTGTTACACTCTGAATACACTCTATGTGAGGTGTAGTACTACTCGTGAGTGTGTTAATAGAAGCCACAGCCAGATGAATATTAGTTAGGTAAACATATGTAATACTCTGCTTAGTGCTTTTCTATGTTTAAACTTGAATGAGATAACTGCTTATCTTGGGGAAATATTCTGTTTAGAAAGTCTTGTTGATCCTGTTTCAGGTAGTGATGTTGCGTCCACGCAGACTGGCTGTGCTGTCGTTGGTCTGCGTGATCTTTGTCACCCTTTGGATTTCTGACACGGACGTAAATAATACGTTGTACAGATTGTGGTGAGTTTGTTGTGGTTGGATATTTAAGTGATCCAAGTTAAGTATTACTACTATCAAGAAAGTGGATATTATCTTAGATAGAGCTTTGACATTTACCACCCATGTTATAAATACTTGTGTAAAATTGCCTTGAAGAAATGTGTTTTATATTATTTTATACTACATTTCCATGTTATCACCTTTCATTTAAAATTGATTATATTGTGACACTGATACAACAGAGTGTGTATATTGTAACCATTGTCTGTTTGCTACATATTACAGGATTATCATGACTCCACTACAATAGTAATCTGAGAAACACATTACAAATCTGTAAGATACTTGAAAGTACTTCTGGCAGTTGACATAAGTGGTGACACAGAGATATTTTGTGAAGTTTGATTTGACAGGAAAACATAGCTCTATTCTAATTGTGTTGATAGGGACATGAGTACTCGACTTTCGAGTACAACTTGAGCAGTTACTTTCTGAATATTGTTGTATCCAGGGCTTACTGAATATTGTTAAATCTTGGGTAGTAAGAAGTTGATTTTTGCTCCATGGTGGTTCAAAGATATTTTTTAGCTTGTTAATTCAGAGGTAGATTCATATTAAATTTTGTTGTTGAATCATATTCATGGTAGTTTTTTTAGAGTTATTATATAAAAAGGAGGTTGTCTTCATATAACACCCAACTGCAAACCATTTTGATGAAAATCCGGCTGAACCATCTGTGACATTTATTTTTATTTAACAAGTTTTTATTTACAATCTATTCTATACTAGAACAATAAGTAAATTTCATGGCCATTTTGAGTATTTTATTGTAACGGGTAAAACAACCAAATAATTAAATATGATAGAAGTATCTGTGTTTTGATCCCATGGAAAAAGAAGCCTAGCCCTCGGAGAGGAAAATCAACAATCATGGCCTATTTTGACTTTTTAACATATGTGGTAGATTAATAAATATTTATATCAAGATCAGTTCTTCACTAGTTAGTCTTCCATATTGCTTTTGTTTTTGCAGGTACTTCAATGGGTTCCCCAACTCAAGCGAATCAGTTCAGATAGCATGTTATTACGACAAGTCTGCCAACAGTTTCCCCCAACTATACAGTGACGATGTTCAACCCGATGGCAGCATTTTTTTCTTGGAGACGTCCTGTCATGACAAATCTAGATCTGCTCTCACTCCACGTCAGGTCAGTTTTAGTGGCTTACTAGTAGGCCTACAAACGAGTTCCCTATAGAGTTGTTATCTATGTATGAACAGAACAGTGAGGGAAAGCCAAAGTGAAATGGGTAAGAATTACAATAGTATTTTACTTCATTCAGATATGAAATTTCTGATTGTAAAGCGTCATCAGTTTTGAATTTAGATGGGAAGACCAGATTAGGCTTCATACTAAGGACTTGTGTATGTTACTTGGAATATCATCTTGGTAACCCCATGAAAAATTGATGCGCGGTAATTAAGGACATCAGTAGTTTTATCTCCCAAAACCTTTTTTAGAACCGTTATGTGTTCATTTTTCTGTCTGTATTTGCAGGCACAAACACTTCCAAAAATTTCAAATTTAAATGAAATGCTGTACAAAAATCAAACTAAAATCTATTTGAATAAACATTAAACGTTTGAACCTGGTTTATTCATCTGTAGGAAGAGGAATTGGGTCCCTTTAAAACTCTTTTTGTTGTTGTTTTGCCCATATATTTTGGATACCGTATCTCAAAAGTCAAAATGTTAAGCATCTCCGTTCTTGCAATAGCATTAGGCCTACATCACTATTGTCTCCCACTCCCACTTTTGAGGAGAAATCATTGGATTGCAATACAAAAACCAAGACAAACCTTTTCCATTAATCACCAGTTTGGCTTTTTGCTAAATACCACAAGACTCATAGGTAAGGTAAAGAACAGAATTGATGAACCTGAGTTCCCATTCAATTCATGAATTACATTATGGGCCAATCATGATATTGACAAATTGATAACAGCAAGGCTTGTCATCTATTTTATTTTAGTTAATTTCAGCTTTACGAGGCTTAGCTGAAGTGTAGTGGTTTTCAGGCATGTGCAGTGGAGTCAGCTGCCAAGATGAACCCAGATGCAGATGTTTACGTGTTGTTTCCGTCCCCCGTCACTGACAACTCCTCAGCCCTCAGTGTAGGTGTGCAGCAGCTGCTGACTTACAACAATATCAAACTGCGACACGTCAGTATGGACGAATATTTCCGAGACACGCCACTCGACCAGTGGTATTCCTCTGGTAACTTTCCATCAATACACCCAGCGTTGTAGACTATACACGGAAGGTTGTATCAATAGTCAAAGAAACCAATTATGCTGCAAATTGAAACAAAACCTCTTTAAACTACAAGTTTAGTTTATGAGCCACTCAAACTAAAAAATCAAAATTTTTTGGGAAAGCAGCAGTTAACTTTTTAGGTAAGGTTTGTGTCTGACTGCCAATATCTGTTGGTGGTTAATTATTATTTTATTACTACAACTTTATTTGGCAACATTGAGATGCTTGGCAACACAATGAGCCTGTCAACTAGTCAAGAATGAACTAGTCATTGAGAAAACATTAGTTTATAGTAAGCAAGTTTTAGTTAGTATGCTGATTTTCGTTACCAAATTTAGCTTTCTTGAAGCAGGAACCAAAAATGCAATTCCATAACATTACAATCTAACAACCCCAACATATCATTATTCAAAACCTATGGACACTTATTTAACATTTAACTTTTTCAAGCTACTGTATCATTCTTTATCAGCTTTACTGTGTCACTTATAGGCATGCTGCGCACCAGCCGGTGGCCTATGTCTCACGCAAGTGATGTGCTTCGCTACATAACATTGTGGAAGTTCGGAGGCATCTACCTAGACTTGGACGTCGTTGTTACCAAGTAAGACAGTTCAAATGTTGGATAATAGCCACAATCGTACAATAATACACAATATGTAAATTTACTTAAAATATTCAGCAATTATTTTAATTCTTCGATACAATCCCTACAACTCTTAACTATTATACAATATTCTACTAATTATTCTACAATATCTGTAACTATTATAGTGAAAATTTCCGGTAATTAAACGTCATTCTATTCAAGTGTTATTATAATTAAATTATGTTTTGAGAGGTATAGCAAAATAAGCTTTGCACATGATAACTTTCTTTAAAAAGTGGCCCTAGGCCAGGATTGTGATTTTTGAATATCAGGTAGCCTACACTAGACAAAGTCCAAAGTACTGTGGTAAACTAAGCAATTTTGGCTTCTGATGTCTCGCCTGTGTGATCTTGCACAACATAAAATAGCAACTCATTTTGAAATCTCTTTATCTTATTAAAACCTCGGAGTCTGGAAAAGTCGAAATTATGAGTAGTTCTCGTTATTTCTAAACAATCTATTTTCAACCTTTCTTAAGGGCAATTGATATACTTTTTAACAAATGACTTGAATGTAATTTTTTTCAAATCTTACATCGTTGTAACTTGCTGAAATAATATACGAGTCAACCTCTGGTACTGTCACAGGAGACTGTCAAATCTCGTCAACTTTGCTGGAGCAGAGTCGTCAGAGGATGTGGCTGCTGGAGTGTTGAGTTTTTCCCGCCACGGTGTTGGACATGAGCTGGCAGCGGCTTGCGTACATCAGCTGCGGCGCGACTTCAGAGGCTACGACTGGGGCCACAACGGCCCAGGAATAATCACCAATGTGCTGCAGGATGCCTGTCAGACTAATAATGTGAGTTGTCCATAAAGTGTTCAGGAATTGGAAATAAAGGGAATCAAACTGGAATATCTCTTGATCAATGAATCAATGAGAATTATGTTATATTAGGATGTCTTTGTAAATACAGAAGGACAGTGAAGGTAAATTAATTGATCTAGAATGAATTGTTTATTATCCGTATTAGTTAAAACAACTTGGTAAACATAAATGACTCCAAAAGGTTAATAAAAGTCTTTTATAGGCCTAGCTTAGTTTTGCTCTTAAACAGTACATGTTTGTAACTTCTTTACCCTTCCAACAACTATTTTTTTTTTTTTTTTTTAGAGAGGAGAAATTTTGAGGCTGTCCATCAGGAAATAGACTACCATTACTTTATTTTATGATGCTTTTCAAAACATATCGCTTCTCAATAGTTATTATTGTGTAACTAGGGGGCGAAGTGGCACTTTTCTGCACATAAGAAAAATGTTTACGCATGAGCCGTATGCAAGTATGGAAAGTTTCTCGAGTGCAGCAAAGGCAGTTTGCACTTGTTTTACACATTATATTTTTCCTACACTTACTATAAATCATATAAATAATTAGTCTTTCAAACACTGTACAACACGTACGTACAGTGTGCGCCAAAGTAAGGCTTTCTGTACTATAAATCTGTGCAAGGAAGCCCACTTTGTCAAGTGACTGTAGGAAAAACATATTTTCACACCAGTTTATTCACTTTAAAACTGTGGTACTGTGAAAGAGAATAATTCAACTATGCTCTCAGTATTTACCTAAAGCTACTCATTTAATTTGTAATATTTGCTCATTGATTCATGATGACTGTGGCTTATCACCAAACGCAAATCTTGACCATTTTTCACAATTTTAAATTTGCCGTGACAATAACAAAACACTATCATATTTAATAAGGTGTAGTCACAAAAGATTTCTAAATGTATCCGTTGAATTTACCTTTATGCTTTTCCCCAGGTTATAAAGATGACTCCAGATAGATGTAAAGGCTTCACTGTGTTTCCGCCAAGAGCATTCTACCCTATACCCTGGCGGCAATGGCAGTTATACTTTAACTCTACCAGAAGTACCGAAACTCTCAGAAAAGTTTTAGGGAGCTATGCAATTCATGTATGGAACAAGTTTAGCAGCAGTGCCAACGTAACTGTGGGATCCAATCAGCCTTATGGAGTGGTCGCGAGTCAATTTTGCCCAAGAGTTTACTCTTCTGTTGGCTCGGTATTCTAATATCATCATACCAGCAGTACAGACTGATGATAAGTCAGTACTGTCCAAGAGTGTATTCCTGTGTTGGCTCGGTAATGTCATCATACCAGCAGTACAGAGTGATGATAAGTCAGTACTGTTCAAGAGGGTATTCCTCTGTTGGCTCAGTATTCTAATGTCATCATACCAGCAGTACAGAGTGATGATAAGTCTGTACTGTCCAAAGGGTACTCCTCTGTTGGCTCGATAATGTCATCATACCAGCAGTACAGACTGATGATAAGTCAGTACTGTCCAGGAGTGTACTTCTCTGTTGGCTCGGTATTTTAATGTCATCATACCAGCAGTACAGAGTGATGATAGGTTTGTTCTGTCCAAGAGTGTACTCCTCTGTTGGCTCAGTATTCTAATGTCATCATACCAGCAGTACAGAGTGATGATGATAAGTCTGTACTGTCTAAGAGTGTACTCCTCTGATGGCTCAGTATTATAATGTCATCATACCAGCAGTAGAGAGTGATGATGATAAGTCTGTACTGTCCACGAGTGTACTCCTCTGTTGGCTCAGTATTCTAATGTCATCATACCAGCAGTACAGAGTGATGATGAAAGTCTGTACCGTCCAAGAGTGTACTCCTCTGTTGGCTCGGTATTCTAATGTCATCATACCAGCAGTACAGAGTGATGATAAGTCTGAACTGTCCAAGAGTGTACTCCTCTGTTGGCTCAGTATTCTAATGTCATCATACCAGCAGTACAGAGTGATGATGATAAGTCTGTACTGTCCAAGAGTGTACTCCTCTGTTGGCTCAGTATTCTAATGTCATCATACCAGCAGTACAGAGTGATGATAAGTCTGAACTGTCCAAGAGTGTACTCCTCTGTTGGCTCAGTATTCTAATGTCATCATACCAGCAGGACAGAGTGATGATGATAAGTCTGTACTGTCCAAGAGTGTACTCCTCTGTTGGCTCAGTATTCTAATGTCATCATACCAGCAGTACAGAGTGATGATGATAAGTCTGTACTGTCCAAGAGTGTACTCCTCTGTTGGCTCAGTATTCTAATGTCATCATACCAGCAGTACAGAGTGATGATGATAAGTCAGTACTGTCCAAGAGTGTACTCCTCTGTTGGCTCAGTATTCTAATGTCATCATACCAGCAGTACAGAGTGATGATGATAAGTCTGTACTGTCCACAAGTGTACTCCTCTGTTGGCTCAGTATTCTAATGTCATCATACCAGCAGTACAGAGTGATGATGATAAGTCTGTACTGTCCACAAGTGTACTCCTCTGTTGGCTCAGTATTCTAATGTCATCATACCAGCAGTACAGAGTGATGATGATAAGTCTGTACTGTCCACAAGTGTACTCCTCTGTTGGCTCAGTATTATAATGTCATCATACCATCAGTACAGAGTGATGATAAGTTAGTACTATCCAAGAGTAGCTTACTCACATGTATAGTTAAATACTCAGGTTGTTGGTTAAATTGCTATTTGCCAATTCTACTGGCAACCAAGTTTGATCATGACAAAAAGTGATATTACTTTTCTCTACATTATAATTTATTTACCTATTGCATTTAGAAATGTGACATAATATTACTTAGTTTTAAATGACATATTATACAAATTTTATTTAGGCTACCTCTTTCAAATATTTTTATACATAATTGTGTTTGTTATATATGTTATGTTTTAAATGAAACCTTGACAAATTATATATTTTATGCTCTTATTTTGTTGTTGTATATCCTTAGTCTCAACCCATAGTTTGTTAGTTTCCGGTCGTAATATAAACAAAAACGCAAAACATCTGACATAGTTTAGAGAATTGCTGTCCATTTTTAAGTGACGTACACTTAGCTTGTACAGCAATTCTACACTGTACAGTACAAAATTTTGGTAAATTATTTGTTTTACAGGGATTTTTTGTTATATTTTATTTAAATTTTTAGAGTGAGTAAGCATACATATTTGTATTCTTTAAAAGGTATATTTTTATCAAGTAGGTACTGGACTATTATACTCCTTTCACAATATTTAGGCGATTTTAGGGGAAAAGATCTATCCCTTCCTCTTAACCCTTTCCTTCAAAATAATAGCTCATTAACAAAACAACCTGCGCAGAAACAAAAAGATCACGTGGTTCGCGCCGGTAAGTGTGGCGTACCATTCAATCGTGCGTGGCTCGAAACGGCCCAGGGTTCTTTTGTTTCTGGTATTACTATACCTGTTTTTTTTTTAGAGCCCAATACTAGAGCAAGATAAAGAGCTTGGTGCACCTTTAGAAGAAAACCCGGACTCAATGGCTACACAATAAACAATATACCCTTGCTCTTGTACGCTTGCATACGTTGGCTCATGGTTTGACTGCCATATTTTTTTTAAGTATGTAGTACAATGTGTCAGATTAAAATTATGATAGGGTTTATGGCCTCGCAGTCACCAGATTTTGACAGAGCGCTCAGCACAAGAACATAAAATTCAATCAATGAAAGAGTCTTTAGGTCTTCTTTCCATTAATAACGATAAGCTAGATTTTAAACGGACCAGTTGGCAAACTCTTCTGGAGTTCTGGTGTTTTGTGTAATCCCTCTTCTTATAGTATAAAAAAGAAAAACCCAATCGCTGAGACTCTAAGCAATCGTAGAAGAGAGAAGCTTCCATTGTTGCTGAATGACAAATCTGCTGGAAGGATTAATTCATCTCGGCATTGCCAGACATATCGTTCAATCCGGAATTTGAATATGCACTCAGTCGAAATAATAGTAATTTTGGTGATATTAACCGAACATAAACGTTACAGTTGTAGTATATTACGTTACTTGTCTGGTAAGTGGTGTTTTACCGTGCGAGCACGACACCTCGTGTGGTATTTTCATGCGAGTCCGGTAAAGCTTACCGGGCAAGTAACGTACGATACTTTACATCATACTACACAACACAATTAGTACATTTTAAACTCATAACACAATTTATTTAGGACATAACATAAATTATAATATTTTTATATTTCAGAAAATAAAATAGACCATTGCAGTTAGCTATTAATTTCATTAGCTGACTAAGTGCACGATAAAAATACATTAACCACGTTACTTTTCCGTGTGTAGGCACAGAAAAGGGAAACTTTCCAGTCTATCAATACAGATGGAAAAGTACCTGTTTCTGTGTAGTATGATGTTAAGAAATTAAACCTCCTTTGCCTCCAATGTCAACAGTTTGTGTGCCGAAGTACTTTACCCCTTGTACCTCGGACATACTTTTGAAAATCTCTAAAACAGGTACAAATAATGGAACCTTTTTTAAATCTACTTATAAATGCATGTATTTGGTTCATCGTACTACACTAATAATCTGGTTTTAAATACAACTTGTTACTAAATCTTGGTTGTCTTAAAAATCACACAGAATAAAGAACAACAGTTAAACCAGTCGAGAAGAGAAGGCAAATGAGTGTGAAATATCTGCGAAGAGATGATCTTTTTGAGAATCCACAGTAGAGTTCCAACAAGGGAAGTAGGACATGAAGGACATCGGGGCCCATGAAACCCAGGTCTCTCAATATCTGAAAATTAATAGAAACTTCTGTAAGGTGTTCATTGAATTCCTTAAAAAACTTTTTTAAATGCTCAATGATTTTTAAAAATATGAATTAAACTTTTAACAAATGCACAATACATTTGTGAAAATGAATAACAACTTCTCAAAAATGTTATTGAATTTCTGTAGGTCATGTGTTTATTATAGTGACACAGTATTTGTCACAAAAACTCAGTACCATATTTTCTCCTCACTCCTCACTGATTATTACTGATTTAGCTTACAATAGGTTGTTCTATCAGTTTGACTTTGTTGAAAGTTAGTGTATTCAACTGAAATCAGAAGTTACAATCATTGCACTCTTGTTGGAGGCTCAATGAAACTTTGTCTGTTTTGTTTCAAAACAGCGACAACTTGAACATTGATGGAATGCTAAGTTCTACCAATAGTCAAAGGTATTAGGTTACCTGATGTTTATAGCCCTCTCCTCGTATGACATTGTCCAAGAATTGGTCTTTTGTTGCCACAACAATATGAACGGTTGCCACTATAACTACAGGCAGTATCAAGACTGGACGCAGCGGCACTTCTTGGTCCGCCAGTCCCAAGACAAGACATGTCGACACCAGCTCGGACATGGAGAACCACCACTGATGATTCCATTGTGAGTAGAAGTCGTCATTCCAGTAGTTGAAGAAAGACCACCTTATACCAGTCAAGGTTGACAAATCTTCATTACAAAAATTAAATAGGCCTAACCCAGAAACCAACCCTTGCCTCTTTTAGAGGCTAAATTTTTTAGTGCAATGTAAGTTTTAAAAATACCAACAAATTAGTGTTGAAATAAAATGTAGTAAACAAATGTAAGTAATGTCATGTATTTTTAAAAGACACCATTTCCTCACATACTATGCAATTGTATACCTAACATCAGTATCATCCAAAAATATGTTATTAAAAAATTATAAAAATTAAATAGGATTATTATGTACAAGGATAGGGATGAGCTAGCTTACCTGGTAGAAAAAAAAGACTGGTCCCTAACAGGGAAGGAATATAACGTTTTAGTGTTATGTGTGTGTTACCAAAGCTAATCTGGACTCTATCTGCCAGGTAAGCTAGCTGATCCATATAATAGTCTTGTACATAATAATCCTGATCAGCTAATTGGCTTTTCCTTAATTTCTAACCTAAATATTAAATATAGTTATATCAAATCTGCATATTAAAAAATGTTGGTTTTTCTTTTCAGAGTCGGTTAGGCTCTTCTACTTCTATCCGACCGATTTAGATAGTTCTGGTCTTAAATTAAAGGTATGCATGCACAGATTTGCTATCAAGCATCGGCATTCATTTGCCGGATGTATTTGTCTAGTATTTATTTATGAAATATTTAATCCTGTAAATTGTCACCTCTGGACCTCCTACAGCGCTTGATTCTCTAGGTAGTTTTCTTTGACATTTTTGACAAGTTTTGGGGGTTACCTGGGCTATAACTTGGTGAATGTTTGCGTTCAGTTGTTCAAATTATTTAAGTTTTTTTAGGGTAGACACGATTCTTTAAAACCCCCCACAGAAAGATATCTACAAGTGTCACACACATACCGGTAAGCATTAAGGGTAATTGAATAACTAGATTAAAATTGGCCGATTTTAAAAGTAGATTTTTTTCCTACAAGTTTATCTGATCTTGTTCATTGGAAGTGCTATCAAAAGAGTTACAACTGAATATTTTCATGAGTACCGTTAATGCATGTAACAAAAATTTAAGTTTTAAACTATATATTCTGACAAAACAGAGCTTACCAAGTATAGTAATTTGAAAACATTGACGAGATGAAGAGAATAAACATAGAGATTCGGAGCCGCTGCCTGAGAAGTAGCGCTACCAGTCGTCTTATAGCCTCGTATAGTCCGATGACACACAGCACAGTCAACACCCATATCTTGACAGAGTTCGGAGTGGCGTTGAAGTAGACATGTTTGTACGAAGCTATTCCCGACTCGTAAGTCCCTATAACATTAATACTTCTTGTCTGTGCAATGGAAGAATGTCTAAAACTTTGCCACGAGTAATATCATAATGTAAGAATGCTGGTACGATGTGGTAAAACGAAAATTATTTTTTTGTAATCATCTCACTTAGTTATTGCCGTTTTTAAGTGTGCAATCAAAATATGATCAGTTTTATTGTCTAGTTATAAACACATATAGTGCTTCTGCTTGCCTTGTAATCAGAATGTTACAGGATTGATCCCGAGAAAAGTCAAAATCGGTTAATGTTTCAAACCTGGACCCAGCTGTCCTTGGTAATTGGGCTTCTAATCAAATAATCCTGGCTATAATAAACCAGCTGATCTTAGTAACAAAACTGTCAACTCATTCATTCAACTCTCATTGTTTACTAATTTTTGTCTTATAAATATGCACCCTGGTGTTTTTAAGTAAGAAAAAAGCTCATGTCTCTCTTACCATTTATGTACAACCATTTGATTGTTATTAAAGTCATGATGAATGTTAAAAACAAGTATGTGGTCACTGGTCAGAGCATTTTGTATTGCAAGGTTGATGTGAAAAATTGATAATACACCTTCTTGGATTGAAAGCACTTTTTACCAAGGTCTTGGCAATCAAGAACAAAAGTTGAAGATCCCAAGGCAGTTAATCGAAATATTATTAAAACAAAATCAGACGGTTTTAGTCAGGATTAAGTTGTTACATTCATAAAAGAAAAAAGTTAAAAGAATATTAAAATTTTTTTATTAACTAAACAAAAGTATCAAATGGGAGCTTAAGAAATTCATGCTCTACGAGGAAAAAACCAACAAGAAAAGTCACTGCATTGAAAATTTATGATTTATGGGTAGAACAGTGTACATAATTTTACTTACGATCTATAGAAAATTATTGCCAGACTCACCCTTAAAAACAGTATCCCAACATGAGCACGTACAATAACGTTTGTCTACGCGATGATTATACTGTCGCCAAAAGTGGTAGACAATGTAAATATGAATTGGAGGAATTAATATTGGTCCAAAACATGCTAACAGTTTTGTTATTAAACTGTCAATAATTTTTAGTTGTTGACTTCCTAGAAATATATTGAGAACTCTCTTGCGATTCAACATATTAATATTATTTATGTAATTTATGTTTTAACCTTTTCAAAGTATTGTTTATTCAACATAAATATTACATATTCTACAAAAAAGTAAATTAAAAAAAATATTTAACATACAAATGTCATTAAATATTAAGAACTATACGGTAATTCATAGTAGTAAAGCATTTATTCAAACAATTAACCTAAAGAGTATAAACAAATCCAATGGAACACAAACAAAACAGTGCCATTGTGGTCAGAGTGTAGAAGGTCTTTAATGCCAATGCGATTGCTAAATATATTGTTGAGATCCAACAGCACCCAGGCAATTATCTATTTATACTCATTCAGATAATTTTAAACTTTTAAGGAAACTGTTTTATTTTAAACTTTACTGAATTACTACCCAAGTAGGCATATGCACTCTTACCATAACTATCTTGATTGTTTATTTGTTTCATAGCAACTACCTAAACTCCAAAGAGTGATACCGTACCTGCTTGTAAGAGTTCCAGCGTAAATAAATTGTTTTTCAATATTGTAATACTACACTTTTTATAGGAATTATAGCAGTTTTGAATAGGAATTATTATTTTTACCTGGATAATTTATTTAAGAAATAAATTTAGTAAAATCATGTTTTTTTTATTTTAATAAGTCAAATAAGCAAAAATCAATAATGCAACGATGGTAAAATATTTCTTTTATTTTATTATTGCAATTTACTATACCGTTATGTAACTAATTTTCTTTTTATTTTACTACTAAATTACATAATGAAAAATACCTTTATTGTAGAAAATTTGCAGATTAAGTGAATTTATATTTGCCTCAGAAGCTTTTCACTAAAATATTTCCTTAACATTTTCAGATTTATTCCCTTTTTCAAACAACATTAGTAATCTAATCTTAAAATAAATTAAATATACATAAACGAATAGCCTGCTTAGATTTTCTGTTACATGGAGGGCAGAATTGTTGTTTTTTTTTTTTTTTTTTGGTAAACAATGTAAATGATTGACATCATCTTATATACTAATACCCCCGCCGCAGCAAACCTGCAGACTAAGCGAATTTCCATTTGCCTGATTGGATTTACACTAAAATGTCTACTTCAAAATATAACATTTATTCCTTATTTAAATTGAATTATTTTAACAAGTGTACTTAGGTTTGCTGCATCAGGGAAGGTGATACTGTTTTTTTTGTAAAATATTAATAGTTAGTAAGAAATAAAAACATTTTCCAAATTTGATCAAAATATGTTCATAAACAAGCAAACTACAACAGTTGAACAGTATATATTCTCCATAAGAAAAACTTGGGAATTTTAAATTTAAAATTTTTTGGAATTTTCTCCGTAACCATTAGGCACATAGTAACGCTTTAATATACTAAATTATTTGTTTTTTTAAGCTCTACAAAATGGTTTAGAAAGAAATTGCAAAATTTTATGTTTTTTGGGTCAAAAATGGGAAAATCCTATTTTTACTCCATAAAACCCCGTTCCCATAGTCCGATCATGCTGGTTCGCGAACTCGTTCGAATAAATGTAGGTTTACACGTTTATACCAAATTTCATCAAAATCGGATCATTTTTGCTTGAGTTATCGTGCTAACGGACACATATATATATACATATGAATTTGAACGGATGGTGTTTTTGGCCTCTAGGGACCTCAAAACGAAAAAAATCGGTCCCGCGTCCAGGTCTTACCATGAGTATTACGATAATAACTTATTCCCTATATGGGAAATTCGCTAAAAAACTTTTGCAAAACTTGTAACAGCTAGCCTGACCATATTACTGGACCGAATTACATGCGGTTGGTACCAAACCAAATTAAAGATATTTTCCTGTAGATGTGCAGAATCCCTTTATAAATTAAAATAGGCTCAACAATAAGCATGGAAAATGAATTTGAAATTAAAAAAAAATTCACATGGGCCTTATGGGTTGCTATGATGGTGACAAAATAACAACAAAATATAAACAGAAAATCCAAACTCCAAACATATTCCAATCACATGTTTTATTTCCATTGTGGGGTGAAAGTAGGGAAGTCTACACTATGTTATGAAAATGTTACATGTACTATGTAAAAAAATGTCCTATGTTAAAATATGTTATGACATATTTTTGGTTGATAATGACTTTATGTAAAGAAAAAAATGATATAAATAATCTCATGTAGAAATGATGTCATTTTAAATTGGTTAATATACAGTGTTATTATAAAAAAAATCATCTTTTATTTACCTGTAGTTCGACTATTATATATTACATGATTAAAGAGTGATACTGTATAACCTTTGGAGTAATCGGCTAATCCGAAACTTTGTTTTATTAACAGTCTTGATAAATACATTTTGTCTGATTATTTAAATATCTACCACAAAAAAGTACCTAACATAAATTATTTTATCCGTATTCAACAATTTTTACAACTTCTAGCAGTTCATATATTTAAAGGATTCATTATCTATTTCACTGTCACTTTTCAAGATTCAAATGCAATTTGGACGGCTGTTTGGACCATCAAAAGGATTTTTTTTGTCTGTGGATCCAAGAACAGTAAATAATAACCTGTCGACTAAGCGAATTTCAATTTAACTGGTTAGATTTTTACTAAAATACCCATCCCATTAAATTGTCTGATCTATTTTCCATATAAACAACATTGCCCATTTTAACCCAAAAAGCCCCCCATAAAATCGTGTTCCCGCATAGTCTGATCATACTGGTTCGTAGGTTTACATGTTTTTTGTTTGGGCCAAATTTAATCTAAATCAGATAATTTTTACTTGAGTTGTTGTGTTTTATATATATAGAATGCTCGATTTGTAAAAAGGGGCCAGAACTGTGACCTATTTAATGTTATTGTTTATGTAGGTAGTCATTTATGTCAATATTTTTATCTCTCAGAAAGAGAGGAACCGGAAGGCCGTTCCGCCGCAAATCGAGCACCGATATATAAGTTAGATAAAGTGAACCAATAGCTACCTTTTTTTATTAGAGCAGAACAGTTAATTTCTTATGGGGGACTCCCCTTTATTTTTAAGGTGTTTTTTAGGTGGTTTAGAGTTTGTAAAATATGACCGGCATTTTCCAAAATAGCCGACAACTTAAATACTGTATTTCTTATGAACACGAACACCCTGTATTTTATCATTGTTTTAGACTGTAATACGATTTAACGTTTTTATTCTCGACATGTTTTCTCTAAAACTACGGTATTTGAGGACAGCAGTAGCCTACGGTTCAGGTTACAGTTACAGTATGACTTAAAGGAACAATATGGCTTGCAATGGACATCTGCATCCTGTATAGCTCCTATAACGAGTAAGTTTAGAAAGAAAATTCATAGAATAACCATTGTATATAGATTTTAAAAATACTATTAATTCAGAGTTTTGTAATTTTAAAATTGCAGCAATTTTCGTAAACAAAATTAATATTCTTAATGTATTTATGATATTTTTTATTTAGATGTACCGTAATTTTAAGACTTATCTACTCTTTGCATTTTCTCTCTAAACTTACTCATCTTATTTTTAAAATTCGAAAGCATACAAAAACACCTAAAAAAATTAAGTGCCCCATAAGAAAGTTATAGTTGTCTTTCGCTGGTCCAGTCACACTACATCGATCGGCTGTTCTTAATTGAAATGGCCTGAAAGTCATCGCCTTTTCAATTAATTAATTAACTAGCTGCCGTACCTACCAGTAATTATACTAATTCGAGTAATTTCCGTAATTTCAATAGTAATAATCATAATTCATAATAGTAATATGTATTGTACAATAATATGTACCTACATATCCCACACAACACAAGAATATCCTTGGAATGTCCTGGGGATATCCCAGTGGGATATGGGGGATATCCTCTGTATATCCCGCAATGTCCTCGGGATATCCTGGGGAACTCCCTATGTCCGCCCAAATCCTGATCCCTGGGATATCCCACCAGGATATTATACACAAAAACACTAAATAATAAATATTTCGTCCGAAAAGCACTTTTACCACTTAAGTACCTATTTTAATTAAATAGCTCATAAAAACAAATTTTTGGAAAAAATAGAAACAAAAATATTTTTGCCCAGACGAGTTTTGAACCGGGTACCTCTGACTTATGAAACTCTTACCTTACCTCCTGAGCTATTTGTGATTGATGATATTACTAGTTTTCAAGCGGTTAAAGAGGAGCCGACAGCTGAAATGGTCGCAATACTTATTTTTGATACTATGATTCTGTTTAGGCATCAAGTTGTTAAATTGTTTTTCTGGGAGTTGTAGAGGACACTGTAATAAGAATATAGATTATAATTGTTATATGATTAATTAATATTTCCCCTTAAATTTTCAACCAATAAATTTTCTTAAATATAAGTTTGAATTTAAATTAAAAAGAAAATATTTGCATTATTATTATTATTGTAAGCAGGTGTATTATTGTTATTATTATTATAAAATGGTAAACATTTAGAGTTTGATAGTTACTATGCCCCACGGGGATATCCTACGGATCTCCAAAGGATGTCCTAGGGATATGATCGGAAAACATGAATAGTTTTTATAAATCATTATAGTAACGTTATTAGTTATTTTAATTCGAAATAGTATTGAAATACTTTTTAATAACGTTTCTCAAGCACTTGTCACTTGAAAAAATACATCCAATACTATAAAATACGTTTTCAGGCCCACTTTTATAAACGGGCAGACTGGGCATATGCCCAGGGGCACCAGAGGTTTGGGGGCGCCCACCGGGTGCCCCACAACCACCGCCTGCCCGCACTAGGAAAAAAAGAGGGGCACTGCTTTTGGGTTTGCCCAGGGCTCCACTGACCCTTAACGCGGCCCCGCGTTTTAATATAGGTAGCCTACCAAGAATATCCATAGGAAGTCCCCAGGATATCCTCAAAATGCATTAGTTTGTTTTGGATATGTGCAATATCTCAGAGTGATCCTAGGGACATTCTCAAATCCTGGGTTCTATGTGGGAACTGGTTAGGATCCTGTGCTGTGTGGAAAAGCTGTATTCGGTAGCATATTTTGAGAAGTACTTGAGTTATTAGCAGATTTTACAAATAAATTATGAAAAAAAGGATATCGTGGATATTCTAGGGATATGCCAAAGATATTCCTGTCCCTCGATCAAAAACCCTCAAAAAAAAAAAAAAAAATAATTATTGTAACGGGAATATGCCAGGAATGTCCCAGGGATATTCCTATATCCCATGGGATATTGGAATATCCCAGGAATGTCCCAGGGATAATTTCTATATCTCATGGGATATTGGGACGTTTTGGGAACTCTGTGGGATATCCTGAGGATATTCTGTGCTATGTGGGATACAATTATTGAATGTAAACATTACAATGACAATGATCTGGAAAATGCCAAATAAAACATGCTTTGAATCAAATTTTAGATTCTGTAACATCCATTTAATAAAATCCTTGTAATGTAAAATATGATATAAAAAGGTGCAAGACGATGATGACGTTTCCGTGACCGCGGGAGTGGAGGCACGGCCCACGACCGCCTTAAAAGGTGGCCGTGATATGATGAGGTCTATACATGGCTGCGGGAAATGTTGATTGATTTTGACGCAATCTCGCATGACGTTTCCGTGATCGTTGGAGGCGATGATAATGTCTAAATGGCCGCGGGAGATGTTCATGATTTTGCCGCTGTCGAGAAAGACGACGATGACGTTTCCGTGGCCGCGGGAGTATGGAGGATGATGTCTACACGGCCGTGGGAGATAATCAGAATTTTGCCGCAATCGCGAAAGACCTCGCCCGTCAAAAAGACACTGGATTACTGGAGTACCGGAGTGGCGTAGACCATGGCCCCCTTTAACTCCAGGCCGCGGCCTTTGAAGTGGCACCATCGCAAGTAGGGTTGTAACAGCTGTTTTTTTTAGACAGCTAATGGTATTTGTTTACATATTTTAAGAATACACAAAATATTGAATTCACTTTAAATGTACCGTACAAAAATACATTTTCAATTTAAATAATGTTTTGGTTTTCAATTCTATATGTTTTATTTTCAATATATTAATACTTTTATGTTCATAAATTTAAATTAATAATACGCGAATTAATGAGCTGGTGTCACCTTTCAGCCATGAGATGTCTGGCGCTTGACAACACTACTTGCAACGTTGCCAATTCTACCAGGCCGCGGCCTGGAGTTAAAGGTGGACGTATTAGAATTAGAAAGGAAGAGAGGGTCTACTATTAGAGCAAGGTGGAATTCCACCATGATATTAGAGCGTTGTACATTTGTGTCCCATAATCAATGGAAAATTACTGATAAGACTGATTTCCTTCTCTCCTCGCTATTTCTCCTGACACTTGACTTACCTACTTCATGGTCATATGACACTTACACCACCTGATCTGACGTTCTGTTCTGTGTTCTGTCATCTGTTTTGTTTTTGTGTTCTGTTTGTTGTTTAGTTTAGTGTCGTTCTTTGATGTGATTGTGAATGATAATATTATGAAACGATAAGGATAGCATTCAGCATTCTGTTCTAGCAAAATTTACCAACATAAAAAAGACGTCTTAGTTTTTGGTATGAATCCTGTATTGATGGTAATTATGCTGCATTTTCCTATTTAAATGATCTAAACAACTTAAATTCCGTTGCAGTATCCACATACATTAATTCAATGATAAGCTAAAATATTCAGTATTCAGTACTACTGTACTATGGAAGCAATACACAAAGCAAGGGTCAGTCAGGTAAGTTACAGTATTGATATAACTGATCCATATTTTCAAGGCTTTCTATTATTTAAAAGTTATGTCTAATCCTTATCGATATACGAGCCTAGGAGAGCTTGAATAAGGTTTTGAAGGCTAGTTATCATCAAAATCGTTGGATATCTTTTGGATTTGAAGGCCAAGGTTAGATCCTTGATGTAGGTAAAACAGAGATTGGTTACACATTAGTGTGTCTTAAGTACTTTTGTAGGCCTAAATGCTTTACAATACCTCATTGGAGATTGATACTGATCAAACCTCCAAGGTGTAAAAAGGCTGTATTTCCAAAACATCAAATTAATCATTAGGTCCTAAAAGGTTTTTGATTCTTTAAGTCAGTAGGCCTACCAGCTCAGTGAACTGTGAAACCAAAGCTGCGATGTCGTGGGTTTGCATCCTGGTGCACCACTTGAAACCTATTGTATCAGCTTGTCCCTTGCTTGATAGTCCCCTGCACAGGTCTTTGAGGCCCATGTAAACGTGCAAACACAAGATTAAAAGAAAAGCTAATTACCAATCTTTTTTAGCTCTTAAGCTAAGTAGCACCAATAAACCTCAGTCTGACCTAAGATAGTTATTTACATGACAGCTCCCTTTTTAAAGAAATAAGTTAGTAGGCCTAGCCTACAATTTGTGTACAACTCTACGAGATTTACAATAAACTACCCAAGTTAGTTAAAATCTGGAATTTGGAGGTTTTTGGTATTATCCGGAGGCCACTAATTTTAGAGGGATTTATTTTACCGGAGACCAAAAATAACTACATAATTGAAAAGGAGATAACTTAGCCTACTTTAATTGACTTACTGTCCAAATTTGACATGATTACGATTAGTGGCCTTTGAGTTCTACCTCCCAGAAGTCAACAATGTCGGTGAGGATTGAATTGAATGTGTCGTAAGTATGTACTCCACCAAGTAGGTACCGTATACTTAGGTTGGGTTTTTCTTAAATATGTTTATAAGACTTGTACCGATTTAATTTTAATTTTGGAAAAGCCTAGTAACTTAAGTTAGTCTTTGACTTTAGTGTGACTTTAGTTTGACTTTAGTGTCCAATCACTAAGCTAGTTAACGCTTGCCTCGCTAATGGAGTTTTTCCCGATTGCCTTAAAACAGCTAGAACAGTTCCTATCTTTAAGAAGGGTGACCCTACAAATTTGGCAAACTACCGGCCTATATCAATCCTCCCTACCTTCTCTAAGATATTTGAAACTGTTATGAAAAGGCAACTTGTAGAATATCTGGAGGCAAACACCCTTTTGAGCAACGCACAACATGGCTTCAGAAGGGGGCGCTCCACGACTTCGGCTCTAATCGACCTAGCGAACATAATCACAGACGCTTTTGAAAACAATGAGTCTGTTCACCTGAATCTGTGTGACCTCAGCAAAGCGTTTGACGTTGTGTCACATAGCATACTTTTGGACAAACTGAGACTCTACGGTATTGGAGGGAGTGTTCTTGATACACTATCGAGCTATCTGCAGGGGAGAGCACAGATCGTCTCATTGTATGGCGCATCTTCTAGTATGAGGAGTGTTAACCATGGTGTCCCCCAAGGGTCTATTTTAGGCCCACTTCTCTTCACCATCATGATAAATGATCTGGGGTTAAATGGTCAAACACTTTTGTTTGCGGACGACACAACCCTTATATCCACAGGTCGAGACATAACTCAGCTTAAACTGGAGGCCGAACACCTGCTATCCCAGGCTAAGGACTGGTTTAATGCTAACCAGCTTAAAATCAACGAGGAGAAAACTCAATCTCTGATATGTAGCCTAAAAACTGTGGAGGAGGAAGAACCAGTAAAACTGCTCGGCTTTTGGATAGATTCCAAATGTAGCTGGAATTCCCACATTGAAAAGGTGTGTGTGAAGCTTTCCCGTGTGGTTTATCTTCTGAGAAAACTGAGATCAGAAATCACTCTACCTTATCTGATGACTGTTTACCATGCCCTCTTTCACAGTCATATTACATATGGCTTGGTCCTGTGGGGACACTGTTCAGCTGCGCAACAGGTCCTACTACTGCAAAAGATGGCACTTCGGGTGATCACATTTGCGGGATATTACGACCACTGTCGCCCGATTTTTGAAGAACGGCAGGTACTAACTGTGTTCAGCCAGTATGTGTATAACATCCTTGGTCTCCTGAAGGAAAAGGAAACTGACTTCGACAGAAGGAGTGACCAGCATACTTATGGGACACGGAATGCAGTAGACCTTGATATGCCCCGATGTCGTCTTAGCAGAACTCTAAAATGCTACCCACGATACGCTATCAGGATTTTTAACACGCTTCCCAAAACTGTTAGAGACTTGAAGATTAAGCCTTTCAAAAAGACCCTCCTCAAAGCACTGGTGAAAAGGCCGTTGTACTCGTTGGCCGAGCTTGAAGAGCCACTCTTTCCATCCTGATTCTGACATACGGTAACTGGACCTAATTATTCAAAACCGCCATGCCACAATTTTTTCTGTAGTATAGTGTTTGTAAATATTAGTTTTTGTATAAATTGTATATATAAATAAATTGACGCAATCTATCCGATAATGTCGGTCAAAGATGAAGACATCAAGTAAGTATTAAGTAAGTACAAGTATGTGAAAGGAATGAGTTTATTCTCTGGCATATCCACAAAACTTTCAGAGATTTTGCCCACCTTCCCTTAAAAGTCTAGGTAAGTTATGTTTGTGTTTTTTTTTATAAAAATGGCCACTATGGCATAGTCCACAAAAATACCACCAGCTGAGTATGCATCCTTGTTGTTTTCTAGTATCTCTCTTAACACTTTTGGTTCATCATGAAATTAATGTCTAACAAATTATCTTTGTTTTAGAATAAAAAGAAGACAAAGAAATCAAAATTTAAAACAAGTGATGGGAAAGTTCAAGAATGTTCCTACGAAACCTTGCCACAAGAAGTGGAAAGTTTAACATTATCTGACAGTGAAGAACTCCCTCAGGCAGAAGTTGTTAATTCTGCGGAAACTGTGATACCATTTGTCTCAGATGCCAGTGAAGTTTATCAAGAGTCTGTAAATCTTCTGGAATATGAAGGTATCGATCATCTTGAAGTTCAGCCAAATGAACTAAAATCTTGGCAAGAAAGTAACTTGGCAGAAAGTAGTGAGATATCAAACTATTTCCAGGATTCAAAAGATCGACACCAGGGTACTCTAACCGAAACAGAACTTGATGAAATTCATTCTCCTATCGCAGAGATAAATTTGTCTAGTCATGCCAACACAACATTTGAGTCGCCATATCTTTCATCTCCATCAGTCGAGTCAGCTCAAGGCACAATGGGATTGTGGGTAGAACCTGGCAAAGAAACAGAGATTGCCAATGAAGCAAGTCCTTCTGCCCCCGTTCTTCAAATTCCATGTAGTAATTCAATTGAATCGAATGTTGATGAGATAACTCCTGATACAGGAAGTGTTGTGAAGGACCAGCCATTCTTTCCGTTTCACTATAGAGAAGAAGAATGTGAGCAGACAGTGAAACCATTTACATTACAGCAACTCAACGCACTTTACCACAACCAGGAGTTGGAGGGGGTTGACCAGTTTGTCGCTCAGTTTGTTGAGAGTGAAGCTCGCTCTGGAGATAGTGTGGGTCACCCTCTGTACCAACTTTTGACTAATTTTCTACGAGCAAGGGCAAAACTTGCTGTCAACAATGTAGAGCTTGATGCTTTGAAACAAGAGTGCGCTGATCATCAGTCACATCTGTGGTCTTTGGAAAAGTGTGTCGTCACTGAACGGGGAGAGTGTCAGGTAATGTTGGCAGTTGTTAGCCTATATTTAAACATTTGTTCTTAAAACTTTCGCTGTGTTTTGTGACTAAGTTAATGTTCTCGATCATGATCAATTTAAAAATGATCAAAAGCTACCTAAGCTGTTATTTTGTCAATTGGTTTTAAAATGAAATATCTCTACAACACAATTAATTTTGAAGTTTTTGTTCGGTTATTTTAAAATAGGCCTACACAAAGATGACTTCTTTAATATACGCTAGCATAATATCTGCTTGGACACAATATAGTGTTTTTTTACACCATTTTAAATGTCAGTATAAGCAAAAGAACATGTACCTGCAGTAAAACTTCACAATGATTCGTTTTACCTCCAGAATTCCTGGCACTGTTTTTATCGCCCAGCGATTTGGAATACTTTCTTGCCAGCAGCCTATCTAGACGTGATTTTCTAAAACCAGTAATAAATCAATGAAATTAAAAAAAAAACCTGGTGGTAAATTAACGACAAAGTACCTAGATAACATCAATATAAAAAAACTACTGATGAATGTGAGGGAAGACAAAGAGACACGATTTATTTTTAATTTATTTCAATAAACAATGTCTTATTATTTAGCTGTCTTAGTTGCCTATATTTTAAAATTAGTAGCCTAGTTTGTCTGAAATAAAAAAAAAAATGTTTTCCTACAGTTACCTGACAATGTACATGTTCTCTCACTGATTTGAGAAAGCAAAGTGGCCAATTCGCTCATCAGTGAGACAATGTTAACATTGTCTCACTCTAATTACTTTGTCTCACTCCAGATTTGCAACGTGAAGGCACGAAATAGTGGGCGCGTAACATGTGGTAACATGCAGGCAACGTCGTATGCGCGCGAAATACGTTGGTAGCACTGGCTGTAAATCAGCTGGTCAGCTGTTGTACTGTTGTATTTGTCACTTCACATTAAATGTTATATTAAAAGTTAAAATGTGTAAAAATAGGTTATGTTTCTTCATCAATTTATTTGTTTTATGGTAACTGTAGGAAAAGTATAATGTGCAACTCGAGTTCAAAGTACAATTGCCTCACTCGAGAAACCATTCCTCACTCGCCTACGGCTCGTGAGTAAGGATTTCTCTCGAGTGAGTCAATTGCTCACTTTTCTCACTAGTTGCACAAATAACTATTAGCTCTTTAACTATTGAAACACCAAAAGATTTTAGTTTTGATTTTTTACTAGACAATATTTCATAATGTATATTTAGAACATATACCTAAGCGGTATTGGCAACATTTTTTTTTCAGTTGTTTATTTTTTTGTGTACTAGGATGGCAATCCTGTAGAAGCATCTCACGAGTTCCAGACAGCTCATTACAACAAGAGCTTGGCTATGACCCTAACTCGAAGCCTTTGTTCAGTTCGTGATTTGGTAGCAGAGTCATTTGCTCTCAATGCATACACCTGTGAAGTCGTCAAACTGCAGGTAATTTAAATACATGTTTTACTACCTACAACATTGAATACATTACTAATAAAACTAACTTAAAGGAGGCTTTTAACTGCCGAATTATGATAGCCAGTGTTACGTGGATATTGTCCTGAATCCACCTGTGAATAATTTGTATCGTAGGCCTATTGAAATATTTTACTGTAATCCATCCTTCAAATAATTTGGTCCTTGCATTTAGCATATACATACTATTCTTTCACATAAAGGTATAGTCTACCTTAAACTAGCATGATAGGTAGGTAATTTTATTTTTTTATGTTAAAGGTCTAAAAGAAGAAGTTTTAGCATTGGAGTTTTTTTTTATTAATTTGTTGTAATTTGCCTGTTACACTGGTTAAAAGAAGCACCGTGCCAGTTCCTATAGTACATAATCCTTTATCAATTTATATAGACTAAACTGAGGAAACCTGAATCATCATTATATCATCAACAGTGATAAAAAAAAACACACCATTAATTAAATAATGGTTTTTGCTTAAAAATATTTTGAAACTGTACATATATAAATGCCTGTTTATAGGTTGAAAATTACATCCAGAAACTAGAAGCAGAGTTTTCATTTCTTCCTCACAACGCTCCTGTAAACCTGATATCCGAGGCTCTTCCTACGTTCAGCCAAACAGGTCAGTGAGGTGATTTCTACATACCAATCAAGAAAAAACTATTCCATGATCATGATCTAGCATTAGTTACAAAATTCTTTGTCAACTGAATAGCACCTTTGTTGTCACAATATACATCAAATGGGTTCAGAGCATTTTTTGGATCAATTTCTGAGATTAACTGTCTTAACCATAACAATTCTTGAACTGTAAATGACAATGCCATATACTCTGCCTCACAAGTGGACAATGCTACTGTTCTCTGTTTTTTGCTGAACCAAGATATTAAACTACCAGAACATTTTAACAAACAACCTGTAACAGAATATCTTTCATTTATTTTGTTTCCCCAATCTGCATCACAATAGGCTATTACATTTTTATTCCCTTCCCTTGAAAATTCCAATTTAAAATTAACAGACCCTTTTAAGTATCTAAAAATTCTTTTAACTGCTAACCAGTGTACCTTACTGTAAGAGTTATTGAATCTACTTAATAAGTTGGTAGCAAAAGAAATGTCTGGTCTTGTTATTTGTGACAAATACAGTAAACTATCGATAGCTTCTTGGTATGGAACACTCACCATGTCCGTCTCTTCGTCACTTACTGTCGTGAAGTCCAAGCCTGGATCAAGTGGAGTAGTTACTGGCTTCGCTTCGCTCATACCGAATCTCTGTAGCACTTTCTTGGTGTAGTCTTCTTGAGGGATCCAAATTTTTCCAGCTTCTCTATTTCGAGTGATGGTCATGCCGAGACAATGGTTGACAGGTCCAAGGTCTTTCATATCGAAGTGAGTCTTGAGAGTACTCTTCGTCTTTTCCATGGATTTCTTGTTGTTCGAGAAGAACAGCATGTCGTCGACATATAGAGCAATTACTTGTAGATTATTTCCTTTTCTTGAATAGTAAACACACGGGTCAGCTTTAGATCTCGTAAAGTTCAATCCAGATAGCACTTCGTCTATTTTTCTGTTCCAATTTCTTCCAGCTTGCTTCAATCCGTAGACGGCTTTCTTCAATTTCCAAACGTTTCCATCCTTTGAAGTAGCGATCTCTTTGGGTGGTATGACATAGACGTCTTCATGAAGGTACAAGTACGCTGTTGTCACATCCATGTGATCTATCTCCAAATCTTCTTTGGCTGCCAAGGATATGAGGTATCGTATGGATGAATATTTCACGACAGGTGAGAACGTTTCTTCGTAATTTATCCCTTTTATCTGGCTACATCCTTTGATTACCAGTCTCGCCTTGAGAGTTTCTTCTTGGTTTTCACATGCGGGCTTAATTTTTAGTACCCATTTAGTTTTCAATGGTTTTACACCTATAGGTAGGCTAGTTTCTTCAAAGGTTTTGTTTTTTATCAAGGAGTGTATTTCTTTGTCAATACTTTGTTGCCACTGTTTTGATCTTTCACCACTTAGGGCTTCTTCTATGGTGATTTCTGTATCATCATTCTTTTCACTGTAGTATATTACATGATCAGGCCAAGTTTTCGGTTTCTTCTGTCTAGCAGATCGTCGTGGTGCTTCACTTGGTACGTCTTCATTTTCAAAACCATGAAAATCTTCATCCTCAGTATCCTCATCTTCATTTGGGAGATTATCTTCTGCATGATGTTCGTTCTCTTCAGGTCCATCTTCACTTGACTCGATTTGTGCTGAAAGGTTTACGTTGTTCTCCTGAACTTGCTTATTTAACTTTTGACTGGTCTCAGGATCCTCTTCTTTTTGGTTTTCCAAAAATATTACATCCCTAGAGATTGTAATCTTGTTCGTCTTAGGGTCGAGAAGTCGATATCCCTTTGTTGATGCACAGTAGCCTACAAAAATAAATTTTTGTGACTTTGGGTCCCATTTCTTTCTTTGCGTTTTTGGTATCTGTACCATAGCTTTGCATCCAAATACTCTCAGGTGAGCTAGACTGGGCTTTCTCCCATGCCATATCTCATAAGGTGTTCTATCTCCAAGGATTGCTGAAGGCGAGCGGTTTGTTAAGTACACAGCTGAAGAAATAGCCTCAGCCCAATATATTTTAGGCAGGTTTGCATCAAACAACATTGTTCGAGCTTTTTCAACTAATGTTCTATTGGCTCGCTCCGCGACTCCATTTTGTTGAGGGGAGTAGGGAGTCGTAAGTTGGTGAACAATTCCTTCAGAAGAAAGATAGTTCTTCATTTCTTCATTGACGTATTCGCCACCATTATCCAATCTGATTTTCTTTATTTTCGCTCCTGTTTCTACGATCTTCCACTACAATATTGTTGTCTAAGCCTGTGGATATTTTAGACAGCTTTAACATACCTTTCCTGTTCAGATGGCCTAATCTACGATGCCATAAAATACCTTTATTCTCAGAATAAAAACAGTTTTTTATTTCTGTTGTATTCATACAATAAATTCCATTTTTTAGATGAGCTGTTGCAACTAAATCACCTGTCTCATTATTATGAACATAACCCCCACTTTTGTCAAAGGTTACAGTGTGTCCCTTCTTAACTATCTTACTCACTGATAGTAGGTTAACTGCCGAACTTGGTATGTGAAAAACATCATTGGCTTCTACTTCTACAACTTCACTACCATTATATAGCTCAAGATCTACAGTGCCAGAACTATCTGCAACTAGATCTGAACCATCTGCTGAAACTATTGTACAGCTATTTGGTTTTAGATTGCTAAGCTTATTTACATCGTTTGTAATGTGCGTGGACGCACATGAATCCAAGTACCATAAACCTTCATTATGGGTACGCCGATGACTGTCTACCGCCAGAAAAGCATTTTTCTTACTTGTATCATGGCTATTTTCATGTTTGTACTCATTAGGCCTACTTTTATTGGGCCTATCTGAAAATCTAGATTCATTAGGTCTAAACCTACTGTTTTGGTTAGGCCTATTAGATTTATTGTTACTACCATTTGATTGAGGGCAATTCTTAGCTAGATGGTTAGGCTTATTGCACCTAAAACATTTTAGCGGTGTTGACTTATTGGACCTAAACTGTTTATTGGCATAAAGAGCAGATTCGCCGGTCCAGTCCTCGGATTTCACATCCTGAAGGAGTTTTACTTTGATAGAATCACCAGTGATAGGTGTTCCCGAATTTTCTAATGTCATGATCATCGGTTTGTAGTGATCAGGCAAACCTGCAAGTAGCAAGGTACCAATCCACTCCTCACTAACATTAAATTTCATTTCATTTAACTTAAAAGCTGTTGTTATAATTCACACACAATAATATCACAATAATCATCAATAGACTTACATTTTTCAAGCGTGGTTGTGACTAAGGTTTTTAGTAGGCCAACTTTCCTTGTTAAGCCAGAATCCTCAAAGGCCTTTTCCAGGGCGTTCCAAGCTTCTGCAGCCGTTCTCGTGTCTCTGATGTGAGAATAATTAATCTTATCAACAAATAAAACTATTCTTGAATGGGCTTTCTTGTCTTTTTTCTTCCAGTTATCACTGATGGGGTCCGGTGGGGTTTCCTCTATGACATCCCAAAGGTCATCATGTACGAGATAGGCCTTCATAGCAAATTTCCAAGTTGAGAAGTTTTCCCTCCCCTGTAGTTTTTCAACAATAGGTAGACCTGAAGAAGCACTCATTTTTTGTCGGTACTGTCTTCAAAACTATGAACAAAAGTCTCACGTAGTCGCACACGGCACAACCTATGTGTAGGTTAGGATCAATCGTTACTCGCGAACCCGTGAACAAACCGATATCGCAATGTTCCAGTTATTAACATCCATATCCACAAACGGCCTCTGGGCCCATAACCACTGTTAGGGTTATTAAACAACGCGCAATGGTGTGGATATGGAACATTTTATTGTCTATTAGAGTTATTACACAACAGCACACACATGAAGTAACGAGGACATTACACAACCTCACAACCGACTCCGGACAAAGGAAGAATAATACTTTCATTCTTAGAAGAAGAAGAAGTCATATAGGCCTAAGTTACATTGACACTTGATAGCCTAAAGATTGGGGCATGTATGTACTATATGACAAGAATATAAATTTATCCTCTCTAACATTTTGAACATCACTAAGGAGATATTTACATTTATTAATAACTTTATTAACTTCACTGTGATATTGTTTTGTTGGATCCTTAGTTAGAATCTTAATGTTATTTACTGCAATAAAACTGTCCACTTTACATGTGTATTCATCCTTATCTAGTACTACAACAGCATTACCTTTATCAGCCTTTGTGACAATGGCCTTATTGATGTCGAGCTTATCTGATAAACTTCTTAAAGTTGTCAAATCAATTTTAGCTTCGTTTGAAAGATTATCAACAATGACCATTTCACTGTTACCTTGACTTAACTTATTAATGATCTCATATCTAATAGGGTCCTGTTTCTCATGTTTTATTGTCTCAATACAACTTTCAATCTCCAAAAGAGAGTCGACTATACCGTTTTTTGGTTTGTGATGGAAATTATGTTTAAGACCTTTGTTGAGTAATGATGTCTCTTGCTGATTAAACTCTATTGATGTCAAATTGACTATTCTAGGGTGAAATGTGTGAGAACAAGAGATAACTTTGGCTGTGTCATTTTTTGTTTTATAAAGATTGTCAAGATTCTTTAGTTGGGTTGATCTTTTTTTCCTAATTATAGGCCTTATCCAATCTTCGACTGCACTAAGTACAATTTCAAAACAGTACCGATATAACTTATGCCGATATATATATAACTTGTGCCGATATATACTTTTTAGCCGTGCACGTGCCTTAATGTTTTCGTGTCGTGTTCGTATTTTGTGTTGTATGTACTATTTATTAAACTTTGACGCAATGAAAATGAAGAAACCACGTAAAAACTGTAAATATGTAAATAGCTCAGATTAGTGTATAATGACTACGCACCCGACGATGGAGTTATCTCCGAAACGGCCGTAGTGCTCAATTAACAGGATTGCGAAGACTGTAAGTAACCTTTATATTTATTACACGCAATCTGCCACACTGATTAATCTTATTTAATTTAATATTATTTGCCCATTTTTACACTGGAAATTTCATGTTGTCTACCCATAGGTTCAACCATAGACTAATTAATACAAGTAGACTTCTCATCCCATTGAAATTTTGAAGCTCGTTTTTCGTGTCCAGTTCATGTTTGATGACAATAATCGCTAGTGTCTACGAAATTTTGTTCCAATTATTTTAGGGTTAATTTCATGATTTGTGCCCTACTGTTTGGTTATATAACTTAACTAGGGGATGAGCTATTGCTTATAGGCTAATTAGGCCGTTTTATTTGGTTAAACGAGGTACCCTATTAAATGACTGAAAAAACAAGAAACAAATTTGAAACAAAACACAACCTCTTCAGTGCACCGGACAGAAATAACAATAAAATTGGCTTCAGCTGCTCGATAAGGAAGATAAATCTACTAAGGGTGTATGTTTTATTTATGGTTCAACTCCTAAGTTATACAACTAGTAATCCAATAAAAACTGAGGGGAGAAATCTTTGATTAAAAACTCGTAGTGTTGAAAAAAAAAATTGTTACTGCTACTCTAACGATACCAAAGGCAATTGCTCTTGCACACCCTACACTTTTTGTTGATCATCAAAAGTCCCAGTTTCAGTTAAACAACTTTTGAGAAGGTTATTTTAAAGAATTTCCATGTAAGGAATATTAGCGAATTTCCCATAGGGAATATTAGCAAATTTCCTGTACAGGGAATAAGCTATATTACTGTAGTAATCATGGGAAGACCTGTACCTAATGTGGCTTTGCTCAGGATAATCAAATTTAAAAAATAAATGTTTCATCTGATACAAAATAGCATTGTAACCCCTTTCAAGGGTAAATCAATGCATGGTAATCTCTTGTTAATTTTGATACCAAACTTAAATGAACTTGAGTGAATTGATGAATTTTAAGTCAACATACATCTCAAACCCTATGACTTTAAAGTTAATACACTATAATTTTATAATCCCTAATACAATCAGGACCGCTCTTCATTTGCACTGTTGCTCTTTGATGATAGGCCAAGACTTTAGAGCGGTCATCAGAGAGTTACGAGCTGCAATATCGGTGCTCTTCACATTCCAGCGGCGGCCGCTGCGGGATGAAGTGTTTGTGAGTGACTCTCGAGGCTGGCTAGCTCGACTGGTCGGAGTTCTTTTACGAGTAGCTACCTGGCAAGACCATCTCTTCTTGATCCATCATGTCCTAAGGTAATCCATATCAGGTTTGGATATAAAGAGACATTTAAATATAAAACTGTTAACTGGCATTTGGTGAAACGAAGTGACAGAGCTATGATGGGGTTGTGTTTTATTATATTACCTTATTCAACTGCTCAAATATTTGCTGAAAGCTATTATACCTATATGTTTCGGCATCAGAATATCATCTTCTGACTCCCTAGTATAAGAGCAGCCTATAGGGTAAAAACACCGTACAACACAGCAAAATGTTGTGACTTTTTATATGTATAGAAATGTTTCCAAAGAAAGTTTGTTCCACCCACATTTAGAGCATGTGGATTTGTATTAAAAAACTATTCCGATCATAGAAAGAATCGAATGATAAAACCAAACTATCTCTGGGAGAGAAGTTGGCTTGCATCAACTGAATAGCTGGTTGTGGTCGTTACTGACAAGAACCTCCTGAGGCAGATAGTAATGAAATGAAATGAAAATCCTTCTTTATTGAGGCGAACTTAGGACCTCATGGTCCTTTCTTACAGTTAATCTCTAAAAAACTAATAATAACAACAAAATATTAACAAAAAATTCAATACAGTTTGTAACATAAAGTTTTAATATAGCATAATTTATTTTATCTTCTCTAACATACAGCCACACACACACACATACACCCTCTGCTGCATCTAGGCCTAACGCCATCCCGCCAAGCCACGGCCATCCGGTCAAGGTAATATCCTTTCAGTAGTTGTTGCAGTAGTTGAAGTGTGGAAACACGAGTGATTTGACCATTTAAGGTACGTTTTGCTTGGAGCGACAGGTGCGACGGTCACGCAGCGACTGTCGCCAGTGTCGCCGAGCGGCAGTCGCGGGGTGGTAGACTGTTTTGCTTGGAGCGACAACTTCTTCTTCCTGGCGTCACGAGACGTGGTACCGTCAGTGCACCTAACCTCAAAAGTGCGCACTAAGTATAAAGTCACTAAATAAATTCGATAAATTCACTTAGTAAAACAGGTAAAACTTAACAATAAAGTATTCTTTATAGGCCTAGTTAATTGTTATGAGTAACATTCCAAAACTGCCATGTCACAAGCCAAAATGTAATAAAATTACTAAATTTCTCCGTAAATTGCAGTACACAAGCATAACTTGAATTGGAAATCAGTGTTATAAACAACCTCCTCACAGAGTGAAAATTATATTTTGTTGATTGTATTGTAAATGAAAAAAATACCAATTACATTATATACTCCATTAATATTTGAATAGCGTCTTCTTGACACATTACTTTAATAATTGGCATTTTATATATTTACATATGACACGCCTGACTTTTAAGCCAATTTGATCAATAACCATTTATACAGAACAATATTTTATTAAATCACCTAAACGAAAATGTAATTAGAAGTCTTTAAAGTCGACAATCTAAATAATCTACTAATATGTTAAAATAACTTATAATATAATAACATAATATTAAACTAACCTGACGTTGTCCTTTATTCCTTGGTCTTTGTAGGATATAATATAAAGGGCGGGGTGTTTTGCCACTTCTTCTAATAAACTGTCGTCTTCCTCACCACTACATTTACCACTACCTTTACCACCACTACCTCACCACTACCTTTAACATAACCACAGACGTTGTCCGACGCCATATATCGAAAATAAAAGGTCATTGAACTTGTCAAAATGCTCTACACTATAAAAACAATCAGAAATGTAACTGTCGCTAAGCGACTGTCGCTCCTGACTGGTCTTGGAGCAGTACCCAGCGACTGCAGCTCGCGGCTCTAGTGACAGTAGCTCCAAGCAAAACAGGACTATGCAAAACCCCTAAGATCAGTGTCCCGCGACAGCCACTCGGCGACTGTAGCACCTGTCGCTCCAGGCAAAACGTACCTTAAGAGTTTAATGTGAAAAGGTAGAAGTAGCTGCATATTCTTCAGTGTGTGAACAGCGGCAAACACTCTTTTACAAGTGCTTACCACTACGTCAGTCCAGTCCAATACGCAGTTTAAAATCAAACCAATACTTTTTACCGCGTTGGATAGTAATGGATGAGGTGCTGAGGGAGGAATAGCCAAAAGGGTAATTGTCTTTCTAGTGGTTATAGTGCTTGCCTTAAAATCTGAAGGTCGCTGGTTCGATTCCAAACAAGATTGTAGATGGCCCTGATACAATTTGTTATTAGAGTTTCAATCAATGATTGTCTAACTTCACATTCAACAGCTGACAGGGCACACACAAAAATAAGCAATTTTTCCAGAACATTGAGTTTTAATTTAAATTCAAAACTTAATTATTGACATTTCTTTGAAGATTGTTTATTCAACATGTGAAAATACTCATAAGTAATAAATTTATTTTATATGTAAAAACTAGTCTGTTATGAATTTTTTTTTTCGTTAAAAATTTTAATGTTCTGGATAACTCAACAACCTTTGAGTACACAAATAGTCGAGTTAGTGAAGTTTTATTGTATTTAATAAAAGATTGACATTAGATAGTAGTAACAAAACTATTCCTTTACAAAAAATTTTAAATTGTCAGATGTACTTAAGGGAAGAAGATGAATAAGAAATACACTCTTAAACACACACTTTAAACACACACACACACACACTCACACACATACACTCTTTAAATAGAGCCTCTTTGTGTCTTATTTTGAGGCGAATGTTTTTGTAAAAACTACCAAAGAAGACAGTTTGCCATTATAATACCACCAATAACTCTTGTGGCCTTATTTAGTTAATGTTCACAGTAGGGTAGTATTCAGTGGTAGGATACCCCCAAAACAAAGTAAAGCTGGGTTTTCCTAGGTGCGGAAGCGGAGAGCGGAGAGAGGATCGTGGAGAGCGGGAAAGAGATTAACATGGTGTTCCGCTCCGCTTCTAGGAAAACAGTAACATTAAATTACCTGAGACAAGTGGAGTCTGCTCTCCGTGTTCCTCTCTCCGCTCTCCACTTCCGCTCCTAGGAAAACTCGGATTAATACTATTAGACCAGCTGAACTTAAAGTACAGTAGACTCCCTCTTATCCGGACACCTTTTAACCGGACATCGGTTTAACCGAACTACACTCTGGGGAAATGGCATCTCTTTAACCAGACAATTTTTTTCAGCACATTGTTTAACCGGACTAGAACGGCAGGAAGTGGGCAGTACTGAAACAACTGTTCTCGTGGGAAAGATTTGAGACCTGTGATCAGGTGTCTAAATAAAATGCTCTCCTAAATTTAAGTAGAATATCACAGTAAACAGTCTGTTTTAACGAGTTTTTGGGGACATCGGTTTAACCGGAAAACCCGTTATCCGGACTGGCCTCGGTCCCGAGGAGTCCGGATAAGAGGGAGTCTACTGTAAACGTTTCCATTGCTAGACTTCATCATTGTGTCTTATTTGAAAGGTCTCTTATTAGGTTTACCACAATCTCGATGATATTTCCAGATGTCCAGCTGGTGTAGGCAAGTGGGCTGCTTGGTTCATCCAACCTCCAGATTTGCCTTTCAATTCACCTTCAAGCTCTCAACACTTGGACCACCTTGTCACTTGTCTGGCTTCAGTGCTGCTTCCTGTTCAGGCCAGAGACCTGTTTCTCAATCAGGTAATGTTGTTAGGCTCAAGTTGTAGTAACTTTGGATAGTCCTGAGACATATTTGGAATTTGTATTGTTGTGATGTATAGTCATTGTGATATGTGCATTATAGATTCTTGTGTAACTGTTTATAAAATCAAAATGCCCCCCCCCCCCCCAAATAACCCCCAATATCTATCAAAACATCAATCTGAAAATATTTAATAGAATGTTTGATTGCTCAAAAATTGTTCATCCTTTTAATGATGCACATTTTTGTCTTAGTGAATTATCAATGTTGTTGGTTTCAGATGGTCGTGTCAGTGGGTGGGGAAGTGGAGGGGGATTCTGCTTGGTTTCTGGTTGACTCGGATGGTGAAGACGAAGCAGACACCGTCAGTCTCCGAGAGAGTGATATTGTTGCATTTCTCAACCAAGTGCCTTTTGATGCCATTTTCCGTCAGGTAATTGATTTACTTATATAGGCTTACCTCCGTCAGTAGTCCAAAATTGTGTCTTATTTCAACTAATGTTGTTCGAAGCTTACATGTTTTGTTGCACTGCAACATCATCGGAGCTTTATGTCAAAAACATAAAATAATTTAAACTTAGAACAAAACACGGATCATTTAAAACTTCCATTCAAAACTTCCATTCAAAATTTGAACAAAATACTAAAAATTCAGGAACAATCAATTCAGATTATATTAAAATTAAATTATAATGAATCGGTAAAACTCTTTTTTTCTAAAATTGGTATCATGACTGTATATGCAATGTACATTTATGAAACTATAATTTCTGTGAAAAACCGTCAGGACCAACTTCATTTTGTTGGAGATACTCATAATTATAATACAAGATTCAGGAATAGAATTGGCATTGACAAACATAAACTTGGATTTTATGAAAAAAAGCCAATGTATATGGGGTCAAAATTTTATAATATGTTACCAAAAGCCATTAAATCTGAGAAAAATATTAATAAATTCAAAAATCAACTAAAAAAATATCTTATTGATTTAACATTATATTCTTTCTCCGAATTCCCATGTAAAAATGATGTGTAAAGAAAGTTTTTAGTTCTGTTTTTCTTTTCATGCATATAACTATATATTTTGTTTTGACAGCCTTAGTATTAACCAATCTTAGTTATAATGTATCTTAGTATTCATTAATATTGACACCATTCTATGTACAGAGTACTAATATTGAATAAAGATTTTATTGATTGATTGATTGATTGATTGATTTAAACACAAAATAACACGATAGCACTATCATGACACGGCACAGCAGCGGTTAGACTGTATGACCATGACGCTATTCTATGTAAAGCTGACAAAGGCAATACAACTGTAATCTATATTTGTAAAAGAGGAAGTTTGTATGTATATATATATATATATTTGAATGTTATAGACTCCAAAACCGCTCGACAGATTGTAATGAAACTTTCAGGCATTATTAAGCATTATTCAAGGATGGTTTTTGTGAAGTTTGGTGCAGATCCGTCCAAAGGGCTCCGCCCCAGTGGCTCTGGAGTTTCCCATGTTAACTTTATGAGTAGGCTACTTATATATTTAAATGGAATTAAAGAATCTTAACAGCTAGTTCAACTAAACAATTTGATTCTGTGATGTTCAATAGCATTAAAAAGTTAATAGGTTTACCAACAGGGTTCAGCACTATTTTTTTTTAATTTATGACAACAGCTCATTTGCAACCAAAAGGTGAGTTAAAGTAGCAAACGAACTTCAACCTGTAGGCGAGTTAGCGAAGCGAACAAGCTAAACCTGAAGGCAAGTGAGTGCAGCAAATGAGCTCCAACCTAAAGGTGAGTAAGCATAGCAAACAAACTTCAACCAGGACGTGATGAGCGATGCGAACAAGCTCATCTTGAAAATGAACGAGCATTTGACATAAAACCACATTAGGACAGGACGGCATCTGTCGGGCCAGCTAGTATAAAATAAAAAATAGAAAGAAATTGGTATTGGTGTCACAAAAATTATATTAATTATATTTGTTTAAACCAAATCATTCTTCAATTTTAATTAAGTCCTGTACTTGCAGGTCATTGTATACATTTTACAGCATAGAGCAAAGTAATACACACCGTTCTCTACATAATTGTTGGCTCTTACTTTCAGGGCAATTTATATTGGAGGTGATATTTAGCCTCACCAACAAATATGTCATCACATTATTTGGTTCCCTGCTCCAATTCTCTCCTTATCCATCTTCACTTGCTTCCAACACCTCTGATTAGGTTTGACACCTAATTTCTCCAATAACATTTCTGCTTTTGTAAAGTTCTCTTATCCCTTTATTGTGTCTTCTCCAATCCCCTTGTTCAAATATGTTCATAGATTTTTTCAATACTTTGCTTTCAACACCATTACTTTTTCTCTTCATATTTTTCTTCCTTTACATTTTATCAACGTAAATAAAACATCAACAAAACACATTTTGTTGTATGAATTATTCTTATCATTGTCACCGATTCTGCAGATACTGTCTCCAAAGTGGGGTAAGGGATCTGAATATCATCCTTCATTTTTGTAGTTACATAATTCAGTATTTCAAGTAAAAGGTTTATTATTATTTGTAAAATGAATACCATGCTTGAGGTATTGGTGTATGACGATTTTGTTGTCCTAAATAAAATTGTTACTAGTATTAACACAATAGTATCAATTTTTCTCATAATTGAACAAAGCTAAGTGAATTGGAACGTAACAGGTGCTTCAGATCAGTCTAAAGGATGAGAAGAATGTATACAACTCTCAGCTAGTAACAGATCATCACATGCTCAGACTCATAGCTTTCTGTCACTTGGTGTTGAGCCTGCTAGAGAGTGGACTGAACAACCACGCAACTCTACGCTACAGGCAGTACTCCAAGCGGCTGGGACGCTTAGTGCGCCACACTGCGCAGTACGTCACCGACCAATGGCAGCTGTTCAGGTATCACACAAAGACAAATTGACTCTTCACATTGGTGACTGATATATTTGCATAATGGTGGTAGATGCATGCAGACAGTAAACGGGTATTCCTGCCGATTACTAAACAGATTGGCTAGTGACTACAGTAACCAGCTGGCTTAAGCCATTAAGGCGCTATTTTCTCTCTGCACAAGCATTGTTAGTTTGAATGTTACATATCACACATTTTCTAAACATTAACATCTTTCTTAAATATAAATATTGTTCAAATTTACTATAATCAGCCATATTTTAATAAATTGTAATTTTAAAAACTTAAAATAGCACCCAGTTTTAAAATTTTAATTGAATCAAGGTAATTTTTTTTCCAACTTGGGTCTCTTCTCTTAACATTCGTACTAAGTTTCATAGAGACGGGTTGAAAAGATTGAAAGATAAAAATGTGATTGTAAAAAATACAAAATGATAGATATCTGGTTAACGAAGTGATTTTGGAAAAAGTTTTATTCTTGATTTTCTCTTTGTTTTCTTCCAAGAAATCACTACGTAAATTATGTCCCCACCTTTTTTGAACACCCTGTATAGTGTTTTTTTTTTTAATTTCCAATAAATAGTCTAGCCACTTATTATATTTAATTTAGTCCATAAACTGTTGTTATATTTGTAAAGACAGGTTGTGGATACATACACATCCGTCCCTTTTCTAGATATCTACAAACGGATCAGGTTCAGGGGTTTTCTCCACCATTAATTTGGAACAACAATTTATATTTGCACAAACAAGTTGTATTTTATGTTTATTTAATTTACATTTATTTAAAAATTGGAACTGTACAATTGCTAAAAACTAAAATGAACATTTCTTACGAATGTTTGAAAATGTCTGGGAAGGGTTGACCCCTCTCAACTGACCGAGTGTTACAACTGTTAAGGAGCGAGGGCCAAAGCCAGGACCCAGGTCTGATGGCCAGACTGTACGTAGAGTATGATGCTCTGATGTCTCGTGCTGTTGCCACGCTGTATCACAGTCCTCGTAGATCTGCATGGCAGTTCCTTGCTGTTCTTCCCTTCGGTTCCATCTCCACTCAGAGGTTGTGGAAACTCTTCCGTTTTCTCATCCTGGCCGACGACGAACCTGTTGGTGAGTTCTAATGGTCAATGGGATTTATTGTAGAATTGTTTATATCGTGTTGTTATGGAATGTTTAGTTTTTTTTAATAGCTGTCATGTATTATCTGTACACCCAGGAACTACCTTTTTCACTAAGGGTTCTAAATAAACCATTAGTTCTACCAAAGATTACACATGCTACGCAAAATTTTGCGTATTTTTATTTTTATGATCAATTTGTTATCATTTTCTAAACTATTTTTTCTTTAGTTAACCAGGGATTTACTAGTAAAAATACATGTTTAAAACCTTTACCCTCATGGAGAAAAATGTAGTCCATATATTTTACTGACTTATCAATACAGTTGATACTCAACCATTCAACCTTAACCAGGTGGGGCAGGATTGGATAAGCGAAAAGGTAAGACAAAATGGGTAGCAGAGATGTAGGCATATGTTGGTACGACGAGTTAACAAATTGTGTGGTAGGCCTACTGTATATTTAATCTAACATTGTATGCTAGGGCCTATATGCGAAAACAAACAAAAAGGTATAATTAAATTGTTACTATTTGACATGTGCTCTAGTTGATGAAATACAGTGGAACATACGATTGGAAGAGCAGCTAGGTAGACTATCAGACGCAGAAATCTACTATCTACTGACGGCTATCAACACAATGGCTCTAAGTAGGACTGAGGATGACTGGCCATTCATACAGGCTACAACTCTTCAGCTGCTGGAGGTAGGTCATGATACAACCTCTGAACTAGCTTAACTCAATGTGCTTCAATTGTATTGGTATTTCAACCGTTTTCAAGATAAATAGCTGCTATGAATATAATTTTGTAGGGTTATTATACCATTAAGATTTTCTCAGCAAACCAATTCACTAAGTCACCTCATCCTATTTTAATTTATGTATTAAACTTGTGCGATGATTGTAAATATCTTGGCTATCTTTAGGTTCACCCACATATGCAGCCCAGGAATTAAACACAAAACATAGCAAAACCAACTCTATTAACACAAAAACAATTTCAAAGATTAACAAAAAACAAATGTTTGAGTTTCTTGGAACATGTAATAATAATTTTTAATAAAAACCTCAATTTGGAAAAAAAGTTTAATCCCCACTCACAACACATCATTGCTAACCCATATCGATGTATAATTAAGTAACATTTTTCAGTGTGTAAATCAAATTGCAAAAAGATTATGTTGCTGTAAATATTTTTCCTACAGTCGTTATCATTGCCAAATTTGCTTCCAGATTGGTTTTTTGAATGTAACTACAAGAGACACGTGCCATAAGTCTGCCAGAATCATGCTTGCTAATCTGACGTCAAAATATCCTGCTTTAATGACGGATATCATAGCCCGCTTAAATGGCTCTTCCAACTGTGGGAAAGTAAGTTTTAGTGTTATATATTTATACCCTTTAATGCCGAGTAATTTGGACTTTGGTAAAAATAAGTCTTGCAAGTTAGAAAAAGGAAAAAAGACTACTTTATCTTGCATGACAATATCCTTTTAATAGTTTTATACACAAGCAATTTTAATAAAAATTCCGCATAGTTATGCACAGATGGATCAATTTCATTATAACATGTTCAATCCTCTCCTGCAGTGAAGTAGACTTTATCATTGTCTACGTGATCGCGGAAAAAACCTGGACATCTCTCTCAGTCGTGTGGACATCATCATTGTCTCCCGTGGTAATAAAAACAACATCATTGACATCTGCGATCACGACCAAATCCTTGACCGTTCTCGTTCATGGAAAAATCACTGACCTCTTCGGCCATCACGACAAAACCCATGGCTATGGAAAAATCAGCATCGTCTTCCTCAATTGCGACAAAACTTTGGAAGTTTACTGCAGTTGTGTAAACATATAATCATCTCCTGCGATCACATTTGATGATACAATTTATGTAGACGCATTCTATGATTTTAGGCCTTGTCGTAAAAGTTTGACTCGAGCTAGATTTTTTTTAGTTGGCCTTCAATCTGTCAAGCTTGTAGACTAGGCTCTGCTCGGCTCGAAAATCGAGCCTGTGTTAAAAAACATAACTTTCAGTCAATTAGTTTTTAAGAATGCAAAGGCTCATCTCTTTAGGAAAAACGTGTTTTATTTATCTTGTGTTCATTTTCAGGCAAGTAAATACTAATTTTTTTCACTGTTAATTGGATTCTTGTTTGGTATTTCAGTTGAGTCTCTATCTGATGAAAGAGCTTCCCATAGCCCAATGGCGACCAAATGATACAGACCTAGACACAATCGAGTGCTGGCTGATCAACAACTCCATACAGTCAGTCAAACACGCTCTGGCTAGATATATTGTGTCTACGCTTAACTTGGGATTTGCTACTGATGATCTTAGGTGAGTTGCAGACTTTATATTGCTATAGTATTTCTCAGTACAATCAGTTGCACAGTTGCAAATTTTAATAGCCTAAATCTTTCCAACAGTTTTTGTTTCACGTTGAGTTATAAAATATATAAAAAAAAACAATTATAATTCAAGGTAAAAAGTATTACAATGATTTTCAGAGTTAGGTGTCTGGAAACTTGCATTTTACTTAATTACTTTTCAATAAAAAATAAGATCATTAATGTACAGCAATAGGCCCTTCAACTATTTGTTAAATGTTTCTAAGTTGTATCTGAAGTTGACATGATACTGCAACACCTACTCCATAAATTTTGAATTTGTAGTTAACGCTACTGCATATTATCACTACTGAACTTAAGAGGGGGAGCAAGCTGGTGTAGTGGTTAGAGCGAGGGACTTAGGTCCCGGTTTCAAATCCCGGCAAATCACTAATATGGATTTTATCTAAGTGATAATGCCGCAACACCTAGGTCTAGTCTGAAGTAATGTGAAAAACAATTCCGGGCTTGTGCCTAGCGTCCTAGGAAAAAAAAACTGTAGGGTAGATGTGCACAGTAGAACTCCAACTATCTGAACTCCAATCATCAGGATCGCTAATTTTCGGATCTTTTCCAGGATAAAGAAGTCTTTAACCGTCCAGAGAAATTAATTTTATTTCAGTTTGGGGTAATCCATTACATATTTTACCACATTAAAATTGTGTGAGCAAGTTATGACCATCATACGTCAAGTCTATTGCAGTGTTGTATCGTTGGTGTTGTAGGCAATGAGTCTCTTGCCTAATGCCACTGTCTTATTAGGAGGTGTCAAATTTTCTGGGTATTTGGACATGTGATGCAGTCTGGTCTCAATTGATCAGGATAGTTGGGAGTTCATAATTTAGTGTGGCCTAGTGAAAGTGAGGTTATGTTATGGTGTTTCAGTCATGAGCTGTTCTTGCCTCGTGGGGTACATGTGAGACTGGCCGTAATGGTGCTCAAAACTGCAGTCCAGTGGTGTCCGCAAAGTCCATCAGAGGGCAATGCAATCTCAGACACTGTCAAACAGGTATACTCATATATTCAAGCTCATAATCAATGGATTGACTTATATTAATCATACAGTAGACTCCCTCTTATCCGGACTCCTCGGGACTGAGGCCAGTCCGTATAATGGGTTTTCTGGTTAAACCGACGTCCCTAAAATCTCATTAAAACGGACCGTTTAAATGCATACTCTATACAGTATTTGACTTAAAATTAGGAGAGCATTGTATTTAGACACGTAATCACTGGTCTCAAATCTTTCCCACGAGAACAGTGGTTTCAGTACCGCCCACTTCCTGCCGATCTAGTCCGGTTAAACCGATGTGCGGATAAGAGGGAGTCTACTGTAGATGTAAAGTCAAAGATGTTGGCTATCCTACTAACTTACCTGTACAGGCAATAGTATTTTTTTGGTTGGCGAATTCTTGTTTTCTTTGCATGCTAACTTGACGATTCCTAGTTAGCTGTTAGTAAAAACAAACAAAAATATTATGGTAAAACATAGCAATACCGTACTTATTTCCAAAAAGTAGATTATATTTCCTATAAAATGTAAAAAGATCTCCCACAGTTAAGTGGACAGCATCATCATCTTCTGCAATCACGGCAAAATCTTGAAACCTTTTGCGTCCTAGTAGACATTTTCATCTCCCATGGTCATAAAAGATCATAATTGTCTCCTGCGGCCAGGAAAACCTTATCATGGCCGTATGCAATTGTGGTGAAAGCCTGAATTGTTCATTTGTAGTAGCAGCACCTCATTATCTATTGTTTGAGTCTAATCTACAATCATTTACCTAATTCATACAGAACTTTATCAAAATCAAATTTTATAGATAAACTGAAAGAGACTTTGAGCCAAAAAGCGTATTACAAAATTTAGTCGTTTTTTAAAGATAAATTTTAATAGTTTTTTTACTCTTGTCAGGGTATAATTAGATTAAGGAACCTAGATATAAATTAGATATAAATTGACCATGTACCAGCTTGGGAATTACTTTTGTAATTATTGTATCAGGCGTTATGTACAATAAAGCTTTGTCTATTGTCTATTGTCTATTGTCTAATGTCCCAACAGATGGCTACGTTGGCAGCTCTAATGGCTCGACCTAGCAGTTCAGAGCAGGCAGTGACTGTGTGGGTGTGGCAGATGGCGTACAAGCTCCGTCTACATCTTCTTGACCAATCAGATGCCTCCGTGCGGCACACACTTGCCAACCCCTCTCCTGGCCTTAGTCAAGTGCCTGAGGTATAATTGCCACTTATTCAAGCAGCACTTGACAGTTAACCAAGAAAACTAGTAATTAATTGTTGGTTGTGTGGTTGTGAAATTAAGTCTTTTAAAAATAATTTTTGTTGGTCAAAAGTGTTTAAAAGAATCTGAATGTACAATGTTCTATTGCCTTTTTTGCTAAAAAAGTATGTCCTATAAAGGTTTTGTTTGGATGTTGCATTATAAATATTTCAACCATAATATAACCTACATGGGATAAACCAAAGTGTGATAAGGGGTTTTTAAAGTGTCGACATGACATCTTTGCCATAATGCATAAATTGAAATTTTGCTCTTTGTATTTTTCATAATGCTTGTCCTAAGCATAAGATCAATTTTAAAGGGTCTTGAGAACTTCGTCCCCTTAGTTAATAAAAAATCTCCGTACATTTTTGCTTAGTTTTTTTGTCTAAGCCTACAAATTGACAATAAATTATACAGGGTGTTTTTTTTTAACGTGCAACACAAATTAAAAGTACTGTAAGACACATTTTAATGGCAAAACAACCTTATATTTGGCTATCCCCTGTTTTAGCGAATTTCCCTATAGGGAAATAGCTATTACCGTAGGTGGCATGGTAAGTCCTAGACCCGGGACCGATTTACTTTTTCATTTTGATGTCCCCAGAGGCCAAAAACACCATTCGTTCAAATTTTTATATATGTATATATATATATATATAGATTTATATGTCCGTGAACGCGATAACTTGAGTAATTTTTGTCCAGCATGATCGGACAATGGGAACGGGGCTTTACGGGGGGTTTTATGGGGTAAAATATGGTTTTTCTCACTTTTGACACTCAAAACACAAAATTTCCCAACTTCTCTTTAGAACTTTTTAAAGAGCTTAAAAAACAAATAATTTAGTATATAAAAGTATTTTTGTTCGGTTATTAGTAACGGAGAAAATTAAAAAAAAAAATTGTAAATTTAAAATTTCCATGTTATTCATATGGAGAATATTGTCAAATGTTGTAGTTTGCTTGTTTGTGGATATAATTTGATCAAACTTGGCAAATTTATTTATTTTGTACTAAGCTATCAATATTTTACTAAAAAACACACTTTATTAGTTTCCTTGTAGCAGCAAACCTAGGTACTCGTTAAACCTAATGCTATTAAAATATATTTAATTGAAAATCAATTCAGACAAATGGAAATTCGCTTATTCAGCAGGTTTGCTGCGGCGGGGGTATTCTTTACTTCAGTGCCAATCAGCTGATATGCGTTGTTCCAAAGTTATCTATGAGGCTTAATTTTATTTGGGAATTTATTGTAATTAGGACACAACATGGCTTTTCCCTAATTTTGAAGATTTAAAGTAATACATTGAAAGTAAATTATTGGTTTTATGACAAGAAAGGTTTGAAATTAAGTTTCCATGTATGATACCAGTTCCTGTTCCAAATAGTCAACTATTATTGACATATACAAATTTAAGGAAACCAAATCCGAGTTCAAAGGAAAACTTAAATCTATAGATTTAAGTGAAAGTAAAATCAGGCAGATGGAAATTCGCTTAGTCTGCAGGCTTGCTGCACAGGGGTAGTTATTGTTCACTTTATATTTGGTTTTATTATATTTTGTACATGTCAATAACAGAAAAATTTTAGGAAACCCAATCTGCAGTAAAAAAATACCGCCACAGGGATATCAAAATATAAGGCTATTCTGCCATTAAAATGTGTCTCACAGTACTTTTAATTTGGGCTGCGCGTAAAAAAAACACCCTGTACCTGTTGTTTCTTATGACTATGAATTGAGTAGACTAAAATTGGTGTCAAAAATTGATTATTTGTTGTTTGTTTAGGAAATGGCCTTAGTAGAAAAATACCTCAAAAATCACCAGGCCATGGCTGTATACATGAGTCTACAAATTACAGCAATAGGTAAGATTTGCATTGTCATTTTCATAGATAGATTTTACACATGATTACTCTTAATTGCTATAATTACTCATAATCAAATCATCTCATTGCAATTTCGTACCTTATCTATTCTTATGGTGTATATTTTGTTCTATTTTATTTAATTTAATTTCATTTCATATAACTTTATTCATTTAAGTACAATACATAGATACAGGAATGGCGTCAAGAGTAATTTAATAAAACTATTAGTTTATTATGTTGCATAGCCTAATTAGTTTAATCTGAAAAAACAAACAAATTATATTTATAATGGTTTAAATACCTGCATTCAGTAATCCAATATGCTGCGTGTGGCAACTATAGTTTCGGTTCACAGGGAACCATCTTCAGGCCGTACAAGGCGTCGTTATTCACTTCCATGTGATGGTTCCCTGTGAACCGAAACTATAGTTGGTTATCATATATCATATATCATATATCAATAAATATTATATATATATACATAAATATTCAGATTTTTTAGAAGCATTGCTTTGTCATTTACTTTTATGAATTATTTAAGCATTAAAATTATACATGTGTATACATTTTACGTAATTTATTTTGAACATTGTAGACTACCAATTTAATATAGTTAAATAGAACCTTTTGTACTTTTGTGTCAAATTATTTTATTGGTGATAAAATTTGATTTGCTTTTAAGTTCTTAAATACTTGAATTTAATTAAAAACCAAAATAAACTGTTATAAACTATAGGCTATGAACAACCGTATTCATTGCTAAATGTTGTACAAGAGAAATTGGTCATGAATCTAATAACAAACATAATATTAATACATCGTGGAACTATTGATCACGTTTCTTGGATGACTAACTTAACAATATAAAATTATTGTGTTTCTGTCTGTTGTCAATAATTCTTAGTTTCATTGATTTTCTGCCTAAATTTAAATAAATTTTACTCTAAATTTTTCTCTAAATTTTTTTTTATTTGAAGTGCTTTTGACAATTAAAATAAGCTTAAACCCCTATTTTTTTGTTTCAAAACTGCAAAATTTTCACCCCCGGACCCCCCTTGTTTGCTGGGGGGTATTCCATACCTCCGGTGTTTGCCCCCCCCCCCCCCCAAGGATTTGGTGAAATGACGCCACTGGTCACTTCTGTGCTTTTATAACATAAGAAGGCTCGTGTGATGTTTCTCAAGTTGTGTTAAGGCTCTAACTTTCTTTGTTAATTGTTCTAGGGTAGGTATGCTAATATTAATAACCTCATTATTGTATGTACAGGTCATAATGTTCCCTTGATCTGCAGTCGAGGGTTTGCTCTATTGTCAGTCTTGCAGTCCTGCCAACTCTACACAGCTGTTATATCATTGTTGCAACATTTAGTCCCGCTTTTCCTAGACTGCCCAAACACACTGATTAAATCTGACATGTAAGTTGAGGTCATTGTCCTGTAAAATGTGTTTTAAACCGTGAGTGGTATATGCATTTAATTTACATAATTTTGTCATCAATTTAATTTCTAGCATTAGTTATAGGCCTACATTAAATGTGTTTCAGGTTTCTATCAACAATTTTAACTCTGCTCTCGGCTGATCGAACATTTTTCAAAACTGCTAAGAGCTTGATAACAACTGACTTTCCCGGACACATTCTTCAGCAGTTTGGTGATATGATTCACTACCACTTGTACAACTATTCCAAGTGAGTTGTTCTAATTCAAAACAATATTTAAAAAATTATATTCTGAGGTTTAGTAAAAAACAAAATTATTTCTGTTTATTTGTTATTAAAAAAATGTATCACAAAATATCATTTTTTGCCAATAGTGAGGGAGTTTATTGCCATTTTGAATGTTACAGATACAACTTAATGTCTTCCACTCCCCTGGCACAGTTGTGGCTGCAAATCTTGTGTATTATGTGGAGTGAAGAGCCTACCAGTGCTTCTTACCTCATGGATGTTGTGCTATCATGTGCATTCTTTCGACCTGACATCTCAGCCATGGCCTACGACAACCTGGGCCAGTTATTACAGGTGAACAAAATTGTATAGGATTTAGTAGTTAACTTGGTACTTGGTTTGTTGGTTAGATTGTTTTTTGAGCTTAACCTTAAGAAATAAATACTTTTTCTGTAAAGTACTCACATTATTGACCAGAAAAAAGGGATTATACCAGTATTTCATTATAAATATTGATAAACACTTTAAAATATTACACCGATATGCAGTTAAATATAAATTCTTATATGCTAACAAAAGGAGTTTAGGTGACAGCATAGCCTGCATTATGCTCTGTAGTTTGATGTTTAGTTTTCGATAAAGCACATTTTACAATCTTTCCAACTATTATGGGTGAAGTTGAGATCCTCAATATTCTCCGCCCATTTCCATCCGAATCTCCTTGCCATTTCCTCTCCTAGTCTTCACTAATTTCTCTCCTGATCCTCTTTAGGTGTATCAGGAGATAAGTCAGGGCTTCCCTCCCTTGGTATGTACTTGTATGTTTTGCTGAAAATGCTAATTTGAATATTAGCTACCCCAACCCTATATGTAGAAGTTTAATCATTAAACTATTCGTAGTTGTTAGTATATTTTAATAAGTTAATTCCTAGCCATGTAACATTTTTTGTCAGTCCTAACACTAGATTTGGCATTGATCTGATGTATCATACAATGTCTTGTTATAGTGGACGAAGTCGGAACATAAAGCAGAGGTTAGTTTTTCTGTTCACATACTGCTTCTCGCAGTCACGCTTAAAATGCTTTGGTTTTTGTGTTAACTGGCAATTGTGGTGATCATATTGAAACCTAAAACTAAATATAAATTATGATGGCGTTGTCTATGTAATCTGACCTGATGTAAGGGGCTGAGGTTTAGAAACATGTCAGAGTGTGCGTATATCGAGATCGGCTCTCACAAGTCCAGTACCAAGGTTCCATCCGTGACTTGCCTGCAAGGTATCCAAACCAATAGTGTTGGTGATCACCAGGTTTATTCCCATTTTAATTTTGGCAATGAATAGACAGCCGATCAACAGAAGACCGAGGTTGGAAGAAACACATTTGCCAAATAAGAGGCTACTTTGTGCACCAGTAGTGCAAAAATGTTGCCGAGTTGAGAGGATGCTAGACTCACGTTCTCATCCCCGACATCCCATTGTGGATGGGAGGCAGCATGGGATGTTGAGTATTTCGTTATAGGTTGCAGAACATCATCGGAGCCATACTTCATGGAGAGGACACCTGGAACTATGTCACACAAGTTCAGTTCATACTTTAGACGAAAAAGGTCGATGTTGATCGGCTATAATCCACCCGATACATAATCGTAAAACTCCAATGTGACATAATTCAATGGCCTATCATATATATCAGTTCCAGGCTGGTACCCTGAGAGGTGAGAGGTTGGGTTTGTGTTAGGAGATTTAGCAAGTCTCACACTCAACCTGTAAAAGGATTCCCAACTCATTCCACAAAAAAACTGTTCTATGATCTTGGGCAGGAATATTAAAACGTAGGGCCTAGTCTGCTATCCTTCATCACCTTTGCGCATAAGCTAGCACGATGTGTGACCTTTTGTTCTAAGTTACTACCTTGTTTTATTAAAACGATAAAAAAAATACAATGCAAAGGTGCAAATTTTAATATAATTTGTTAAAATGTATTCCCGTACAGAATCCATACTGTGAACTCCATCTCCTCTTGATATATCGCTCTGTGGTGTATGCGCAGCGCTAATTGTGTCGCCAATTAGTAGACCATTACCCACTTGTGTCTGTATAGACATGTCTTCAAAATACATAGTAGCATGATGCTGTTGCTTGTTGAAGCTTTGTCCTGTATCAAGTGCATGTCTCGTTTTACAGCAGCAGAAAATAGTTGAGATGATTGACACAATAAGTACAAAGTAACATTTTTTTCTTGTAATCACCACTATCAGCGGTAGTGTATGTAACTGCCAATTACAACCTCGTGTTCAGAGAAGGCAGCCAATGAAGTATCATTTTTGCAATCTTAATTAATTTGCCAATATGATTTTCAGAGAGCTCCATGTCCATTGTATCAGACTGGATAATCTGCTATATACCAGGTTTAGTGTTACTCTAGCTGTTGTTTGTTTACAGACGTTGATATCCACTAGTCAGGCCAACTCTCGCCTCTCCTCTCTCTTCAGCTGGATGTCCAGCAGTGCCGTGGCGTCCTTGGTGCCCCAGGGGTCATCCTGCCCTCAGGCTCCTTGGTTCGCTTACTTTGCTCTTCATGTAGAGGAGATCCACAACCAGGGATCCAACGGGCTGTGGCGAGAAGTAGTGAAAGAATTGTGTTTTGCCAGTGGAAAGCCTAATGTTGATAATGCGGTGAAGGTAAGTAGTATACGTATAAGGATATTAAATTATAATTAATTGGCTTTTAAGAAAAAACAACCGTGCATAAATAATTTGACTTGGCTAAATATCCATAAACTTTACAAATTCTATACTTAAATTAGGGATGTTCACGGAACAGGATTTGTTTCAACTGTCAGCAATTTTGTCGCTGTCACAGTAGATCTCGATTTCACGATTATTGCAGAAGATAATGATGTCTCTGGAAGATGTTGATGAATTCACCAACATATGATGAGTGACATAAAACCATGCAACAAAGACTGAAAGGGAATTTAAAATTTTAAAAACAAGTTTGCCTTGCTGCACACAAAGAAGAATTCCTTTCTGTCCTGTCCCAAACTACAAGTACAATCACCTCTATAACTAGCGTCTACTGGAGTGTATGTTACTGTTGAGACTACAAGGTTGTTTTGTATTTGACAGAGAGCCTGTGCTACCCTCAAACTGTCTGTGATTCCTGCCTCAGCTCTGAGTGTCTACAGATGGAGTATGCAAGCTTTGGATACACCAGTGGACCACCCCGTGCTACCTCTTCTATGGCAACGCTTCTTCATACTTTACTTCACTCGTCTTATCTCCCCAAACGGGTATGTAGGTGTTGGAACACACATTAGCATTACAAGTCTACAGTGCATAATATTGTAATAGTGGGATGCCCACTTCCATTACCAGTTAAAATGTTAAATATGAACTGTATTATTACACATACAGTAATACTGTAAGTAAATATTATATTTACTGTATTAAATATAAAGATTATAACACCTGTGAAGTAGTTTCAGTTAGATGGTCACCCAATAGCCATTATGTTGATTTTACATCAATTCTGGAGGCCTGAATAGAACAAGTGTACTGTTAGCATTTTACTGATTGGTTTATTATTCTTGGAAATACTGCTGTTATGTTACAAATTCACTAAATATCGGAGACTTGACTTGTTGTAATATTGTAATATTTTTAGTGTGGATCATGGATCTGTGGGGTACAAAATGTTTGAGGGACTCACATACCAAACGTATCACAAACGGCTGAAGCGCAAACTGAGTGACTGTGTTGAGTATTTCCGAACAAAAGCTGGTGTTCCAGAGATTTCTCAGGAAAAGCATCTTCTATACGATACACTGTCAAAGTAAGTAAATAACTGTTTATAAAATGAAACTAAGTGCAAAAAATATATCATGAGCTGAGTTCACTGGCTTCAGGTCTAAACGTTTGCAAAGCAATGCCACAACTTCTCATGCAACCAAACGGGCTGTTTTCTGAGTGAATTTTGCTTATTAACACATGTAAATATTGATACAACTAGACATTCCATACCCATTATAACATTTTCACCAGTTTTAAAATAAAAAATCTAGTAGTTAATGTGAGCCACTGACACATTGTCATATAAGTACTGATTTCTGTCGATTTCACGAACCCTATTACCAAGTCAAACTGATGTAACGACTTACTGTGAGCTATGTCACTGTGGCAACTACCCATACGACCCATCTGCTATGACAGCAACAAAATAATAAGGTAGGAAATCAAATTTATATACGAGCACATTCTATGACGCTCAGACAACTATGTTTTTTTAAACAAGAAATTGGCGACAGCTGGTCTATATAGATGGGATGTCTACTTCAGTATCCAATAGTCATTGGTAATACATATTAAATTGGTTCAGTCTAGTATACATATCCTGCACAAAAATTTCTTTAGTTTTCAAATTGTATTTTATGAAGAAATGTAAAATTCCTTATAACTGAGTTGAATCTTAGCTGTTACTTTTTATATCTTGTAACAAAGTCAATTACCACACAAATCCATAGTGCCAGTGGTACCTGTACACGTTTTCTATAATATAAGAATTTTTGTTTAAAATGATACAAATTGCAGACTGTACGAGACGTTCTCACTGTGGCTGGATGAGCCGAGACTGCATGAGTCAGGACTGTACATACCTGCACTGCCACTCCAGTACAACCCTTACAAGCTGTCAGTCATCACGTCTGCAGCTGAACAGGTAATGGCGTGTAGTCAGGGACGAGGAATAGCTCTCAACACTGAGACTTACACTACTAGACCACTCTAGTTGATCCAATGCCAGTTAATTATTTACAGTAGACTCCCTCTTATCCAGAAACCTTTTAACCGGACATCGGTTTAACCGATGGGACACTAGGGGGAAATGACATCTCTTTAACCGGACAATTTTTATCAGCACATTGGTTTAACCGGACTAAATCGGCAGGAAGTGGGCAGTACCGAAACGACTGTTCTCGTGGGAAAAATTTGAGACCAGTGATCACGTGTCTAAATACAATGCTCTCCTAAATTTAAGTTGAATATCGCAGTAAACAGTCCGTTTTAATGAGTTTTTGGGGACGTCGGTTTAACCGTAAAACCCGTTACCCGGACTGGCCTTGGTCCCGAGGAGTCTGGATAAAAGGGAGTCTACTGTAGATGACTGTACCAAATAAGGGGGAAGGTTCTTGTGCATGTGCATCCTGCTTGCCACTGATTGTAAGAAGAATTCATGTGCAGCACCTTAAAAAGATTTTTAGTTTCCTTATGGTCGAGAACAATCCAACGAAATGGTCTGAATATATCCTATAATGTAAACCTAGCCTATTTACAGTGTATTAATTATTATTATTAATTATCAATTGAGATATATTTTAACCCAAATATGAGTGAAAGTTAAATATAGAATCGAGTGAGATGATTTGTGTAGCTTTTGTTACTGACTAAGATCTACTGTTTCATTAGCCAGGATAATTTATTGAAAGCCCAACATTCAGGAATAGCTGGGTCCAGTTTCGAACCATCAACTAACCTGTCTCAGGATCGATCCGGCCACCTCTTGATTGTTAAGCTACCACTCAGCTACCCAGCCAGTCTATTGCTGGACATATCAAGTCTGTTGATAGTTTCAACTTGACCTTGTTTGACCAGAACCCGTGGTACGAGTATGTGGACTACGATACAGTGAAAGCATCACAGAACGCTAGCATAGAGCAATGGCAGCGCACTCAGGGCAGAGACATAACCTCTCAGGCCAAGCCTCCATTGCTGAACATATCAAGTCTGTTAATAGTTTCAACTTGTTTGACCAGAACCCGTGGTACGAGTATGTGGACTACGAGACAGTGAAAGCATCACAGAACGCTAGCATAGAGCAATGGCAGCGCACTCAGGGCAGAGACATAACCTCTCAGGCCAAGCCTCCATTGCTGAACATATCAAGTCTGTTAATAGTTTCAACTTGTTTGACCAGAACCCGTGGTACGAGTATGTGGACTACGAGACAGTGAAAGCATCACAGAACGCTAGCATAGAGCGATGGCAGCGCACTCAGGGCAGAGACATAATCTCTCAGGCCAAGCCTCCATTGCTGAACATATCAAGTCTGTTAATAGTTTCAACTTGTTTGACCAGAACCCGTGGTACGAGTATGTGGACTACGATACAGTGAAAGCATCACAGAACGCTAGCATAGAGAAATGGCAGCGCACTCAGGGCAGAGACATAATCTCTCAGGCCAAGCCTCCATTGCTGAACATATCAAGTCTGTTAATAGTTTCAACTTGTTTGACCAGAACCCGTGGTACGAGTATGTGGACTACGAGACAGTGAAAGCATCACAGAACGCTAGCATAGAGCGATGGCAGCGCACTCAGGGCAGAGACATAACCTCTCAGGCCAAGCCTCCATTGCTGAACATATCAAGTCTGTTAATAGTTTCAACTTGTTTGACCAGAACCCGTGGTACGAGTATGTGGACTACGAGACAGTGAAAGCATCACAGAACGCTAGCATAGAGCGATGGCAGCGCACTCAGGGCAGAGACATAACCTCTCAGGCCAAGCCTCCTCAGATCACCGAGGATGGAGACCCGATACAGCGAATCAACAAAAGGTAATATTAACGCAGTAGGAATTTTTTTTCATATTGACATTTATATTAAGTGTAGCTGGGTAATTGTGCAAAAATTGTTAACTTTTTAATTTTGTGTATTTCTAAGCTATTGGCATTTTTAGGGTTTTTGTAAGGGAACGATCCAAAGCGTAATCTTGTCACTATCTTCCATCGCCCTTTTATCAGATATCATCAAATAACAAATGCTGTGTAGGTCCAAAATTTTTCCTCCTTGAAATTGAATCACCAAACTTCATATTTGAATAAGTACATTATATAACCACTAGGTATTTATTTAAAACTTAAGAAACTTATAAAATACTTATAAAACTCAGTTGAACACGTACTTTTAAAAACCGTCCAAACAATAGTACCTACTCATTGTTTATTTTGACAGTCGGTTGAAAATAGGAGCGGATCTGGTGTGGAATCAATCAATGACACTAAGGGCTGGTACACACACACTGACTTTTGTCGTGCCCCTGTACGACTCAAGAAATCGTATATCTGCACGACTAGTAGAGAAACAAAGTAGGCAATGGAAGTCGCATGGGGGTGTACACACTAGTGCGGCAGCAGTCGTGGAGGTGTCAAAGTGGTGGACGACAAATTTCAAGTCGCGCCCTACACCGACTGGGGGTCCGACAGGCAAGTCGTGTCGTATGGGCTCACAACTGTTCTGAGTTGTAGCGGGACATGGCGCTATACGGCTGTCGCGTCGGTGTATACACACTAGTGCGTCTCGGGACACGACTGCGGGGCGCCACGCTGGGAAGTTTAGACCCTGCCCCGCCATTTGTGTGTTTAATTTTCTTATTTTGTCCCTAATAGTATCCAACAGGATGTCAAATGACATTGGCGACATTCTGAAATATCCAAACAACTTTTTCCCATCACTTTTCAATTCGTCAAACGATACACTAAACAGTCCTTTTGTCCTTCTCTCAAGTAAAAAAGGATCTGTTTGGATACTTCTCTTCTACGTCGACGTTTTCTCCATATACAAGAGAAGGAGAAGGAGAACCTCTTCCTCCGGCGACATCCTCACAAATGAGTAGTCCTAAAGCCAGTAGAATTTGCTGTTGTGTTTGCTGAGTCGTATACCGATACGACAACTGTCTTGAGGTAACACGACTTTGTCGTATGCCAGCACGACACGAACAGTCATACTCACATGCCCCCAAGTCGGTGTGTGTGTACCGGCCCTAACTTGTAATTTTGGTAAGAAATGAATTGTTTAACACATTAAGTACTGATGATTTTTTTCCAAACAGGCTGCAAACTTATGATTCTCCACTGCCTCCACCACCACTTAAGTTCCGCCAAGCAGTCGTCCCTTCAATACATAGGGAGGCTCTTTTACACAAAGGTGTAATGCTGGATTCACTGAAACCTTCCTTTAAGGCCATCCTTGAATATGCTCAGTAAGTGAAAAATGTAGTATTGTATGTAACTGTGCATGCATAGGGTATGTAATAAAATAGTTTGGTTACACTGACCTGAGAGAGACAGTTTCATGTTATTTTATCAGCAATTTTAAACTTTTAATCTGTTAATAAATTGTAAAGTTTATTAAACTTTACAATGTTTAAAATCGTAATAGGTAGGTATGCTACTCGAAACTTTCATGATAAGTTAAAGACATGTTTTTTGAGTTATTAGCAACTGAACATTTACTTAATCAAAATAATCCATCATACTGACTTCATTGTAAAAAAACAAATCTGCAATTGTATAAAGATGGGTCTTGGAGTTAGCAAAGTTCGTAGGTTTTCAAGGGAGCCCTAGCTGTTCTGAGGTAGAGTAAAAGGGGAAAAGAGCAAGTGAAGCTCTAAACAAATTGACAAGAAAATCAGAAGATAAGCAAGGCTCAGCTGATAAGGAAAGGTTTAGAGCTGCACCCAATAATAGAAAGACATGGCACTGCCTCAGACATACAACTGTTAGCTTTGAAAATATTCTGTCTATCTCAATGTTAGGCATAAAATCACATTTTTTGTTATCTCACTAATTAATAAAAATGTTGAAATAGCTAGAATACATTTTTTTACATATGAAAAAATATAAATATTTGTATGATTATATGTAGGTAGAATATGAAAATTACTGTTGTCCTTTTGACAGGTTAGGAGCAGGGAGGGTTTCGAACTACTGAAAACATTGGATTATCAAATTTTTTTCCTAATGCATTCAATTCAGAGAAACTGTCACCATTATCTTATAATGCAGTATTAATAATTATTAGGCATTTTGCGACAGTATGAAAACACAATTAATTTCACAAAAAGTACTAAACAGTCAAGTGATTATTTAAACTAAACTACACAATGATGTTACATAATATTTCAGAGTGGGTGAGTCATGTTGCTGCAGGCTTGTTTTGTATTTGCCTAAAAGACTGCCCGTGGTGAATTGGCCTATTGAGTATGTCGGATTATCAAGCAACTGTATTTGAACATTACAAATAAATAACACATTTGTTAACGTTTATGTCTGCAGGAACTATAGTCTTAGACTATCAGAACACACTGCGTTGGATTGCTCGCTGATGGAGTTATTGCCTTCGTTGTACACCCACATAGAGACGGAGATTGCACTTCACGCTGCGTGTGACACCACGGACCCTCGCGTCAAGCCTCCGTCCGCACATGCATTGAACTGTGCCGGTCCTGCTGTCATTTATATCAAGGTATACCTCAGATTCCATTTACAAAAACCCATAGTTTAAGTAGTTAGTTTAGGTGAATTAATATTGTTTGTTACGATTGTCTGACCACACACTCACATTTAAAAAAAGGCAATGTTTTAAAACTTAGCCAAGTAGCTAATTCTATTTTTGACAAGGTATAGTGTTTGCTACCTTACCTGAGAAAATTTCAGGGAACCCTTAAGGTCAAGTCACACCGAGCTCGCTCCCGCGGCGGGAGCGAACTTTGGAGAATCGCTCACCATGTTATCAAATGTGCCAAGTCACACCGCCACGTCCGCCTGCTGAGCGATTTTTTGAGACTACCGCTGCGGGAGTTTTGTCTAGCGCATGCGCAAATAGGCATGTCGAATGGCCAAGCTATTTCAAGTTTAAAAGTAATACAGTTTGAGATTAAATTTAACATGTTTCTTTTGTTTGATGATATGTTGTTTTGTATTATCTCCATAATACCTATGTTTATTTTCAGAAAAAAACACTTTTGTTTACCATACAAAAATAATGTTTACGGTGAAAATTTAATGTTTCCCATGAAATTTTTTATATTGCTGTTGTATTAAACAACGTTTTATTGTTTCATCAACTGTATCAATTTCAATTTGCAACAACCAATCCTATACAGTCAATGTCAACTTGAACTTTCAATAGAAGGCTTAGCAAAAAAAAAATTACATTAGTTTTAAAATGGTCTTATGTTTTTAATTAAAAATTAAAAAGTATTTGTAGTGTAGCGAAAAATAACGTTCAAAATACTGAAAGCGAATAATTTATCCTCAACCATATTTAGAATGCTTGCACTTCAAACAAAAGGTCTAAATTAAATTTAAAAAAATAATTACAGTTAACTTTTTAAAGTACACTAACAAATAAATTAAGATTCAATTGCTTCTTAAAACACTTTACTACTTAATAAAATCTGCAAACTTACATGGCATACTAAACAGAAACAGATAAAACAAATTGTAATGAAATCATCTCAAAACTCCCACCGCGGGCGCGAACTTTTGGTGTGACATGGCTCGAGGAAAAACATCCGCGCGCAGTACTCCCGTGGCGGGAGCGGTGGATGTCGGTGTGACATGGCCTTTAGGAATACATTTTTCTTTAATCACCATTTTCTTGAAAAAAAAAAAAAACTTTGCATAGGCCCTTTTTTAAAGAGTCCTATATCAGGATGAAATAACAGTTTGTGACCTTTTGTAGTCCATCTGACCCCTGCATAGCAATCTTTTCCAACTAAGGTAGCTGAACTCTATGCCTTTTAAAAAGGTTTAATTGTTATTTGTTAAGTTAAGCTATACAACATTGGCTATCACATAATACCTCACTAACCTGCCTCAGTGTTATTAAAACCTCCAACTTATGTTGCAACTAATCTGCTCACTAAGAGAATGATCAATTCCTTTGTTGACATTTCATTCATAAATAATTTACTAACCAAAGGAAAATAGGATTTTGGGATAAAATACAAAATGGTGCACAGGATGCACATTAACATTACTAACTAATGACAAAAAGGCTTAAAGTTAATAAATGCTTTATTTTGAAATGGCGACCATACGAATGTAGGTATTTTAAGCCAAGTATGAATGGAGATGAGTGTGGGATGAGTGGCGTGATCTTATAGTCTTGTTAGTGACTAAGGCCGACATATTCCTTAGACTAAGGCTGTTAATTAATAGCCAATGCGTTCGCATCGAGTATGCATCGAGTAATATTGTCCTTGGTCCCATGTCTTGTGCTCAAATCATTAAATAAATGCTGTTCTAATGCAAAACTTATACACTTGTCAGATATAATGATTGTTAATCTTCTGATTTCTGCATGTATAGATTTCACCCGCTTGCATCAACGAGGCAGTCCGCCAACAAGTAGACAACAATCGCAGTGAAGTAGGTGGATTGCTCAAGAGATGTATGCAGTCCCCCCCAACGACTGTGTGTGCTGCTAGTGTTCATATAGAGAATGCTGCTCAGTAAGTTTAAACATCATTAGTCTACATGATCAACAAGTTTTGGGTAACTGACAAAAGTTTACTTGCTGTGTTTTGTAGAGCCGCGATTGTTAAACTGAGTTGTGTATCACAAAAAATGTAAAGTTTTGTGTTTTGTAAACAAAAGACAAAGACATTCTCTTATCATCCATGTTTAAGTATATTTTAAAACATCTTTCAGATTGTTTAAAGCCCAACTCAGCAAAATTGACCACATATTTGAAGCTGAAAAATGACAACATAACAGAAGAGTCATTTATCTAGCCTATTTATTCGATATTTAAGAAGTCTATTAATCTAACAGCTTTCAATTTGATTTTGATTGAACTTAAGATTTTATGTTCATTTGTATAATTTAGGTTAGTAATAATTACTTATTGTTTTAGGACTCTGGAAAAAGAATTTACCGAGCTTAAGAAGATTGGGGATGTCCAACTGTTAAACCCCTTAAAAGATGTAGGAGTTGTCCTGTTTTACCATCTGTGTGATATGTTTACAGACGACGCAATGTCTTATCCACCTCTTAAACAACTAGTTACCTCATGTATTGAAAAACTGGGCAATGTGAGTAGAGCATTGAAATTGAACGGTTTTGTAACAGTTAGCATGACCATACCAAGCATGACAGTTCTCAACAGTGCACATATGTCACATTTTTAGGTAAAGATGTCAGAGGAACCTCTATACTCGTCCTTCCATTTGAATCTTCTGTTTTCATCAGAGCTAGAACAACTGTGGCAATAAAGGCTGTTATTTTATTCTCAATTACTTTTTTTAATTCTCCACCCGTCATCTTTTAAAGGGCTGAATATTTTTCCCAATACTTTTTATTCTTACAGTCTTTGGCTTGTGCTTAAGTTTCTAAATAAGTCCAACAGAATTATTGAGTAATTATTGAGTATTTGGACTTAATTTTTATAGTTTACAAACACAAGATTATATAAATGACATAACTGTGTACAATTTGTTGTGATCAAAACCTTTTCATTTTCATAGTCAACTCCTTTTCATCATGCGTTATTTATATCTTAAGCAATGTCTACCAGTCAAATGTTTGTGAGTGAAAATTTAAAAACGTACGTTTTCAGGAAAAGCACTTTGCAAATTTTTTTCCCCCTTTTTCAAAACTTTTATTATTTTTTTTATTTCATTAACATTTGAAGTTTCATAAAATGTCCATGGTAACGCAATATCTTTGGTAGTTTCTTTTTAAAAGAGCATCTTTAGTGGAAAAACACAAAATCCTGTCACGACCATAACGGACGTTTAAATGAATATTAAAAATAGTTAATATTATTTTTGTAACTATGTTTTGCTATAAACTAATTTACTTTTATGACCATTATACAATAAAAAGGTCACTGAGCTTTTGGTATATTTGGTCTTTCTAGAAAAAAATAAAAAAACTCAAAAAATTGAAAAAAAGCCAATAAAATCTTTTTAAGTGTGTATAACTCCGAAAAAACTTACCTGAGACCCGAAAAATCGTTATGTTTGTATAGAGGTGTGCTTCTTTTGTGTATAAAATATTGAAATATGACGATATTTTAATTTTTGTCAGGGACAAGCGGTACGGTCGTGAATTGTCTGGAATAATCTAAATCTTTCTAAACAATCCTTCAATTATCCTGTTAGTTATAATAAAAATATGTGTTTCAATTGAACTAAACTGTTCAATTTACAATTATATTAAAGTTATTGTCACGACCAAACACACTATAATCCATAAGGCTGGATTGGTCGTGAAAAAACCCGCGATGGTCGTGAAACTTTGGTTGTGAAATTACGTGTTATTTGGCTCTGTTCTGGCGGTAGCCCTGCACCTCATGTTCGAGGATACAAAGTGGACTTCTAGGTTAATCTAGCAATTGAAATATCTTATAAACAAAAATTAACACCATGTCTACTTCATCGAATGACTACGTACGGTCATGGACACACCAAAATTACAAAAAACACAATCTTTCCTTTATTAATCTTGTAATTCCTCCTTTCAACTCGAAACGACCGGCACTACAATCCTGACGTACACCCCGAACTAGTCTCTAAAACCAACTGACTCCATCGACACCAGGCTTGCCACTGTCGTGCTCCAAAGTTAAAATTTTTTCCCAAATGGTCGTGATGCCAAATCGAGGGACAGACTTATTTTGTCATGGTAGTCAGTTTGTAATGACAATAAAATTATAACATGCTCCTGTTTTGTAAGTTTAATAACCATTGATGACATAAAAAGATGGCTTTATATATTTCGGCATGAATAATTAGTCTAAAAACAGCGTGAAAGTTGGAAAATCTACCCTAGGGACACGTCATGGTCGTGAATTTCGAGACTTTAAAAATACGAAAAAAATACCTATAACCTATTTAAAACCAAATAAATGTGTGTAACATGTTGCCCCCGTCCCAAAAAATATTAAAACACATAGGCTAATAATAAACTACAAATCCAGTATATACGAAGTAAAAGGCCAGGGACATGAAAACGTACGATTTTAAATTTTCACTCTTGTATTGTCAGTTATTTTGGTGTCCGTATTGCAGATGTTCATCTCAGGAGAGGAGAAGGAATGTGTGAGATTGTTGACTACAGTTCTGCAGAATCCTCCTCTAGCCGGGCTGCTTGGCCCTCACTTCACTCCTGCAGCTGCAAGTCCCAACCTGTTTCTGCAGATGTATTGCACTTTGGTAGACAGTGATCAGACATCACCTGATTTGCTGTTTGTTCTGCTCAGTAAGGTAAACAGAACAAACATAATCGATTATATGATGGTAAAACAACCTGTGTGTTTCTTGTATAGACCAGAACACTTGGAGTGTAGTATTTTAAAATCAGAATCTTTCTTTGAGGATGAGAAAATAAAATTTAGAACAATACATATTCAATATTGCTAATTTTGGCTAACTAAAAGTGCTATAAAAGTTCTAAATATATTACTTAAATATTCATTTTTATTTTGGGAATTTAAAATATTTTTAGGCCTCACGAATCCGCTCCTGCTTCCCCCCTCCTCCGTAGGCAAACCACTGCATAACACCTGACATAGGAATTACAAAAGTAATTTACAAGCTGGTACATAGTCATTTTAAATCAAAGTTCCTTAAATTAAGTTATCCTGAGTGTAAAGCCTTCAAATGTATGTTTAAAAAAAATATGAATTTTGTAATACACTTTTTGACTCAAATTATCTTTCAGCTTGGATGTAAAATTTGATTCTGATAAAATTCTGTGTGAATTAGGTAAATTTAATGGCTGAAGATTTTTAGTCCCATCTAGAGAGGTCTAGTTTTAATTTGTTTTGATACTGCACAGATTCAGTGGCAAGATTCAAAATCTTTTTCTCAGGCGAATTAAGATTTAAAAAATTCATTGGACATTGTCAGTTACTAAATTCATCCATAAAACTTAAGAATAAAAACACAAGAGGTAAATATTGTGCAAACTATCCTAGTTGAAAATGTGAAATTGAAAAATAGTGATCCTATTTAGCTCTAAAACTTTATAAATCATTACCTACATATAAATAAAACATGGTTAAACATTTTCAGTTTGACATTAACCAGTGGCTGACGTCCCGGAAGCCCAAGCTGATAGAGAGATCTCAAGTCATTGAACTGGCTGGCAAAGCCTTGGCTACAGCTGGGCTGACTCCATCTCAGGAATTACTCACGTTACATGGGGTAAGTAAAAATATGTACTGTTGATAAGTCCTACCCTCTTTGACACTGTATGAGCGAGTTATTGGTTTGGTTGACATCTGTACGTTACTGGACTATCGTGAAATAAGTCTTGCGTCAAGGCAGTCAGTTTCACTGCCAAGAACTTTGTTCTTTAAATAAGTGTTCTTTGTTCTTTAAATAAGTGGACAATATATTGGGAGGAACCTTAAATTCCTTAGCCATTTCAAATTGTATCTTCAAACCTTTTTAGTCTTTATCACTATGCAAGAGATACCTGGTTGCCAAAGTAATCCTGGGTTGTCTGATAGGTTTTAAATGAGATTTTGGTTCAAAATTTTGTAAATAACATGGCTTTAATTACATTGTAGCTTAACTCTTTCCAAACTAGCACAAAATTGTAAAATTACAAGGATTTATTACGATTTATAGCATATTTTTATTCTTTTTCACTTAACCCTCCGAGCGTCACTCGTCGAAAAATCGACGCACGACACACTTTGTGTAGTGTCACGCGTCGATTTTTCGACGCACGAACATCGTTTACGGCGAAGGCTCTATGACTGACTGAATCGGATTGAACTGGATCGAGTTAGGTATCGTTCTTTTCGTTATATTCTAAGCTTTCTCCAGAGGTCTGTCTCTAAGCGCTTTATGTTCTCTGAGCCGATCGTAATTGTAGCAGACAGCTGACGTGCGTATTTGTAAACAGCTAGGTTACCCCGGACCGATACTGATGTGTTTTATTACGTTTATCATTGTTTTAGTGTTAAAAATCAAAAGTAGTGATATACGTGGTGCATTATAAGAAGATTTAAGTGATTTTGAAGGGCTGGTTGATGATCCTGAAGAAGTATGTAGTGATATTGATGTAAATTATCAGCCAGATTCCTAGCTATGGTTAGGCTATGCATTCTTAGCTAAACGCTATGTACTGAAATCTGTTTTTTGCCCATAACTTATTTATTTGCAAATCTACTTCCTTATATTATTATACATTTGTAATCCTCATAAAATTTAGAACAAAGTGGCTATTTTCAAATATTTATAGGCCTATACAGTAGAACCTCTTTAATCCGAACTAATTGGGACCAGGGGTAGTTTGGACTATTGAATAGTTCGGATTACAGAACATATGGTTTTTTTTACATAACAATAGCTAAAACATGGCTAAAATTGATCAACATTATTTTGGGAAAAGTGAAAAAAATGTTTTATTAAGTAAAATACAGTGTTTATTTAATACAGTAGTAAACATGGTGAATAAACAGTACTGTAAATTAAATACAGTATACAATAAAGAACTACTGTACTGTGTGTAGAGTACAGCAATGAGGGGTTCGGATTAGTGGAGTTCGGATTAAAGAGGTTCTACTGTAATTTATACAATTTCATTGAGCGCAAACTTATTTTTTTTTGAATATTTTCCAAAATATTTTTTTTACCTAAAAAATTTTTTTGAAACAAATGTTCCTTATGTTTTATGTATAATATTGAAGCCCATGATTTTCCAAACAAAATGGTATATAGAACAGTAGAATTAACATTGTTTTAAGCTTCTCAGATCCGTTTTAATAAAACCTTGCAAATGCGCCAAAAATAGGCGGACATTAAGGCCTAAACTATGGACACTCGGAGGGTTAATAAAGCTACAAAATGACTTCTTATTGCATAAACAACTTTTTACAAAAAAAAAAAAAAAATGCAGATATAATCACTTTGGATATCGGCTTTGGATATCTAGAAAGATTGCAGATGAAACTTCAACCCATCTTTACAATTTAGATCTAACTAACAACAGGTTATAAATAAAGGATAAAAATTGGCTTTGTTATTTAATGAAAAACTATTTATTTAGTCTACCAAAAGAAAATTAGACGGTAATTTTAAACAATATTAATGTTTTAGAAAGATTTTTACCTAACAAGGCAAGTGTGTTTATTATAGTTAAACGCAAATAAATATTGCCATACCACCATACTGTCTACAGAATTGGCGGAAATAACCTCCTGTCGGCAACATCCACAACCATCATGCGGAAATCTCCATCACCTGACGAAAAAGGGTTGATATTCACTAACGTAATGAGGATGTACTCCCTAGATGCTACTTCTATTTGTTTCTGTACATATAGTTAGATGACACACAAAAGGTTGACTTTGAACTGACTTAATTTTCTCCACTCTAAGACTTAAAACTTAAACATGATTTGGAACCTCCCTGTTCGCAGATATTCCGTAACCACCTGGCGACCATGTTCATGTACGACTTCCCGGAGCATTACGGCGAGGTGTTGTCTCTAGTGTTGCGTCACAGTGAGACGCAGAGCCTAGCGCCAGATGTGTGGTATGACCTGGTCAATGCCATGGTGGGCGGCAGCAGGCTACACCCTGGGCTCAGCCTGGCTCAGCTGAAGGAGGTTATTAACCAGTACGCAACTGAGCAGAGAGCGCTGTCTGTACAAGAGGTAGGCGGTCTCCACAAGCAAGAAAAAGAATCGCTTTTGTAAAAAGACTTTCACAGATATTCAAGAAATTTCATTAACTATGAATAGAACTAGTGGTTTCATTCCTTGTTAAAGTTGTAGAAGGATTTAGGAAAAAATCAACATGGTTGAATTAAGCCACTTACAAAAGCTAAGCGCTGATGAAACTTACTGATTTCTGTTGAGTAGGTACATTTTTTTGACATAGAGAAACAAAAATTATAAAATATAACATTTATTATTATGTCATATCAACTATCACAGAAAAATTAAGGGAGGAAATAGAGTTAAGGACAGCAGCTAGTGATGTGTTGGTTCCATTTTTAAGGGTGCGGTTTTGGTTTGGTTCTTGGTGGTTCTCAGTTCCCGGTTCCGGTAAAATAATTGGGAAAAATTTACACACGCTAAAATTTATTTTAAACACTTGAGTTTATTTTATAATTACAAATGCTCTGTTGGTAGCAGTACTTCCACCTCTTGATATTGAGTTTTACTTTTGCCTTGCCTAAAATTTGTGTGCTCAAAAAAGAAGCCGTACGATGCAATACCAATATCTCACCGATATCTCGTTTAGTTATTATCGGCTGTTTTGCTTTACAATTCGATTCATCTGAAATGAAGATACATAAAGCAGGAAAGAACTACCGAGGTCAAATGAAAGTCAACTTGTGCTCCCCATAATAGTTTACAGCCATTGTATGTGTAAAGACAATTTTTTATGAAGGCAGACTAAAAATACTTATAACCGTCAGACTGAAGAACCAACAATTTTCCAACGGTTCTCGGTCACGGTTATTTCGCCAAGAATTGTTGGAATCGATAACGCCCTTTTGGAACTGACACACCACTAACAGCAGCACATTGGGTGGATCAACTATTTGGTTTTTTAATAAATAAATTGGCAATAGCTGGTGGAATAAAATTAGAATAAAATAACATTTGTGCTGTTAGTGTTAAATCAGCGTAACGGTACCTAGTAAATTTAATTTGACAAACAATTCAAATAATTGTTTCTGTGATGTTTGTATCAGCTACGAGACACTAGCAGCTTGTTAGGCAACCACTTCACCAAAGAGAGGCTCCAGTACGGTTTGTACGGACTGTACCCCAAGTACCGCATCTATGTAGAACCTCTGATGGTGTTCCAAGGAATGATCGGACATGCTCTGGTTGTAGCAACTCTGCAGAACGACCGAGGGACCCTCTCTGACAAGTGTGAGTTACAAATGATATATACAGGGTGTTTCACGAGAGGTGTCTCAAATTGATTACGGAAAAACCGCTTAACGTACATGGATGAAATAATATTATTTCCCACTAAATCGACCCCAAGGAATAACGTAAAAATACTTTTAACTTTTTCCCAATACAGGGTGTGCCAAAAACTGAGGGTCACTAGTTCGAATCTCGGAATTTTCAAATGTAAACATATGTAATGTTATACATCATTGTAAAGGTATTTAACAGACAAACATTTTGGCGAAAACAGAAATTAATTATCTTTTTTAGTTTCAAAATGGCGGAAGTTTTTTTGAAAAAAATCTATATTTTTTTAAAACTCTGTGTTTCCTATACCAATGCCCTTCTCCGGTTGAAATTTCTTACTCGTTATGAAATTAGCTTTACTTTAATATGCTACAAGTAACGGTTTTTTGTAATTATAAAAATTCAAAAAAAAATTTATTTTTGAAAATTTGTGAATGCTCATTGTTCAAAATTTTTAAATATCAACATATGTCAAGTGGCACATCATTTTATAGGGTTTTTAATTCCTAACAACTTTGTAATTTACACTTACTTCGTATCTCTTTTAGTTTTTGTGTAAATAACAAAAAACCTTAAGTGTTAAACCACGTCAAACCCAAATAACATGCATTTGATATAGGAAAATTAGGTTTTTTGTTATTTACACAAAAACTAAAAGAGATACAAAGTAAGTGTAAATTACAAAGTTGTTAGGAATTAAAAACCCTATAAAATGATGTGCCACTTGACATATGTTGCTATTTGAAAATTTTGAACAATGAGCATTCGCAAATTTTCAAAAATAAAATTTTTTTGGAATTTTTATAATTTTAAAAAACCGTTACTTGTAACATATCAAAGTAAAGCTAATTTCATAACGAGTAAGAAAATTCAACCAGAAAAGGGCTAAATGCATTGGAATAGGAAACACAGAGTTTTAAAAAAATATAGATTTTTTCAAAAAAACTGCCGCCATTTTGAAACGGAAAAAGATAACTAATTTCTGTTTTCGCCAAAATGTTTGTCTATTAAATACCTTTAAAATGATGTATTACATGACATATGTTTACATTTGAAAATTCCGAGATTCGAACTAGTGACCCTCAGTTTTTGGCACACCCTGTATTGGGAAAAAGTTAAAAATATTTTTAGGTTATTCCTTGGGGTCAATTTAGGGGGAAATAATTTTATTTCATCCTTGTACGTTAAGCGGTTTTTCCGTAATCAGTTTGAGACACCTCTCGTGAGACACCCTGTATATTCTAAATCCTGTTTGTATTTTAATTCCTTTAGCTGTAGTTACTTACATGGTTTACAGTGGAAGCTCTTATTATCTAGATTGGCTTTTTGTAGGCTGCAAAAAATCCACCCCAGGCTTTTGCGTTATGGTCTTCTTTAAAGTTTCCAGCATTAAAGCTGTTGGAGTTATATTTTGTGTAAATATGCTGTTGGGTTGGAAATTAAATTATTGAATATTAGATCAATGGCAACAAACATGAATACTATTGTGTGTACTTTGTGACGTAAATTCTGATGGGGTTGATGAAATTGTATTCACAAAACAGGCTAGTCTTTCCCCTATAACCAGCCACACCCCAATTAATCAAATTAATTTTTGAATCAAATTTTATCCCCAAAGTGCTCAGAAGGAGCCAATAAAATCTAGGAGTCTTTACGAAACTTTTACAAATTTAACTAATTACTTTAATTTTAATCAAAGGTTCAGAGCTCTTGAAGTCCTCAGGAAATCCTTCAGACGCTCAGGTCATCCTCCCCTTCCTTAAAGTGTTTTTGAAGATTTTGCCTAACTTTAAGATTAAGATTGACTCTGTAGGCCTGATGACTGATGAGTATTCTATCCTGGCCTTTAATAAAACTAGGGCTACTTGTCTTACGCTTGAAATTATTTAGGGAAGTGTATTAGAAAGTATGTGCGATAATTTACTAAATAAAATATTATATAAAAGTTCCTATCTGAGAGTACTGTTGATTCAGTTTGCCTGAAAATATGAAAACAATTATTTGATTGTTGTGTGACACATACTTTTGAACCAACTAGATGTTGAGTCATACAATTCTTTCACAACGTAAAATTAGTACTTCCTTAACCATTTTTAATTTTTGGTTTGTTGTTCTAAATACCATAATCTACTAACAAATTTTCTTTCTCTACAACATGCTTTTTTTCAATGATTCACTAAAACAAAACCAATTTACCTCACCCTCTCTTCTATCTCCAATACATAGCTTTAGTTTTTTACTTTACTAAGTTCTTTTTCAAGTTCTTCGTATTCCATTACAATAGATGTGTCAGTTTCTTCTACAAGTACTTCCATCGATCACATTTTGTTGTAGGTCATAGATGTTATGTTGCCTCTTGTCACTACAAACAATAGGCAACACATAAGAAGACACAATATGACTGAGCTGTGATATCTGTGAATCTGTTTCAGTGTGTGAGCAACTATGGCCCTACCTGGCAGGTTTGTTCTGCCCTTGGCTGGCTCCGTACTTCACCCGCAATCTAACAGAGCCCACAGCGGCGTGGATACAACAGCTGACTGACGATAGGTCGGTGTTGCCGCCGTGGATCGTAGCTGACGGAGGCCACGCTCACAAGTTGGCAGCCATGTTTGTTGAATGTATTCGTTTCATGATGGACACACTTCCTGGTAATCCTATACGCTAATACTAGCTATGTCTGTTTGTCTGTCTGTAATATATCTCAAAATCCAGCAAAATGATTTTGACTTAATTTTGGAATTATGTAGAGACTTATAGCTTTAAAAACGTGATTGGTGACAGCCACTTCTTTAGGAAAATTTGTATTTCACTATACAACTCATTTGAAAATTTAAAGTTTTAACATTGGCCTTATGCCAAGTAACTATGTTGGTTAAGCAAAATAACAAGGAAAAAGTAAACAAGAGACTTGTCACATGTGTTTATGTTTATAACAAGCCATCCACAGTATACCAGCAAAATAAAAAATACTGTACAAAGGGAAAAACATCACTTGTAAAGATACACACTATTGAGCAAAGATTGCACTGAAGATTACTCGATAGAGGGGAAAATAGTTCCGATCAAATACTGATCATTCAACTCAGCCTTCTCCCACCAAAACTTAATCCCCAAAGTACTGAGGCATTCCAAGTAAACTAAATAGTAAATGGATGTGGGCGTTTTAATCGGCATAAAACTATTACTGTATGCTAAATCCCAATGACAATTTCAATTAAACAGAATATCAATTTCTTTATAATTAGTAGTGAAAAATCGAAAAATCGTTGTCAATAGGCCATTTTAAAACTAATATAATTTTGTTTGTATCATATTTTGATCTGCTGTCATTAGTGAGTGTAAAAGTCGAACAACGGGTTTCTATGACTAGAGAGGAGCATAATTTCTGTGCGAGTAGCACTTAAACTTAACACTTTTAACCCTGAGCGCAAAATGCCCTTAGTATGGGCGTTACTGGGCAATTTTAGGGTATTATTAAAAATTTGTAGCTTGGTAAAAAAAAACTTTTTTCTGGTGAATAATATATCAAATTAAAGAGAAAATAATAAGCTTTTAAATGACATATATTTTATTACATTACCGTAGGCTATAAATTACAGGGTTTCAGTTTGAAATAACAAAAAAAATTGAGAAAAACAAAAATTGCAACCGCAAGTACTAACCTAATTAAAAAAGTATTTAATATTTACTTTAGCATAATTATGGCATTTATATCATGTGAAATTGAAGAGAACAACATGCCCTTTCAGGAAATATATACATGTATATAGTTATATTGCTTACCTTACATATTATAACACGAGAAATTGAAATGTCGTTGTCGTATCAGTTCCCAAGCACATCTAGCCTAGGCTTTACCATAGTCTGCTTTGGTATGATACAGTCTAAAACATTCAGGCACACACAATGGTGTTTGGCACTCTGGACACCACCAAGAAGTTTCTTTTCTTCCAGATTTTCCTGTAGAAACTTTGTTTTTTTCCGAACACACTTTGCAAATTCTTGTAGGATTTTTTTTCTTGTCCGTAGAGGGGATTTTGTCAGGGAAATGACGTCCAATAAGTCGATCAGATTTTGTGGCTCTTGCAGTTTCCTCTTCTTGTAATAAAGTCCCTGCTTTTTCGCTCAATGATTTTCCAATTGCTATTATAAATTTTTCAAGGTGACAGAGGGGTCTCAGGTTTGCAGGTCTGGTTTTTCGATATAAGATAAATGCGTTGACAATTGACATCATAAACAAGTGGAAGAACATTTTTTTCCACCATTTCATCTGTTTCCTCTTGAAAGGGTAATAGGAAATAAACTGGTCATTTCTGTCCACACCTGTTTTTTTATTGTTGTAATCCAAAATCAGATCTGGTTTGTGTTTTTGCAACATCCCTTGTTTTGTACGCACCGTAACTTCTGATGTAGTCATTTTATGAGCTGTTGATAGAGCTAAGACATCTCTAGTATCTTTCCATTTTATGCAGAGTAAATGGTTTCTTCTCATGAAAACAGTTTCATTTTTTTGTAGCTTTTTAGTGGTGACAGTCTTGGGCAACTCGGTCCTATTGCTCATGCAGGTACCGACTGCTTTAGTATTTTTCTCCCAGAGAAAGTCAAAAAGCTTTGGTGAAGAGTAAAATCTATCATTATAAATAGTATGTCCTTTATTGAGGTAATCTGCCAACAATCTCTCATATAGAGCTACAACTGTATTACTGGAGTCAGACTTACCGGTGTAGGCTTCAAATTTTAGAACATATCCTGTAGATGCATCACACAAAACATATAATTTCATCCCGTACTTGTCAGGCTTACTTTTATTATAAACTCTAAACCGAACTCTACCCCTGAATCCGCAAGTTCCTTCGTCTATGGTCAAATCTTCGTACGGTGAAAAACACATTGGGAAAGAAGTCAGCAAAAGATCTATATATGGTCTTAGTTTATGTAACGGATCGTGGCCTGGAGTGTTGAATGGGATGTATGTTGAATTATCGTTGATGTGAAAATTTGCCAAAATTGCTAGGAACCTATCCCTGGCCATGACTGATGGAGCATACATAGATTTTATAAAATTGTCTGTTGACCAATAGTCACTAAGTTTAGGTTTTTTCACAACACACATGTGCAATACAATCGAGAAAAAATGGTAAATTTCATAAAGCTTTACGGTTGTCCATTTTGACCAGACACTATTTTTCTTCAATTTGTTTGATCTTCTTAGTTTATCGGTTATAGATTTGGCATATTTATTTGTCTCTGACTTCAATGATTTGATAAAAAATTCAGGAAAAAATATAGAAAACACATCAAATGGAGTTGAGTTCTCATCAATAGCAGCCGTAACACCAGCGCCTAACTCGTCAAATGCTGGTAGTGGCGGTGGGTTGTCCTCCAACCGCCATCCAAGTTCCTCATCAGTGGGTTTTTTTTTCTTCTTTTTCCTTGGTTGAGTCTGCTCCGGTTCATGTTCAAAGTTTTCATTTGGCACAGGTAAATTTGCATTATCCGGTAAGTTTTCATTTGGCGATATAGATCGATGTCTTTTGGTTTTACGATTATAATTAGTACTATTTGACCGGCGTTTTACTTGGTTGGTTACTTTATTAGGCCTAAGAGAACCTAAACAAGAAGTAGCTGAAGGCTGTAAGACATTATCTTCACGATCACTAGGTAGAAAATCAGGATCTTTGTCAACATTGTCGAAATCAGGATCACACAGTTCGTCATCCGAAGAAACTATCGAACTATTAGGCCCAAGTAATTTTCTGTTTTTGCAGATTTTATGATTAGGCTGATTGGGTGGTTGTTCATGACTAATTTCAAGAGGGTTAGGCCTAAATGGTATACCATCTGTAGGCCTAGTAGTGTCTAGAACTGTTTCTGGTTCATCACAGTTTTCTTCATCAGAGTAAATTGTAGGGTTATATTTACATCTAATTGGGCCTAAGTTTCTACTTTCATCTTCTTCAACTACTGAAATTGATTCATTTTTACAGTCATCATTGTCTATGTCACTTGGTAGTAAATCATAAAACACCAACTCATCAGGATCATTTTCATCAACCATGTATGTAACTGCACTAACCTCATTTTGAAAAGCATCTAAATTACTTACAACAAACTCACCTTCCGAACCAGAATCATAAATAGGATCATTCAAGTTTTCATTTACTGATATTGTAGTAGAACTAGGTCCTGAACATAAGTAATTATTTTCACTAAAAGATTGATTTTCTTCATCACTATGGTCTGATTCTGACAAGAGTTCACGAATATGACTCAACGTTTTTTTATCAAATATATCGCTCATATTTGACACTAAACACAATAAAAATTATCCACAACAAGGTATTGCTCATAACAAGAACTATTACGCAATCATAACGCAATCATAATACTTGTAAAAAACATAAAACATTCACTTTATTGAACACATAAACGATTGTAAACAAAGACAGCCATTAGCGCAGACAACAACAACAAAGCGTCGTCGTCGTCATCACTAAGCAATACGATGCAAGGCTGCAGACAGCTGGATCTTTTTTTTGTGTTACCAAACATCTGGTTTTTTTTAGGTTGTGGGGTATTACAATCGAAGCCAGATGACCAAGGAATGGTTACGTAATAAGAAAAATAGCAAATGTGACGTCATTACGTTGCTATGGAATTTAATATTGAAGCCCGACCTATACTCGGGGTTAGTTCAGTGTGTCTTACGTCATACCCCGACCTATACTCGGGCTTAGGGTTCAATGTGTTAAGCAAGATCATAAAAGTGTATCTTATTTTTGTTTAATTGCATACTTTTACATTACCTAGTTGTTATTATTTCAGCGATGATATGTCTATGGTTTGTAATAAAAATGTTTTTTGTAAATTACAAAATGTCTGTTACGATATTGTTTTAACGATTAAACCCAATTTACCTCAACCAAGCAAGGCTGGGTCCCCTGGTACTAAATGGTTAGTGAATTTAATGATCATCATTTGGAGTGTAGTAAAACGTTAATTTGGTTGAACCACAATTTAGTTACGTTGGCTAAGTGTATTTCAGATAGCCAAAACTACTATATAATATTGAGAAAAAAAATGACAAGCCCGATAGTGTAAAATAGGCGTTTATTGTACTACAGTGTTGCAATAATTTACTATTAAGTAATCATACATTATAAACTGGTTATTTACTGTCTTTATCAACAAGAGCAATGCACCAGAAAACTGTCATAGAAGCACTGTGTTACAATACGACCCAATCACCCAATATTGCACACCACATAACCCAAGTCAAGGTGATTCGGAGGTTGGATAACCAAAATCCTACTGTAAAAAAACAAAATAAGTGTATAATACAACATCATATAGGTTGGGTAAACTTATTTTATGCTAACGCTGTATTTTCCTGTTTTCCAGCTGCCAGTAGCAATATTCTCAGTTGTGTGTGGCAGTTTTACGTTACAAACTACGCACACAACTCAATCAAGGACCATATCCTGAGTGTGACTCATGGTAACCTGATATCACTACCTTGGCAACGCTTCTTTCCTTCGTTACAAGATATAGACTTGATGCTCAAGGTAAAGAAAGATCAAGCTTAGCAAGTGTAGATTTAGTGCAGCTTAGTGAGCTATTCACTCAATAAATATCAATTCAATAGTTACCCAAAAAAATAAATAAGTGGGAAAAAAAGTGGGCTCTTTGTTTCGTAATGACGTTTTACTATAATAACTTAAAATAATTATAAAGTAGTTATTGGATTATAGTTTCATTTAAATATGTGTTTAATAATTAAACTAGTGTAATTGGGTCTATTTCATTGACTATGTTTGTTAAGAATAATAACTAAGCAGTAATAATTATTGAATCCTTGTTTTTTTTGTCTGCTCACTTGGTAGTTTCAAATCAGTTGATGTCATTGTATGAACAGAAACACATATTTCATTATACTGCAGCAAAAACAGCAGTTTTTAATACAGACCCTAAAGTAGCATATTTATTTTTACTCTAGGCATAACACTTTTGTAATTATACATTATTTTTTAAATTATGCAAACTACACGAAAATACAATGGCGTTTTGAAAATGTAATGGGCAGTTCTTAGGGTTAAAAATACCATAATGTTTTATTTATATAAATTTTTATAAATTTAACTTCAGTTTACACCTACGTAACAGATTACTGTTGGAAATAACATTTTGTTTACTGTAATCTATCTTAAGATTTTTTTACTAGGTAGTTGACCAATATCTACCAGATTGCCACACCTTTGTGGGAGCAATATTCATCCAAGTGTCGTGGCAACAATGGATACAGCAGGCAAGTGGCATTAAAATACTCATTTATCTGAAAGTTAGATAGTTAATAGCTTAAAAAAACATCAAATAATACAATTAATATGAATTTTTTTGCATGATTTTTTATCCAAGCCTAAGTTAGTAGGATAATCTCTAATAAGCACATGTCGAGTTCGACTTAAAATTGAATTCCACAATCTGAATCTGACAGGTTCTGTCATATTAAGTAATTAGGACTTGAATTTATGCAATCAGTATTAGATCATATTAAAATGGAAAAAAAATTAAGGTCCAAAATAAATTACTTTATTCGTTTGATTAATGTTAAATTGAACATGGTTTTTTTGCTTTGTCACATGTATCTCTAGAACATATCTGATTTGGAATTTCGTGCATAGTTTTATTTTAATGTTGATTTTAAGTTGATAAATGGTGTTTTGTATTCAAAATATTACTATTGGGAGAAGTGGTAGGGTTTGACCAATTGGGTCGTTATATCAAATTTTTAGCAAAAAATCACGGACTGCCGATTCAATTGATAATCACAGCTAATTACTCAGATGGTGATGATTTTGCTGTGCACAATATTGCCTTACCACATTTACCGTGTTATCTAACCACAGTTTTTACCCCTCACCCTTTTCTTACTTCCTACGTAGGTTTTTATTCTGCTTCCCAATTGGTCATGTTTTACTATTTTGACAGACTCCTTGTGCCCAGTAGAATCTTGTGCAAATTCATATATGTGAGTTAAACCAACATTCTGCAATAAAAGTGATGCTAGTGATGTTCATAAGTGTATTTTACAGGTGTGCAGTTCCCAAGTTCCTCAAACCGCCACTAGAGTGCATTCAGCTCTGTTACATCTGTTGATCAAACTAGCCAATGAGCCAAACGTACGGCAGGTAGGGTCAATGCGTTGATTAGTTCCGTTAAAATAATTAGTTCTGTTATTGTTGAAGTTTTTTTTTTACTTTGATTTTTTTATTATTTGTCTTTGCTTGAGTTTTATAGTGAACTTTATGACACAGTAGTGTTTATAGTGATTTATATTTTGATCTGATATATATTTACTTTGATATAGACCTAATTGAAATATGAAGTTTTTTTTTGTAGTCTTCTCTTTACTATAGGCTTTTGACAGACAAGCATTATGAGATGATAAAATATTTATGAAGACACCAAAATGTGGCCACCGCTCCTTTATTTTATTTTATTGGCGAAATCATGCTTAAATATTAAAGAGGCTATAAACTGCAATATGTTTTTAGAATTCTATATAATCTTTACCTCCAAAAACTAATATGAGAACAAGTAACATTACAGGAGTAAGGTACAGTTGAACCTCGTTTGTACGAACCTCGTTAAAACGAATTCCTCGATAAGACAAATTTTTTTTAATCCCCTTGACACTTTCATATAGGTCAATACTAAAAACACCTCTATACAACGTAGTAATTAAGTTAAAAACCTCCATAAGACGAATTTGTTTGTGACATGGGCTAGGACTGATTAACCTCTATACAACGAATATTCTTAGCACAAAACCTCTACAAGACGAACGTGACCTCTATAAGACGAATTTATCATAATCTTAACCTCCATAGTACGTAGTTTTCAAAACAAACAGAAGCTTGTCTCAACATGAAACCCCCACCCATCCCTCCTCCTTCCCCAATCATTGTTTGGAAAAACCTTGGAGCAAGGAGAAACCTCTATAAGAAGAATAACAGCAGCATTAAACCTCGATAAAACGACCCTCTTTATTAAGAATACCTCTATTGTACGAATATTTCCCGTACCCCTTGAAATTCGTCTTATAGAGGTTCAACTGTAAATTATTTTAATTTAATTTTTCACATTTTGCCAAATTTGCCCTAGTATGTCTAAATCCAGTAGTATGTTGCATAAACTAGAAAATTGTTTAATTTATAGAGTTTTAACTAATTAACTACTTACCTAAATGTGTTACTAGTCTTAAACTGTCTTAAAGAGTTTGTAGTCATAGTCATAGTCATATAATCTTTAGTCAGGAGTACAACATGTTGCACCAGAATGGCGTTATACAATTAAATTATATTGTTAGAACTAACCCTAACTTATATAAAAAGGCTAAACAAAAATACAAAAGCTTAGCTAAAAAATATACAACACATTCAACCAAAAAAATCATCTAGGGAATAAATGGGCTTGGATAACATAAAAGTTTTTTTAGCTGTTTTTTAAATGTATTTTTGTCTGTTATTTGTAAAATATTATCTGGTAGAAGGTTATAAAATTTAATCCCAGCATATGAAGGTTTTTTTTCAAAGAATTTTAAGTTGTGATTTGAAAAACTGATTTTGTGTCTGTGCCTTGTCCCATAGCTGTGGCATGAACCCAAGGTCTCAAATTTTGGTAAATTATTCTTTACAAACAAGATCAAATCAAAGACGTATTGGGCAAAAACAGTAAGAATACCAAGTTTTGAAAATTGTTCTTTAACTGAGGTTCTCCAATCTTGAATGTTTAACATGATACGAAATGCTTCTTTTTGAAATAATATTTGTTCCAAATTTTCATGAGAGGTTGCACCATATAAAATTATGCCAAAGGAGATGTGGGAGTGAATAAAAGCAAAGTAAATTATTTTTAATGTTTCCAAAGGACATAATTTAGACATTTTTCTCAGAGCAAAAATCCCTGATGAAATTTTACGGCCAAGATGTTCAATATGAAGGTTCCAATTCAAATTTTTGTCAAGTACAAGTCCTAGGAATTTAAAATTTTGCAGTTCTTCTAGACATTTTCCTTCCATCAAAATTCTGTGTTGAGCTGGTTTATTACTTTGATATGTTGAGAAAGATATGCACTTTGTCTTATTTATATTAACTAAAAGGTTTAAATTGTTTAAGAAAGTATTTACGTGTGGAAATTGGTTATTTGCTATTGACTCTACTTTTTGATGGGTATTACCAGATACAAGTAAGCTAATGTCATCAGCATATAAACAGACTTTAGCATCATCTAATACATCTGGTAAACCCTTTGTATAACATATGAACAACAGCGGTCCCAGGATTGATCCTTGTGGCACTCCATATTTTAAAATTTCCAATGATGAAGTAAAATTTACCTTATTGTTGTTTGTGACATTAGTTATTTCTTCATATTGTTGTCTGTTATTTAAATACGATTTAAACCAATCTAAAGCTCTTCCCTTGATACCCAAACAAAACAGGATACTTACCAGCTTGGAGTGTGACACACTATCAAAAGCCTTGCTGAGGTCCATGAAGACCCCAGTAACATTATTTCTCTTATCCACCGAATCTATTACTGATTCAATGAACTGAACACTAGCACTAATCACAGGCTTGCCGGATTGAAATCCATGTTGTTCTTTATCTATCAAGTTGTTGGTTTCCAGAAATTCTGTTAGTTTTATACACATAGCTTTTTCATAGATCTTAGAAAAGGATGGTAGTAAAGATATAGGTCTATAGTTTGAAGGTATAGCGGGGTCTCCCTTTTTAAAGACTGGTTTAATCTTAGAAATCTTTAATTTGTCAGGAAAAATACCTGTAATAAAAGAAGAGTTTACAAGATGACATAACGGATATTTTAGATAGTCAATTGCTGTTTTTATAATAGGCATGGGGATCTCATCATAACCACAAGAAAATTTATTTTTAAAAGACAAAACTATTGATTTGATTTCTTCTAATGATAGTGTTTGAGGAAGAAAACTTTTATTTGAGTGGCTCAAAAGGGGTGTTTGGATACTTGTAGCTTTGTTGGGTATGTTTGGGATGACTTCTGTTTCAACCATGTTGGCATAGTACTGGTTTAGGAGTGCACTTACCAACCTGGGATCACTGACGTCTCTGTTTCTATGCTTTAAAGTAATGTTTTGTTGGCGGATTGAACTGTTGCCTACCTCTTTATTTATAATATTCCATGTTGTCTTGCAAACATTGTTTGCATTGCGTATCTTATCACTGAAAAAGTTAGTTTTAGCTCCAAGAATTTGGGATTTTAATTAAGTTTTTTTGTTTTTCAAGGCCAATTTAACATTTTTGTCCCTGGTAAGCCGATTTAAATTACTTAGTCTGTCGATTTCCTGTTTACTCTGAACAATGTGTTGGTTCATCCAGCCTGTTTTTTTGGAAGTCTGTCTGCATTTTACCATAGGAAAACACAAGTTAAAATAATACATGAAAACATTGATGAACACATCATACTTATCATTTACAGGAGCGTTATAGACATCATGCCAATTTTCATGAGAAATTAAATGCATAAACTGTGCTTTTTTGTCTTCTGTGAATTTTCTACGAGTGGTGGTGATGGATTTGTTTTTTGATTTGTTTGAGTTGCCAAAATGTATTTCAAAAAGCTGACCATCATGGTCAGATATCTCAGTAATTAGTCCTGTGACGACAATTTCATTTTTATTAATATTTGTTATAATCTGATCAATTGAACTTTCTTTAGTGTCACACACTCTCGTAGGGAAATTCACAGAACAGTACATTGAATGTGATTCAACAATATTTTTTAGTCTATTACTCGTACTATTGCTTTCTAAAACATCGATGTAGTTTGTAAACACTAGTTTTGTAAATTTGTGTAGTATTTTATTAATAACTCTATTATTTATTTGATAGTAAATTAGTTAAAAAGGAAGTTTCAAGAGTTGAATTTTTTAAATATTGCATGTTATGCTTTTCAGAGCGGCAAGGTGACCCCACTGCTGGTGGAGAGCCAACAGTTCTCGTGGCATCTCATTGAGTGCAGCAACTACGAGGCTGTAGTCAACTGGCTTGTCATGAGTTATGATCCTCGAGTAATCCTACAGATACCTGGGGAGGATTGGAGCAACACAGACATGGCTGCTCTTGAGTAAGTCACTCAGTTAATCAAAATAGAATTATTTCTTTTATGAGTATACCCACAATAGGATAAGATTCGGTTATGGAAAAAATACACTAATTTAAAATGTTTGAAATGTAATGATTACATTTTCTTTAGTTTGTTGGAGACTGCTGCCGGATACTCCTCTAAAGCTACACAGTTTCACTCAAGCACTCCTAGGAAGCGTCAAATGTTTGTACGCTCGTGTGTCAAACTGCTACTGTCAGCCCTGAGCAGATACAAGCAGCTGACCGTGTCCCACCAAGACGAGATAAGAGCCACTGTTCGCAGGATGGTGGACAAAGTTGAAACCATCGTCACAGCGAGTAAGTTGCCTTCATTCATCATTGAGTTCTACTTGCCTTTGACTTTTTTGTCCCTTAATTTTATTAATTATTTATTATCTAACTGTAAAAAAATTAATTTGATCTTTCTGATATTACAAGTACTCAGATTAATTTTTCTTTTACTTGTTGCTCTATCCCACATTTGACAAGGAACTTTAACAAAAGATGGCAAAAAGCAATGAAATATAATTGTATGTTTTGAGCATGAACAATGGAGGATTTTTTTGTCCTACCTTTACATCCTAGGATCGAACATCCTTTAGCTAAAAATCCTTTTGCACCGTTTTGTTAGGCTAAGTTTAAAGGGGGAGGGTCGCACCATTATCACATAGCTACTTGGCTATATTTGAACGCTGTACCTCTACCACTAGACCAGCTCCCCTAACCTCCGGAGAATATTAATCATAAGTGTTTAATCTAGCCTTGCACATATTTTATGCCTTTTTTATCAAAGTAATAACATTTGATGTGAAAAATAAGTCAAGTAACAAATAATCCCGGTCTTGTTAATTACCTACAAAAAATGTTCTAAAGTTATGTGTTAGAACTAAATAAAATATCTTATCAAATTTCCCTCCTCTATGATGACATGACATTGTTGGTACTCAAGCAACACTTTAAAAACCCTTGATCTAACAAGTTCACCTCTTATCTGAAACAACTTTTTCAGCCGTGCCTGGTCCTCAACGGGTGTCTGAAGCTGGTCTGCTAATGACGGAGATCTTGACTTTAGTCAACCAAGGCAACAACAGCGTGGTGGCGTCCCTGACTCTGGAGGCTCTACTAGGGTGGCTGGACACGAGATCTGCTGCGTCTGTTGTAGTGGCAGCTCTGATGAGAGTGCTTGGTATCACAGTTGCCAACCCTGACACATTGGGAGCACTGCTTGAGGCTAGCCTTACAGCATTTTTCAGAAAGACTGGTATGTAAATGGTGCCTCATGGTCATAGAATTTTCTGCTATTGTAAGCTTGGCTGATTTAAAACATGTAACTATTTAGATTGGATCTTATTCTTAAAGATTGGTAAAAAATTAACCAGATTGATCCTAATATTATAAATTCTTAACATGAGATACTCTGATGACAATCATTCATAATTTATTTTTATTTTGGTTTAATGCTGAAAATAAACCAAAAAATTGTTGTTTAAAAAGTAAATTGGTTAAACAGATCTTAAATTTTACCTAAAATCATAAATAGACAAAAATAGGTTGTTAATGATATAAGATACTAAATAACCCACCTTTATTTTATAAAATATTAATACAACTAAAAAAAGACTATGGCATTAGTTTTGTCTACTCTTTGGTATTTATATTTTTGTATCTGTACATTTGTTTTTATTTTTCATATTTTTTTTGCCTCTCCTTCACTTTTTAGGACACCGACACTACGCTTGTGCCTACATGATCACTTAGATATATATAAACAATTTATGATTGGAATTATTTGAATTTGAAATTGAGTAATCGATTGATTTGATTGATTGAATTGAATCGAAGTTGTGTGCTCTACTGCTAGACGAGCTAGCTCCTCAATATTTGTTGTTTGCTTTAGTTTTTCTTGTTTTACTATTATTTAGTGCTGTGAATTTCAAGCTGAAGCGAGTCTAGCTTAAGATCTCGAGTGATCGTTAGAATGACCAGCCGAGCTGAGCTTTTATTCTTGCAATGGCAGAAAGTGTCTTCGAAGATAGCACAATAGATCCCCTTAGATGATCAACATTGATACATTATGCTAAGTAAGTGGTGAAAGTTTGCACAATCAATCCATCAATCTTGTTATTAGGAATGTCAGATTCGTCTCAGCCATCTTGGTCCATGGTAGTACACACTCTCCAGCCCATAGTCCCGCGCCACCCTCCTCTAGAAGACTCTCTTGTGGCTAACAGTCACTTGCTGTCTTTGTACGCTCTGTCCATCAAACATCTGCCCACATCCTTGGATGTGCGAGAGGAAGCTAACCTCCTCAACAATCTGAACCAGTGGTTGGCCTTGGCTAAAATCAGGTAGCACTTTAAAATATTTTTGAAAAGTTATTGCACTATCTTAGAGCACAGTGTTTCCAATAGTGATGTGTCAAAACCGAATCTCAAATCTCAAAACCTTCAAAACTTATGAAAAGTTTCGGTTTTGAGATTCAAAAGTTTAAAAAGTGAAGATTTTGGCAGTTTTATTTTTAAACTGCTGAAATTTTTTGTGCCATTGGTATTGTTTTCAATGTTGTTTCCAAACAAGCTAGTAGAAACAGAGCAAACATCACCATTAACAGTAATGAAACAAGTAAATTTTATAGTGATGGGCGGATCCAAGAAAATGTCGATACCGGATCCGGATCCGGATCTTGAAAAATTTGGATCCGGATCTTCGGATCTTCGGATCCGGATCCAGATACAAACTGTCATAAGGGCGGGTAAAAAAAACGTAATTAACAGAATGCCAATTTAAATCATACTTTTATTATTTTTTATCACGAAGCATCGGGTGAGATTAAAATACTAACGGGATATTTTTGAGACGAAATTATAGGCCGTTAGCTTATCATCCAGGTACAAAACTAAAAACTAGAGGTGTGAAGATATCCGAAAAATCAGATCGGATTCAGTTTGGAAAGATACATGCCATTGCCATATATGTTATTTATTTGTATCAAGAGACAAACACTGAAACATGGCCTTGCCATATAAGTTATTTGCACCAAGAGACAAACACTAAGACATGACCTTGCCATATAAGTAATTTGCATCAAAAGACAAACACCGAGTCATAACCCTGTCATATAAGTTATTTGCATCACCAGACAAATACTGAGTCATGGCCTTGCCATATACCGGTATGTTATTTGCATCAAAAGACAAAAACTGAGTCATGGCCTTGCCATATAAGTTATTTGCATCAAAAGACAAACACTGAGACATGGCCTTGCCATATAAGTTATTTGCATCAAGAGACAAACGCTGAGACATGGCCTTGCCATATAAGTTATTTGCATCAAGAGGCAAACACTGAGACATGGCCTTGCCATACAAGTTATTTGCATCTAGATACAAACATCGAGACATGGCCTTGCCATAAAAGTTGTTTGCATGAAGAGACAAGCACTCGGGGAAAAAACGGTCTTGTACATGGATACAGATAGCTTTGTGTTAGTAAAAATATCGGTGTTGTACAGTGATACAGACAGCTTTGTGTTGGTAAAAAAATCGGGGTTGTACAGTGATACAGCAGCTTTGTGTTAGGAAAAAATCGGGGTTGTACAGTGATACAGACTGCTTTGTGTTAGTAAAAAAATCGGTGTTGTACAGTGATACAGACAGCTTTGTGTTTAGTAAACAAATCGGGGTTGTACAGTGATACAGACAGCTTTTTGTGTTAGTAAAAAATCGGTGTTGTACAGTGATACAGACAGCTTTGTGTTAGTAAAAAAAATCGGTGTTGTACAGTGATACAGACAGCTTTGTGTTTAGTAAACAAATCGGGGTTGTACAGTGATACAGACAGCTTTGTGCTAGTAAAAACATTCGGGGTTATACAGTGATACAGACAGCTTTGTGTTAGTTAAAAAATCGGTGTTGTACAGTGATACAGACAGCTTTGTGCTAGTAAAAACATTCGGGGTTGTACAGTGATACAGACAGCTTTGTGTTAGTTAAAAAATCGGTATTGTACAGTGATACAGACAGCTTTGTGTTGGTAAAAAATCGGGGTTGTACAGTGATACAGACAGCTTTTTGTGTTAGTAAAAAATCGGTGTTGTACAGTGATACAGACAGCTTTGTGTTAGTAAAAAAATCGGTGTTGTACAGTGATACAGACAGCTTTGTGTTTAGTAAACAAATCGGGGTTGTACAGTGATACAGACAGCTTTGTGTTGGTAAAAAATCGGGGTTGTACAGTGTTACAGACAGCTTTTTGTGTTAGTAAAAAATCGGTGTTGTACAGTGATACAGACAGCTTTGTGTTAGTAAAAAAATCGGTGTTGTACAGTGATACAGACAGCTTTGTGTTTAGTAAACAAATCGGGGTTGTACAGTGATACAGACAGCTTTGTGCTAGTAGAAACATTCAGGGTTGTAGAGTGATACAGACAGCTTTGTGTTAGTAAAAATATCGGTGTTGTACAGTTCTCGCAGCTAGTCTGGGCGCGCGGACCCTTGTGTACTAACCGTCCCCCACGCCAAAGCCATGAAGACAGCAGTGAGGCGCTGAACAACCCCAGTGTGCCGTGTGGGCCGAATGTTTTTGGAAACGAGCAATAAACACTCCCCTCTACACCCCCTGTCCTAGCGCGGCCGCGCGCCCAGACTAGCTGCGAGAACTGTACAGTGATACAGACAGCTTTGTGTTTAGTAAACAAATCGGGATTGTACAGTGATACAGACAGCTTTGTGTTAGTTAAAAATCGGTGTTGTTCAGTGATACAGACAGCTTTGTGTTGGTAAAAAATCGGGGTTGTACAGTGATACAGACAGCTTTGTGTTTAGTAAACAAATCGGGGTTGTACAGTGATACAGACAGCTTTGTGTTAGGAAAAAATCGGGAAAAAAATTGAAAAAATCGGATCCATCAAAACCGGATCCATCAAAACCGGATCCAGCCCAAGATCCGGATTTTTTTTTATCCGATCCGGTGCCGGTTCTAGCTCGGATCCGGCGGATCCGGTAGTCCGATATCCGGATCCGACCATCACTAAAATTTTATTCTGAACTTCAAAAGGTATCTTAAATACTATAACTGGTACAATTCAGTTTCACATCAATATTTACTAAACACAAAGAAATATTAACCACTAAATGTTCTAATTAATCTAATATTCATGTTTATGTTGGTGTTAGAAGTTTATTTTTTTGTTGGTTGTTTATGAACAGTTATGTTTTATTGGGTTTTAAGATTATCAGTCACATTCACATATTTATGTTATGTCACGGTCAGGATCTCTTTCATTTTTGATTGCATACTTAATATTTTATGATTATGTGTATTTTTTTAGTTTAGGTTTTGAGATTCGAGATTCTGGATTAGATTTTTTAAAGTTTCGGTTTCGGTTTTGAGATTCAAAATTTCTGGTTTTGACCATCACTAGTTTCCAAATCTTTTTTTAATTGCGTACTACTTCCCAAGCAAAATTATTTTGTGTACCACTCATTCACTTGGAAGTAGTTACAAATTTTGCTGAACTTTATATAGTAGTTATAATTATTTTGCTCACCTAAATTACCCATCGAAATCATATTTTTTGAAATTGATGAAAAGTCAGTCACTTAACTATTTGATTAGTTTAAACCAACAAAATAATCTTGTTCTCGTTACACCTAATGTCTTGTTTATTCATAATTGCCTATTAGCGTTAAATACTAAAACATAAAATTACACCACATACCACTGCAGTAATATAATCTTTGAGTACTACTAGTGTTTAGTGTTATACTTGGTTCACAGGTTGGAAAGCACTGGAGATAGTAATTGGTTTTAGGATTGAAAAGTTTTGCCTTCACTTTTGTTATGACACTCTACTTTGTAGTCATGTTAATGAAGCATTGGAAAAATCTGATACCTGAATGTAACATTTACCATTAATACAGAGAAGTTGTATTCAGAGGATACATGCTTATGGGACAACCGTACTTCATAGCTCTGGTATGTTGGGGTGGAAATGTACTAGTAAAAAAATGTAGCAAGGAAAAGCCTGAACCGTGATTGCCACATAGCATATTTTTTTACTGCAGGTGTATCGCACGGTGCCTTCCTATCGTGTGAGCGCTGTAGAACGTGATTGTGAGAGGAGAAAGGAGAGTAGAAGGGGATGACAAATAGAATTTTCTCTAGACACCAGCAACTGGTGCTAGACACCACTTAAGTGTACCATTGAACGTATCCTATGTATATTACTTCTCTGTGATTTAATCAAGCACAGTATTTGCAGTATTCACTCCCTATATTTTGCCTATTCCATATACCGGTAAGTTTCAATATCTTTGTAAAATTGCTGTTGATTCTTTGTCACTGATGTTATCTTTGTACTTACACCTGTAATTTTTCTCACCTTTTAACATATCTATTGACTTGATTAATGTTTGTACAGTGACAGTGTTGAGTCCAAGGTGCCCCTGTTGTGGTCACATGCCTTATACTTGGCTTGGCGTCAGTGCGAGTACAGCTCAGATGCTGAGGCAGGTCCTCTCACTCTACGTAGGATCACTACTTTGGTGGCTCAGGCTGCCGATCACCGTGCTGGCGCCTGGGGCTTACTGGGGGCTATAGGGATTGTCAAGTCTACAGCACCATCTAACAAGTAAGTAAAATATCGGTAAAAAATGTAAAAAATGTTGTTTTAATCAAGCTGTTACAGTTCAGTAAATAAGTATAAGGATCTAACAATCTTTTATTCAGAAACATTGACTTTTAACATATTTGTATGCAAAGTTGTTTTTATGATTTTTACAATGTTTTTATTCAGTGTGTTGCATCCTTTCTTGTAGTTTCTAAAGTGACCAAAAAATTTAATTTAATGTTTGAAAGCTAATTCCTATTCACAACACAAACAAAATGGCATGATTATCACTGAAAGGTTCCTTTTTTTAACAGGGTAAACATTAAGTATTAATTTCCTCTTATGTGTCTTGTGTAGACTTGTACAAGAAAGCCTAAGGCCTAAGGGCAAATTTTGAGGAAACTAGTCCTTTTTCTGAGCTGAAGATACAATCCATTATGACCCCCCTCCTAGAGCCTCCATTCTTAAAAGGGGTCGAGTTTATAGTTTTAGTTTCCTTTGCATAAGTCCCCTTTATCTAACCATTTTAAAATGTAATATCTATTAGTTTTGTAATTTAATCTAATTTTCTACTGTTGGGATGATAAAAATGGAGAGGATATGTATGTAAGTGAGCCAACTTCTAGAGTTCCTTGTTATTGTGCTGATTAAGACTGGAACGGTGGCGTCGTCCTGTAATCCAGCTACTAGGAGGTCATGAATTTTGGATATTTATAAGCATGCACTGTGGATGCGATACTCCCTTGTGTGGATTAACGTCCGCACTAGTGAGTACTAGGACTATCCGCAGTACTATCCTGATAATTAGACCAATTCGTTAATTACAATGAAAAATGTGGTTCGGATTCCACTATAAACTGTAGGACCCTTAGTTGCCATTGGCTGTATGGGCTTTTAATTATCAACTGTGTCTAAGGAACGTGTTGGCCTTAGTCACTAAGAAAAATACAAGATCGCGCCACTCATCGTACAGTCATCCTTCACTCATATTTGGGTTTAAATACGCACATAGTGGTGTCCCCCATCTTAAATACTTAATTGATTAATTATACTGATTAATTATAAGAATTATTCGGTTCACATGTGTTATAGTTCATTTTTTCTTTAATACTATGGTACAATACAATGAAATGTCGTCTGCAGATTCAAAACAATATAGTTGTGATTTTTTATGGAGCCAATTATCCAATGTTTTTAGAGTGTATTTTAAAAGTGAGTTACTGAACTACAGTTTTAAATTGTAAGTTAAGTATTTTTACGCAAATAAAACTATAAACTTTAGTAGACATTTAAAATTTTACAACTAAAAGGACTTATAAATAAACTCACATTTCTCCTAGCCAAAAGCACATGTTTTGAACACTAACTGGATATCCTTGAGGGAGACACTAGAGGCACAATCATTTCACTTTTATTAATTATTAATCGGTTGCCAATCATTTTACTACTCAACCACTGTTTTAACTTGGGTTTAATAAACGTTTACAAGACAAGGATCCTAAACACATCAAGATAGACAGGAAGCAACAAAGACACTACAGTACTTGAATTTAGCAGTAATTTCCTGTTTGGATCTCCACCCCACCCCCTGCCCACCTGTACATCGTACATCTGACCAGTTTATCACTAGGGCCTGACCTTTGGAGCAACAACAATTGTAACAACAACAATCTGAGAATAAACCTAGATTACATCTGCATTTGGGATAATATTTGTGAAGAGATTCATTATCTAGAGTTATTTTTATTTACAAATCGTTTAAGAAGAGGATTTTAATTTTTAATACATTTACTTATTTATTTTAATATAATTGACCTTTGCTAAGCACTGTGAGAAGATAAGTTAGATACTTACCATCGTTCTGTTTAATAATATACCTGGATTTGTTCATCCAATACTTATGGCTTAAAAAATCAAAAATAAAGGATCAAATGCAACTTTGTTTATATTTTATTGCTACTCTATTTGAAATATTGAGAATATTTACATCATGGGGTTCCAAATTGAAGAAACTAAGAATGGAAAGCCTAATATAATTTTTGATAATTATAAATATAGGCAAAATTACATAGCTAAAAGTGGTGAAATCACATGGCGTTGCCTTGGAAGGAACTGCAATGCAGCAATTAAGACTGACTCTGATATATCAACTATAACTGCAACCAACCCCAAACACTCTGGACCTCACCCAGTGACTATGAGGTCGCTGATATCACCTAAAGCCTCAGTTTTAGTTTCACCTAGTGTATCGATTAAAAAGGTTGAGAGTCCTTTTCAAGCATCCACACCACAGTTATCTGGTTTTACACCTGATACTCCTATAGTACCTAATCAAGATCAACAAGAAACAATAACATCCCTCACATTACTTGAGCTCCAAGAGGAATACAGACAGCTCAAGGAGACAAATGAGAATCTTGAAAAACAGCTCAAATGTATCCTTGACCATTCCATTGAATCAGACACACGTCTTATGGAATATACAGATGAAATTTTTCCTGTTCCTAATTACCTCCCCAAAAATGCACCCCAAATGACAGATAAGAGTGTACAATGTGAGCCACCTTTAAAAACCGACTCTGCTACTTCTACCAATGACCTGCCGACTAATAATGACAAAACCACCGGAACCAGAAAACATGAACCCAACCAACAAAATACGATTAATGACAAAAAATCTCAGATTAGTTTATCATTACTAAACAATGAATGGATTACAGATGACACGATTTTACTGTACTATGAAAATCTGGCACTTTCTGTTTCCAACATGGCAGAGAATGTCCTGTTCATGAATGCAGTAGTAACACAAGCAATTAAATGCCTACAGGATAAAGATGCAGATGAACTCATTACTCCGTTGGAGTTTAGTAGTAAGACACATATTTTTTTCCCCATTAATGATGTTGAATATGAAACAAATGTGAATGATCCTGATGATACTCAAAACAAATACAAAAACAATGGTTCACACTGGAGCTTGCTGTTATTTGTAAAACACCTTAACTAGTTTTTTTACTTTGACTCATGTGGAACTTATAATTTGGTTCATGCACAAAAAGTTGCCAACAAAGTAAACAATTACTTTAAAACAAATGCAGAGATCTCTTTCCAAACTGTGACAGTTCCACAACAGTCAAACACTTTTGACTGTGGCGTTTATCTTACGATATTTACTGATATTGTTGTTCAGATGATAAAACATAATACTCTAGATATGTTAGAAACAGCAAACAGTGAAATTCCCTTTTCAATCAAACAGGCTAGCATTGTAACAAAGAGAGCTCAGTTAGCAGCCATGTGGAAAACTTTTCACCAATTATCACCTGAAGACATCTTCGACATGATGTTTCGGCTGCCTTTGCCGGAACCAGATTCATTGAAAAGCAACACCAAATTTTCTCGGGCAAATGAGCTATATACGTATCATGACAAACAGTGCCAAACAACAGATGAAAAATGGGAAATTCCAAAAAAAGTTAAGGGCAAATTACCTATGGAAAATCAATGTTTTAATCTACCTTTGAAAAACAGTTTCAGTTTACTTTCAGAGGAGGATCACAAAATGCAAGCTGTGGAACATAAAAATACACACTCCATCAAAAATAGGTTAAAAAAGAAGAAAAAAGTAAACCTGGGTATGAAGGATTCCCCACTCGAAAATCCAGTCAGAGTTGAACTATATGCAGATAGTCAAGGAAAAGGAGTCCCCGAGATTGTTGGCTTGTGCAGTGGAAACAAAGTTTATGTAAGTGGTTTGGTCAAGTCTGGAGCTGACATTAAACATATTTACAGTCAAGCGGAAAAATCCAGCCAAAAACCCCTTATTTTGATAGCAGGGACAAATGATATGAAAAAGTCCTCAGAAGTAATTTACAGAGAAATGGAAAGTAAAATTAAACTTTTATGTGATTCAAGACCAGTTTGTATAACAACTATCCCTCCCAGATTCGATCTGCAGCCCAATGACAACATTCATTATGATATAGCATTGGCAAATAACTATATCAGAGAAATTTCTGCAAGACTGGTTAATGTTAAACTCATTGATTTTGAATGTTTCCAAAGAGATGATTTTTCACGGCATGGAATGCATTTAAACTACAGAGGTAAAAAAAGGCTGGCTTACATGATCATTGATTTTGCTCAAAGCACTGTTGATGGAAAGTTAATACCACATGATGAAAAGCAAGAATTTTTGTTACCTAACTCAAATAATACAATAAATGTAATAGAAACTCACATGGAAAGGGTGATCAAGCAACACAAGAACGATAGCAGTGTTGGATTTGCACACAGTATTTCTAGTGATTTCAATGATCCACGCCATATGTCTGCAGGGGTGGCAGTAGTATTTAAATCACAGTTTGGTAAACCAACAGTTTCACAATGCATTACCAACCACCTGGCAATACAGAACAAGGAAAATGGTGCTTCAGTATACAGTTTGATCACCAAGGAAAGATACTTTGGCAAACCAACTCAACAAGATTACGATGCTGCTTTTCAAGACCTAACTCAACACTTTAAAAAAACAGGCCTGAAACACCTCATATGCTCTCCGATTGGATGTGTCAGAGATAATGTAAATTTGAGTCATTTTGTGTCCAATTTATTACAATTTCAACAAGAAACTAATGCCTCAGTCACGGTTGTCTCATATTACCAAAAATCTTTCCGACGGTTAAGAAATGGATTATCGCATGAAGAATTTACAAGGCAAATACAATGTATGTTGCACAACAAATCTAAAACTTGTGATTCTCCGCCCTCTCTGAATGCCTGTGGAGACAAGCCTCAACCGCCAGCAGCTCAAAACTTATCGCCTGCAGTTGCTCAACCTCACAACAGGTCAACACACTCTGGTACTTCTTCAACATCTACCTTAGATGGAAACAACAAGAGAGTTGAGATAAATAACAGCGAGACAGCTCCAACATGTGCTATTCAAGGAACACCCCAATCTACACCAGCCCTTCATCCCATCTTGGCTCCTGGAGAGCTACAGTATAATGAAGCAGTTAAGGAGGGCTTATGTGTTGTGAGTAATAGTGATACCCAAAAGCAGAGCAATTGTGATAGTGATGTGTTCAATGCAGTATCTTTAAGTGAGTCTCCATCCAGAAATAAATCTTTTACCTTTCATACTCAAACTAGTTTTTTATAAATAATTCAATTGCTAATTCTGGGATGTGTGGAATTGGTGGGGAAACTGGCAAAAAAACAAACCTAGACCTTAACAAATGTAAAACAACAAATTGCAAAAGAATTAAGTCTTTAAAAAATACAATAACTATTTTCCATCAAAATATACAACATTTAGCTTCTAGAATAAATTCTTTACAAGCAATTTTAAGTGAGATAACTCCTCACATAGTTGTGCTAACTGAGCACGATATGAGAGAGGAGGAAATAAAACGACTAAATATTGAATCCTACTTATCGAGGACTTACTTTTCCAGAAAAAATAAAAGTAAAGGGGGGGTTATTATTTTGACAAGGGAGGGCTTTGATTTGAGGAGAGTTAATTTGCCAGTTTCCTTAACTGGTTTGATTCTTGAGGAGAAGCAGTTTGAGTTTTGTGCATGTTCATGGAATGTAAATAAGGAAAAGTTTATTGTAGTTGGTATTTACAGATCACCCAACTCAAATGTAAATATTTTTGTAGATAGACTAGGTATATTAATTAAGTATTTAAGTAAAAAATGTGATAAGCTAATCATTGCAGGTGATCTAAATATTGATGTATTAAAAAATGATCGCAAACATATGCTATTGAAAGAGATGCTAAAATCAGAGAACATGAGGTACCTGGTCAGTTTCCCAACAAGAGTTACGGAAAATTCTGAAACCGCAATAGACAATTTTTTGATTAAAAATATCAACTTATCCAGGGTAGAGGTAGAGGGTCTGATTACTTTTTTATTTGATCACGATGGCCAGTTACTAAAAATAAAATGTCAAAATTACATAAAAAATTTAAATTTACCAATAAAACAAGAAATACGTAAATTCTCATCAGAAAATATAAATCTTTTCTCAAAGCTACTTTCCCAGGAAACATGGGCTGACGTGTACTATGCTAAGGTTGAAAATAAATATGATGTATTTTACAAATTATTTGCCTTCTATTTTGATCAGGCTTTTCCAAAATTACTGGTTACAAAAAGAAAGAAGAAATGTACCTGGATATCTAAAGAGCTGAAGGATAAACAAAAGCAGATAATAGAAACAACTAAGGAGTATCGGAGTAAAAAGAGTAGGGGTTTAAAATGTTATCTAGACAAAGAAAAAAAATTATATAAAACTGAACTAAATCAAGCAAAACATAATTATTTTCAGAATAAGATTAAAAATTCCACTAATATTCAAAGAACAGTTTGGTCCATAATTAACTCTGAAGTTGGTCAAAATGAGAGACAATCACAAAATATAACTTTAAAGCAAGATTCTGGCATTGTGTCTGATCCAAATATAATTGCAAACATGTTCAATGAGCATTTCAGTAATATTGTAACTGATCTGACTAGTAATAATAATTCTGTGAATTGTGATGTACCCACATATAGTTTTAGCGATGACTTGTACATTAAGCAAAAATTTGAACTTAAACCAATAAGTGAGAGGGAGGTGGAAGGAATCATTAATTCGTTAAAAAACAAGTATTCTTGTGGCCATGACGAAATCCCAGTCACAGTGATTAAGGGTGTTAAAAATAACATTAATAAAATTCTGTGCCATTTGATAAATTCTTCATTTGTATCAGGAATATTCCCAGAAAAATTAAAGCAAGCAAAATTAATTCCATTACATAAAAAGAACGACACATCAAATGTATCAAATTATCGACCGTTATCTATACTTCCGTCCATTTCCAAAATATATGAAAAAGCTGTGTATCTACAATTTTATGAATATTTGGAGAGTTTTAAAATGCTGGATGAAAATCAACATGGCTTCCGAAGGGGGAGATCTGTTGTCAGTGCAGCTGTATCTTTTGTTGAAACCGTGATCAACTCAGTTGACCACGGTAAGTTTACAAAAGGTATATTTATGGACCTTTCAAAAGCTTTTGATAGTGTCAAACACTCTAAACTTCTAGAAAAGCTTAAAATTCTGGGAGTATCAAGAAGATCTCTTAATTGGTTCACTTCATATTTAACAAATAGGTCTCAATATGTAGAAATATCTCATCTAACGGATAAAAATAAAGTAATGAAATCAAACTCAGCTTATAGACCAGTCAAATTTGGGGTGCCTCAAGGTTCTATTCTTGGGCCCTTGCTCTTTTTGTGTTACTTGAGGGGCATGGAAAATATGATAATTCATAAACAAAATTCAAAATTATGTCTCTACGCTGATGACTCAAATTTAATTTTATCAGCTGACTCATTGGAGGAGATAGAAATTTTTTCTTCTAATGAACTTGATAACATTGGGGACTACTTACATGATCATAACCTTATTTTAAATTCTGAAAAAACTAAGTTCATAACGTTTAAAACACAACAAAACCGAAAATCTTCAGATCCAACACTAGAATATAAATCACAAAACATCAACAGGGAAAGTAGTATAAATTTTCTAGGTCTAACAATAGATGAGCACCTAAATTGGGATGAGCATGTTAAAAAGATCCTGCTAAAGATTAATTCTGGAGTTTATGCTCTATCAAAAATGTCTTTTTATTGCAATATAAACACTTTAAAGAATATATATTTTGCTCATGTACATTCCCATATCCAATTCGGCATAGCATTATACGGTTCAACAAAACAAAGAAATATGGACTCTATTTTAAAACAGCAAAAAAAAGCTATCAGGATAATGCTCAAGCTTAAGGGGGATGATTCATGCAAACAACACTTTACACATCTAAAAATCTTTACAGTTTATGGACAATATATATATGAAGTTATTCTTATTGCTAGAAAACAAGATTTGAGTGAAAACCCGATTACAAGCCACAACTATAAGCTTAGGAAAAAAAGTGGGGTTGTTGAACCTCATAGGCTCAAGTTTTATGAAAAAAAACCGTCCAATGCAGGCCAAAGATTTTTAAAATTTATCCCCAAAAATATAAAAAAAGAAACAGATTTTAATAAGTTTAAAAAATTACTCAAAGATTATATATTAAATTTAGCTATTTATTCTATGGAAGAGTTCTCCACCTCCCTGGCATAGGTAGCATTAAGTTATTTTAATTTTGTATTTCATTCTTGACTAGCTAAAGACTTGTTGTTATTATTTTACTTGTTAATATTTACTAATATCATTGTAGTTGTATTTCTTTTTATTGACGCTATTCATTGTACCACCTTTGTACAAAAATATGAATAAAGAATATGAATATGAATATGAATATGAATATGAATGGTCATAAGTCATAACAAAAATCAACAACACCTAACTCAATTGTTGTTTGTAGGTGCAAACTGCTAGGCCGGTTCCTAGTAGCCCTAGTCCTGGCTCAGTTGCCTGAATGTCACAACAACAACGGACAAGACCTTCCTCCGTTTGTGCGCACCAAGCCACACGCACCCGGTGCCATCTCCTCCAATACCAAGTTAGTTTATATGAAATGAGTTGAGTGAAAAATACTGGACAAGGACATATTGTATTTTTGTCTAACATTATTTTTTTGACAGACTTTTTCTAGTGTGGCCTCAGTTTTTACGCATGAGTTGGACCGGACTTTAAAATATTTCATTTACATTTAATTTGACTTTTCCATGTCAAATTCAAAATTAATCTAAAAAATGTATCTACCTGAACGTGATTTCTGTCATATTGCCATCCATCCCCAGTGTACAATGTACTTATACTTCACAATATCATTATAATTTCTCACTTTTCACAATTGAATCATAATTAATTTTTTCATGAACTCGCAAACATTTGTTACAGGGATTACACTCCATCAGCAGAAGCAGTCAAAGCTCTGGCAATACTGGAGAGTTGTGCTGGAGACAAGGCGTTCACAGATCTGAGGACGACAGTAGAGTTCGCAGTAAAAGTTGTGAAACAAGCAGAGAATTCACTGCATAACACTCATCAACTGGTGATGGATGTTGCTCGTCAACTCTACTCCGACCCGTTCCTGCACGCTCACCGGCTCACTGACAAGCCTCAGGCTTAAACATCTCCACGCTCAGCTACCATTGTGCTTTCAGTTGTTTATTTAAAATGTTTTATTAGTTTAAGATAATAATTCACTAGGTTTGATTACACAATGATTGAGCTAAACACGAGAACAAAATTGAAACAATGTTTGTGTAATGTGTTTAAGTGTAAGTTATTCATGCTTATTATTTAAAAAATTAAGAATGGGTTTAATTCAATTTTGATGTTTGAGTAGGTTTTCTATGATATTAGTATTTTTTGGTAGAATTCTAAAGGCTATTCTAATTTTAGAAAAAAAAACCCTAAATATTTTGTAGGTATGAGGATCTTGTTTTTGTATTCGTTGTTTTTGACATTTTTGTATATTTACTTTGTATGTTTTTATTTAAGTGTTTGATTTGACCATGATGCCTATTGGCATGAGAGGTTTTATTTTAGGTACATAGAAGCAATTCAGTGCAATACTCCACAACTTTACCACAATATTTTCACTCCATTCAATTCAAGCACTACTAAAATTGTCAAATAGCCTGTTGTTTATCAAAGATGGATGAAAATGCACCTTGATGTATAAGTCTACTATTTTCTTACAATTTTTGACAAAGTTTAGACAATGATTAATTAATTAGTTCTAATATGACACTAAAACATTTATTTTTTCCCACAAAAGTCTGTACAATCTTATCAGATTACCTTAAATGTATTGTTATTTTAAGATTGATTAGCTTAAGTAAATTTAATTTATGTCATAGTTCTAGTCCTAGGCTGTGCATGAGAATCTAAACCAGTTTTTATTATAAGTTTTTGAACATGTGTCCCATAAGGGTGGTGTAGTAACAATAGTTATTTGTGTGCGAAGTGGCACTTTGCTGCATATGAGAGAAATGTTTATGTACGAGCCGCAGGCAAGTGTGGAAAGTTTCTCGAGTGCAGAAAAGGCACTTTGCAATGGCGTTATTCATTATATTTTTCCTACATTTACGATAAAGCAATAATTACTCTTTTAGATACTAAACATCAAACAACATGTTAGAGGATAGGTTAAATCTAAGAGTTGAATGAAATGGGAAACACTGCACCAGCTGATAGTAGTTGTTGTATCGTAAGTGTTGCCAACTTATTTTCAAGCATACATGTATTACATGCCTAATAAAAGCACACTGTTTTGTTGGAATACTGGAGTGCGCCAAAAGAATTAGTGCGGCAAAAGTAAGCAAATGCAGCAATCAGCTACTGTGCGTGCTATAATCAGTACAAGAAAGTCCGCTTTGTCAGGCGACTGTAGAAAAAATCTGTTATCCTCTGAATAATAGTTCATTTCACAATTCAATGAAAAAAACTCGTTTTTGACTCATATGTCGTAATTGTGATTTGTTATTAACTAATCATTGATTTTATCAACTAAATATTGATAATCCAATGTTTTGAGTTTTGTTGTTCTTATTGGTACCAACATGATAAAAATAATTTAGTTGAGCCATTTTAACAGAATAAATTAGCAGTTGATTTTAGGCCCTAGCACAGAAAATGCTTCTTTCATTTATCAAATTGCTTTCTAAAACAGGCTGAAAACATCCAAGTGTGGTGAAAAATGTTTAATGACAAGGTTAGGTTATACATTTCATTTCTTATTTTTCAGCTTCTTCATATGTGTAAAAACTACCTTTTGTGGGTTCTAAAACCTTAACTAATTTTAGCCTAATACAACTGCCTTATTAGTCTTATTACTTAAATTTCCTTGTAATAAAACAAACCTATAGGTTATCTTTACATGTTCATATGGTTATCTTACATACGGAAACATGCTTGCTATTTTTGTATGGATTTTTTTGTAAATTCATAAGGGGAGACTGAGTAGATACTAATGGTACCTACATTTCCTTGTTTCTTTGTTAAATCTTTTTTTATCATGCCAGTCTATTTTATGGCATAGTCAACTTCTAATTAATTGCATTATTAGATCAAATAATTAATTAAGAATGTACTATTTTGGTGTTTACATTAAATTATTATGCTAGGATCCTTTCCCAGTTATAGGATAAATAATCTACATTTTCTATTTCGATTTGTATGCTTTAAAGTACACTCATGGCTTTAATGTAGCCTACGTATTAAAATAAATTTGTTCTACCATAATCATGTTGTCATTATACATTTCCTTCTATTACAAGCCATCTTTTTTACATTTGGTTAACTTTTATTCTTGAACTCGTAATGAGAAACAAAATTTCAGTCAGCATGTTATTGAGTTTTGTCTCTTTGGGAGTTTATGTTCAAAATCATGTAAAAAAAATGCTAGTCGGTTTAAGTCAACAGGTTTTTTTTCAAACATTTGAAAGATTGCTTGCTCTGCAGCAGGATTATGTTATCAGCATACTGTATCAATCAACTTTTTTTCCTAGGACGCTAGGCAAGAGCCCGGCATTATCACTTAGATAAAATCCATTTGCGACTTGACAAAATTTGAGCCCGGGACCTCAGGGACCGATGTTCCGTGTTTTAATCATTAGACTATCTCTCTGCCCCTGTATCGAATAAGTAGATCCGTATGTTTTTTAAAGATTCTTAACTTAAATGTCAAATAATACTGGACCAAGAATAGATCCTTTTTGAACACCGTACATTAGAACAGGTTTTGACAAATACTTTGAGACCCTGACATGTTGTATCCTCAAAAGTCAAAATGTCATTTATTTCGCAAAAAACAGATATATTCCATCATATTATGATCTCTGTACAAAAATATTTACAATATTATTTAGCTTTATAAATTATATACACTTTTCTGGAAAAGCTTTTTGAATCAAGCAAAATTATCCCCCAAAATGGAGAGTTTACTCCTGTAAGTGGGAGAGAGTCGTTATATTTTTTGAGATTTTTGAAATGATGAAAAAAAGGAACTTTGAACGAGTTAAAAGTTGAAAGTTGCGCCCCGCTTGAAAGGTAAGATTTTTCCCAATGCAAGGGAACACCATGGATGCCTTAGTGTTTAACTTTTACTCTGGTAAACACAGTCAAAAGACTTGGTAAGGTCTAGGAGATACTGATTGTCGGTTGTTGATTGTTTGGACTCTTCATTGACTTTACTGGCAAGGCTTACACTATAACAGTAGATTTACCCCTTCAGACCAGAATGTGTTGACTGCAAAAAGTTTGTAGTGGTTGAGGATCAATCACATAAATAGGACGGTAATTGCTTGGCTCAAGTTTGTTATGCCCTTTTCAGCTCTTCACCGAAACACCCACTCTTTAAAAGAGGCATTGACTTCTTCCTTCAATGTCAATGAGATGCTTAAGAAGCCATACCAAGTTACCAAATCAGAAGTTGATTTGTTCTTTTCAATGCAAGGTGATTCATGTAATTTTAACTTATGCTTTTGACAGTTGCAGCATACTCTGTTATGGGGAACAGCTGTTCAAGGAGTTATTACCTTACTGGTAATAGAAATCTAAAGAAGATCTTTGAATAAAAAGTCTTTGGTAAGCCGCATCTCTTTTCCCCTGGTCATGATGATACTTTGACGTTGTTAGCCACAAACAGCATCAATAAATTTCTCCTAATTTTGTATACGTGGGCCATGCAAATAATAATAATAAAAAACACCCGACACACTGTGTTCTAATACATAATCACAATAAAACCGTAAACAAAATTTTTTAGAAAATAAACTACTGATGCACTTAGAAAATAAACAAAACGAAACACTGACTTCACAAATCACTCGAGTCCTGCTCTGGACAATCCTACAAATGTTTAATCTGCCTTGAGACGCAAATAGTCTCGAGGAAAATCATACCAAATTTTCTCTTAGAATTTCCGGCCTCCAGGCGTTGCAGTCACAGGCATACCTCAAAAAATTTCTCCATACAAACAATGAGATTTTCTTTGAGGCAGGAATTCGGAATTAATACCTTTGCGTGTGGAAATATCTTAAAGATTGTTCTTAAGCTATTCTCAGTTTTCAGGTTCACTTAATTTTCCCTTCTGAACACATGTCAGCGGGGTAAGAACATTTAAAAATAACATAATTAAAATCACACTTTTAATGTACCGCTATTTGTGTAGTTTAACATAATAAAGCAATATTGTTATTTATACTCAACTTAAGCTAATCTTCGAAATTTACAATCTTTATCTTCTAATTGTTGATAGTTAAATTATTTTGAAATCTGCTTGGTACCATTACAAGTTTTCAAGGGCTTCTAAAATGTCCTTTAATTTTGTAAGGTTTTGTGAGAAAAATAGGTTTTATTAAAAAATACAAGCTCATTATAGCTTGAACAATCCTAAAATCCAACTAAAGTGAAGGAAATATTTCTTAACCTCTACGAGGCCTCCCCCCCTCAAAAGAAACTGGATCTAATAGAAAAGGTTACACTGCTTCTTTTCACTCCTTTAAAGAGTTATTTAGTTTATTCATAAGGTACTTATGAAGGTTTAAACAGACTCTTTTGAATTTTTAACAAAACATATTGCTATAGAATTCCGCTCATGTTTATGAACCTCGAAGCTAACTTGAAATATTTACAAAAGCTGTTTTAAAAATCAAATAAAATGGCAACGCTTTTAATCCTCCATGTTTAAGAAGGTGAGATTTTGTACCAAAAGAAACATAAACCTTAAGTAAATTCAAAGTAATATGCTGCTGCGCTCATTTGAAATACAATGACTCTTCAGTAATGTTAGTATTTATTATTTATAAAACAAAATTACATTCACTTTTAACATTTTAAAGGTAGACAGAGGGATGTTTTGATTTATTGTTTGAAAATGCAGACTGCAAAGGCTAAGATAAACATTTCATATCCTAAATGTATATCCTGATCTAATATAGCCTTCCAAGGGAATGTTTAACTGCAGCTTACCCCTCAGAGAGTTTGCTTCAATGCATCCTGATCAACAGTTAGGTCACCCATACAACCCCCCCCCCCCCTTTACTCATATAATACACAATATATTTTTATTTTAAAAAAGGAGTACTTTTAGGTAGTTTGTTTCAGCTATGAGAAGTTTTTTTTATAACATGGATGTTAATGGTTGCACTTTAAGGACCAGGTCCAGAATTAGGGGTATCTTAAATCTATAAACCGTATCTGATTTGTTGAGCAATTTTAAGGCTAAATTATTAGAATTATGTTCCAATTTAATTTCACTTTCATTCATAATTTTGTCCTTGCCTGTGCAGCTTAAGTGGTTAGAGCAACCCTTGAGGACTAGCATCAAATCCTTAAAATCACCAGGTCTTTAGCTAAAGGGATGATTACAAGCCTCTGGGGTTCAGATTTTAAGTGGAACTGTTAAACTACAAAAATAGAAAACAGAAAAAAATTGGTCTTTTGAGTTGGACTGCCTCTACATTCTAGAATTCCCTCAGCTTAGCCATACAATTGGTTTAACATATGAGGTAAACCTGGTATCTTTTGTGCAGGTCACTACACTGTATTTTTGTACTATAACTATGAGTACTACCTATAACTTTCCTTATACCATTAGACTATTTGATAGGTACTGAAGTAGATTTCCCGTCTATATGGACCAGCTGTAGCCAATTCTTTATTAAAAAAGAATGTAGTTGTGTGAGCCAGTCACAGAATGCGCAAGTGTCTAAAATTCTATTTTATACCTTACTAGCTGGCCCGACAGATGTCGTCCTGTCCTATGCTTTTATGTCAAATGCTTGTTCATTTTCAAGATCCTGGTTGAAGTTTGTTCGCTACGCTCACTCACCTTTAGGTTGGAGCTCGTTCGCTGCGCTCACTTGCCTTCAGGTTAGCTCGTTAGCTGCGCTCACTTGCCTTCAGGTTAGCTCGTTCGCTGCGCTCACTTGCCTTCAGGTTACTTCGTTCCCTACGCTAACTCGCCTCCAGGTTGAAGTTCGTTCGCTACGCTCACTCACCTTTTGGTTGCAAATTAGCTGTTGTCATAAAATTAAAAAAATATAATCGTGCTGCACTCTGTTGGTAAACTTATTAACTTTTAATGCTATTGAACATCACAGAATCAAATTGCTTAGTTAAACCAGCTGTTAATTTTCTTTAATTCCATTTAAATATGAGTACTCATAAGGTTAACATGGGAAACTCCAGAGCCACTGGGGCGGAGCCCTTTTGACGGATCTAAACCAAACTTTACACAAACCATCATTGAATAATGCTTAATAATGCCTGAAAGTTTCATTACAATCTGTCGTGCGGTTTCCATAAAGGACAAACAAACAAACAAACAAACAAACAAACATACATACATACAAACAAACAGACATTGGATTTTATATATATAGATTTATTGTTTCTGACCAGACTGATGAGTCACAACTGGTGCTATAATTCATCATAAATCATTCCTTAAGTTTGACTTGGTTAAAAAGATTGTGCATTCGGCAGAATTTAGTAATTTAGATCAGTGCAATCTGTAGGTGGCTCACATCAACTACGACGATTTTGATAAAAAAAAACTGGCTACAAATTTAACATGGGGATGGAATGTCACCTTCACTCAATTTGTTTTGCAGGTTCTGTCCTGGGATTGAGATTGGCATAAAAGCTCAACTCTCAAATAATGTTTGTGTAGCAGTAACACTGCAGCCTCAAACAAGTCACCAACCAAACATTGCAAATGTTTACCACTATATAACCAAAACACATAAGGCTGAATACTATTTTTGTAATATATATATTGGCCTTATAATGTGTATGTAATATATACATTCATTCAAACATTATTCTGATCTTTTGTTTGAGATAGGTCCTATTAAGTCTTAGGTCCTATCATCCTATTAAGTCTTCCAAGCATCTGCAAATTAAAATGTTGCTAAGAAAGCTTGAGTTAAATGCTACACTAAATAACTAGGCCTTTCCCAAACTCTGTACCTTCTAGTCCATATCTCACCATGTTTGTGGGACTGTGGTACTACCGTATTGAATCTGATCACTTTACAGGTTCTGAATCTGCAATTTAAATACAAAAATGTTTGTATTAAAAGATAAAGCAAATCACTCTGCAGTCTGTACTAGATCAAACAATGTGAATAAAAGAGATGTCTGTAGGCAATAGGATATTGGAATGGAAACATAAATACATGTATTATAATTTGTAATAGATTGGACTGATATAGTTCAAAGCAAGAGCTGTG